TGAGGATGATGAGGTTGGGGCAGATGCAGAGGCAGCGGCTGCAGCGTGTGACTGAGAGTCTATGAGGTCCATGTCTTCGTCTTCATTAACTCCACACGTGTCGACCACGCAGATCAGGCAGCTAGTGACGGGAAACGCTCGCACCTTGCTGCAAGTCACCCACCTGAACACACAGAAGGAAATGGACTGAGAGGTTTATAATCAAACTAGTATTCCTTTCTACCGTTAGTAACAGAATTCAATGTCATTATTTGGGACATCAGCAACGTATTTATTAATTAGTTTTGAGTGACATTTAGTTAATACACCAACCTGTCAGCGTCAGTGTGGTACTCCAGGACATGTCCGAGCCGTCCCACACCTTGGAATCCCGCTAGGACATAGATGACGTCACCGACCGCTGCGCACTTCACCGTTACGCCTCGCCACGGCATTGCAGAGGCAGCGCGCCACTCGTTACTGGCAATGTCGTAGTACTCCACTGAGTCCAGTCCACCTACAAAAAAAAAAAAAAACACCAAAAAAACTGTACAGAGGCAGCTGGGACACTTGCTACTACCATATGCTACAGCAACTATGTACAATTGTATTATTAATATATTACTATAGTAAAATCCATTTGTCGTACCTAGTGCCCCCTGCCCTCCAACGGCATAGATCCTGTTGTTGACCACTGCCACCCCATGGTTCTTCCTGGCCTCTCTCATCCCACACAGCTCCCTCCATCTGACAACAGAAAGATAAAGAGTGTAGCCGAGAGCACAGATAATTGTAGCAGTACGACATTATGAGATTTACCACATTATTGTCAGGTGAAAAAAACAGTTGTGACCTTAATGTTGATAAAAGAATGTCCCTGCTTCTTTGAGGAGAAATCTGACCTCTTTAAAGGCCTTTCAAAAAAAACACTGATATAAATATACACACTAGTCATTTCCTCACATTGTCTTTGTAGTTCTTGCTGTTGTCAGCCAGTACATATCAAAAAGGCAACTCTCTTTCTATTTCATTTTCACTATTACATCAATAAACACTATAAACAAGCCTGTGCAAACAAAACAGTTGTGTTGTTTGCAGTTCATAGCTGGATGTTTATGATGACTCACTGTTGTGTGTTGGGGTCGTAAACCTCACAGTTGTTGAGGACCCTGCCCGACACGTTGTTGCCCACCGTTCCTCCGCAGACGTAGATGAGCCCATTGGCCTCCACTGAGCCGTGGCTGCAGCGGGCCATCAGCATGCTTGTTTTCACCTGCCACGACTCTGTTCTTGTGTCGTAGCATTCGAAAAGGTCGAGGGCAGAGCTGCCTGCAGACATGCGTGCAGGAGTACACCATGATTAAATGCTTTCAGAAGTGTGTGCTCTTTCCATCATGAAGGGTGGATCACTAACCCACTCAGTAAATACATAAACCTCCTCAATCCGAGGTCACAAGTTCACCCCCTCCACCTCCCTGTGCTCACCCACTTCCGACCCTCCAGATGTGTAGATCTTGCCCTGGGCGGCGCAGGCTGCCAGGCTGTCACGAGGTGTTGGCGGACCCAGCTTGGAGTACCAGCTGTCCTTCAGGACGTTGTAGCAGTCCATGCGTTTGATGGGGAAGAGCTGTGAGCCACCCAGGATGTAGACCACATTGTCCCAGAAGACAGCTGTGGCGTCCCGGCGCTTCTCGAACGGGCAGCGGATGTCTGTCCAGCTGGAGTCCTGCATGGAAAGCCAGGCTGTCACTTAAACACAGGCACAAATGATTTCAATAGAGCTCACTACACAAAAGGATAGCTATGTTTGTTTCTGATACATTTGATCCGATTCATATGAACTATACATTTTTACAGAGCTATGAAGCATATATATCCATACAACATTTACTGACTCAACTGCCCCTGTGGGTAAAATTTGTTTGCATGTGGAGCCTGTTACCTTGGGGTTGAAGTAACGGCAGGACTGAGGCTGGGAGCCCCCAAACAGAGCGATGCGGTAGTCGTGCTTCTTGCGTCGTGGTCGGCTGCTCTCTCCCAGATCCTCCCGATCCTCCAGGGACAGCAGGTGGTAGCGCATCCCACCTGGGACAAAAGCACAGGATATTGTTTTGTGTTAGTGGGCTCATGTCTACCCAGCAGACATTAACACTAAAGCAGTTTTTGCTTGCTCTGATGAATCTGAATGATTTACAAATGTATATCCCTACAAGATATTAATTCAGGGTTGTGGCTGCAGGAGAGTTTCTGTGGTGGCTCGTATGTTAAACATCTGCAAACCTTGAATTTTACCTTTACTAATAATGAATATTTAACCGTTTACTACTATAATAGAGTATGCTGCAGATAGTTTAGCTAAGAACCAAAGTATTGTAACAATATTTTCCAACTCAACGCAGACAATGCCAACCCCTTCCTCATTAACCCATGTGTTGTGTTGCTTCACATGAATACAATATACACAGAATTGTATGAGTTCATTATGTCAGTTTATAAGTTATATATTTTGTGTGTGTGTGTGTTTCTCTCTCTCCTCCCACTCACTGATAACCATCTTGAGGCACTGTGGGTTGTCCTGGATGAGGGGCTCAGCCTGCACTGTCTTGGAGAGGAAGGTTTTGGAGACCAGAGGAAAACGAACGCACCCCAACACCTCCACCATGTACTGTTGCCGGTTACACACATCGTACTTCAGCCAGCGCACTGCAGCATCATAAATCTAAACAAAAAATGCAACGATAAAAACGTATGTGACATAATTTGCAAATTTTACTAACACACACACAAAAATTCTTGGGAACTTACTGTTTTGCTACGTCCCCAAACTTAGGCACCCAAGTGAAATTCCACTAAAAAAATGTGTACCTGGGCCTCAGCACGAACAGTGAGTTTGTCCTGGTGCAGCAGATGTGTGACCTGTGTGACGTCAAGTTGCAGGAACTCGTCCAGTTTGTAGACTTCAGTGAAGTGGAGCTGGAAGAAGTCCTCTGCTGCTGCCTTCAGCTCGGGACAGTCCATACAGTCCGACAGGGCGGAAATACCTGCAGGGGGACAGGAGAAAGCTCATTCAGTCTAATGATGTTAAGTTATTGGCAGGCCTAACCCAAACACACAATTAATCTAGCATTTAAATAAACAAAAAATCTTTATTTTACTTCCCAGGATCTTGCCCTAGCCATAAAACGTAATCAGGAACAAGCACCAGTTAAACACACTCAGTTGGAATTATTTGGGCCTGGTTGTTTAATAATTGATCCTGGTGACTCAATAAATGAAAGATCAAAGAGCAGCAAATTGTAGGGTAAAAGCAAGTGAGATAACACTTAATTGTATTTCTGTTCTTACCAAGGCAGTTTGTTGCATCAATTTGTCCTTTAAGGAACTCCACACACATCTTCTTCACAGGCTCAATCTGGTACTGGTTGGCTGCATCCAGCAAAGACTGGACGTTGCTGCTGTTCACCGAGATCCTGGTACACACACACACACACACACACACACACACACACACACACACACACACACACACACACACACACACACACACAGTACCATCAAAGAGGTGTTTCTGATGGAATTTGCTGAAAGTAACATTCAGAATAGGATGGTCTAATATTCTAAGTTAGACTGCTTTTCCTTTTATTATTGGCATGAGCAGACCACAGACTTTAAGTTTCACTGTGAGCCTCAGAAGGACCTTTCCTCCGTGTCATGCTCTACTTTTAGGCCAAGACTCTTACCGAGCTGTGTAGATAAATTCAATCAACAGCTCAATGATCTCAGGCTCAGCACTCCTGAGCTCTACCTCGTGAGACATCGACTCCATCATTCTGGCTGGAGGTGCGGAAAAAAAAGAGAGATTAGACTTCAGAGAAAATAGGAACATAACAACAATATGTGGCACCATGACACATTTTTCCTGCTATGCTTCACAACAGTTTAGGGAGCCTGCATCATTTATAATGCACAATATTACAGGATTTTGGTTATAAAAATGAATAACCTGATCCCCAATCCAACGCTTGTTTTTGTCTCTCATTAAATTATCAAGAATGATAATTTCTTCTTATTAAAATGTCAATACTACTAACAGATTACGACACTTTACAACAAGAGGTGCTTATTTACATGAATTTTGCAACACTTCTGCATCTGTGGCCTCCTAAAATACAATATCCCTTTAGAAATCACAGGCAATTAGAGGCGAGTTTCTCACTATTGTGGTCCACTTGGGCTCAATGTGCTTTTGTGTTCACACTTACTGGTGAACATGAGGCTGAAGAAGTGGCTGGCAGCGGCCAACACTACTCTGTGGGCAGGAAAGTGTTTCCCCTGAACCACCAGGGTCACATCACAGAGAGTACCCTGAAGGAAACACACACACACTATCAGGACAGGCAGGGACGCACACATACAGTATATTCGTCGTGTGTTTAGTATTTTCTCTCTCTAGCACACCTGTTTCCTCAGGTTGTTCATGACTCCCATGATGCTAGACAGCTGCCTGTACTCCTCTTTGGTGGCACACTTCCTCTCGCTCTTCTTCTTGGAGCTTGGCGCCTTCTCTGGAGAGGCAACCCCCGTCATGTCAGCCTGATTAAAGTAACCCGTTCAGTTGGGTCAAACTACAACCCTGTGAGCACCACTGCCAGCAGTGTGCAGCTGCAGGCTCTTTGTTGTCACTCCACCGCTGGCAGCTTCCTTGCTAGCAGCAGCCAGTCAGCAGCTTGTTGGGATTTTATGACCTAAAAAGCCGCCACGTTGACGGCAGCTTCTCTTTAAAAACTCGTAGAGAGAAACTCAGAAAGGTGGACTTGCTGTCAGGTATTGAAATAGTGATAAAAACAGGTTAGTGGGGTTTATTTTGGAAGCTAACGTTAGAACTCAGTCTTAAACCGGAGCGGCTGTGATTTGCTCTTCGTGTGGTCGGACCATTGACTGTGTATGGGTTGGGCACACTCGCGCTCGCCCTCTACCGGCAGGCGGTAGAACTACACATTGAACCTGCAGGAACGTGGAACTGATTTATTCTTAAACTCAGTTTATAGATCATCTAGAAAATGTGTTTTAGTATTCAGAACGAAAAACACTTAGTAATACGTAGTTATAGTAATATCAAGTTTCATATTTTATGATATTAATAGCCAAAGAGCTGATACAACTATAATGGCAACCTGCCTTCTGTGTACCTGCAGCAGCGGCTCACCTGTGGTGCACCTGTCTGTTACATTCATATCTGCACTGTAAAACATAACCAGGAAGAAAAGTGTTTCACGAGTCAGATGACGCTGACGTCATGTGGAATGCGGGCTGCATTGTCAGAAATATTTGACCTGAAAACCAAACTTGAGAGAGACTCGAGTTGCAGAAAATGCTCCGTTTTATCTGCTGTTGTTGCTTCTCAAGCGAAAACTCCGACAGCGAGGTATGTGTTGAGTTTTACATATATATTCATGATAATATAGAGTGGCTTCATTCGAGTTCAGACGAGAAACTTGACCTCCGCTTGAGTATAATAATGAGTTATAGAATAACTCATTACTATCCTAAGTGAATGTGAGATTAGTGAGGACTGCACCCTTTATAGCCTAAAGCTGAAGTATATTTGAATTACGCTGTACAGTTGTTACAGAAAAAGTACCCATGACAGTATTTAATTGTGTCTCAGAAGACGAAAATAAAACTAAACTATAATGGCATTGTTGTGTCACAAATACAGTGAGGCAACAGAGTAGGTCTCCATAAAGGCAGTGTTAACCACATGAGTTTAAGTAATTACATGCATCCACACGCCTTATGAGCAGTGTTGGGCTAATTACAAAAAAAAGTACTTTATTACTCATTACTCTGTACTCTTTTCAAAAGTAATATTATTACTTAACTTATTACTCCCTACCAAAAGTAATAGTTGCACTACTAGTTATATTACTTTCCCCAAAATATTGTTAATTGTGCCCTTTCTCCCCAAATGTCAGACTTACAAAGATTAAAATCCAGGTTTGTTTGTCAAAATCAAAGTAATGTAATATTTCCAGCTGCTGAATGTAAGCGTTAACATCTTCCAAATTAGTTTCCTCCACAATTACAAAAATGAATCCAAGTCTGTGATTGGATTGTTGGATTTCAAATCAGTAGGCTGTGACAACAAAAGTAATAATGTGTAAATGTATTAGTAATTCGTGACACTACTAGTTACTGGGAAAGTAATATTATGTTATTACTAATAATGACTTACTGCCCAATACTGCGTGTGAGTGCTTTGTGTCTCTTTTTGAAAAGTGCCAGTAAAAACAAAAATATCTGCTATTTCAGAGGCAGCCCCTCCTGGACCCCAGACCATCTGACCTGAATGAAGCTGAATCAGCCAGGCAGACCCGGCCAGCACACAGTGGTACATCATCTCTCTAAACGTTCATGTGTCTGTCTCTCAAACCTCTATGCTTATCGGGGTTAGGGAAATCCTAATCTGCTTCCAATGCATAACATTGTGCATAACATTAAACTGCTGAATGCTTTCTTTTTCTGTGTCTGTTGTGTGATACTGTTTTCCCTCTCAGATTTGCAGACTGTGAAGCGCATTGGTAGGCTGGTGATGAGGCGAGTGTGTGTGCCAGAGCTGGACCAGAGGTTTTCTGACATGGCTGAGACGTTCAACGAACAGCAGCAGCGCTATGAGGCCATGGTCCGACACATCATAAACCTGCGACAGGTCTACGGCTGTAACCACAACGATAGCCTGGCTTTAGCCGAATGTGTGGGGAAGATCAGAGAGGAGCATGGTAAGCGACACACTCAGAGCTCCTGCCAGTACGGGCAAAGTGATGGCAGCCTCGCGTTTCAGTTTCCTTTGTTTCTCTGTTTCAATCTACATTTCTCTCCACTTCCAGAGGCCAAGTACAGGGTCTCCCTTAAGATAAAGGGCTATGACTTCTCCCTCAGTGTGGTTCCTGCGGGGCCAGACGGGGAATGTGAGGAGGAACCACTGCCTCCACATCTGCGATTGGCTCAGGATGAACTGAAGGGCGCTTCTGAGAGCGCCAAGGCCACCATCTCAAAGGGTACCACACTTCAAGAGTTGATTGGCTGGCTGCTCCGTAGCAAGGATCAAATGGCTGAGCAAGTGAAAGGGGCTGCAGCCTCCTTCCAGGAGCAAGGAAGACTGAATGAGAACCTGGAGGAGAACATGAAGGAAGTGAGGAGGGCGAAGGAGTTGTCGCTGGGATACAGACAGCGGGCCGGAGAAGTCCTCACTGAGGCTGCACAGATAGCCGGGGCTTATCTGTAGTTCATACACATTTTAAATACTTTTTATTAGAATCCACCAATTACAATACACATATTATGGGATTCAAACATTTACAAAGGTTATACACACTATTACTATACAATTATGGGTATGGGATCACTGACTTACAACCAGACTACCTGTGACAGCTGAGATGGAACATCATTTTTGCTGTCTAGCTATCTTTTCCTTGGTAAACTTGCCAACTGCAATTTGCATTCATATCATAGCATTTGCAACAACATCAGAAGTGTTAGATAATGAGACACGATAATGAGTGCGCACACAACGCCATGCATGTATTTAAACACTCTGCTTTGCAGGCCATCGCTGCCTGTTGTATAAAGTGTCCTGCAAGAACATGAAGACTTGTGATTATATATGCCTTTTAAATGTTTTGTTAAAATTTTAATAAATAGCACTTTATGCTCTTTAGACTCACTCTAACACTCTAAGTACAGTGTATTGCCTGTATAAAGACTAGTGTTTTCCTGGATGGGTGTAATTTTACCAGCTAACATAAGGGGGCATTGCAGACTCACTTTATTATTAGTTGCACTTCAATTCTTATTCCTCAGATTTAGTTTCTCAGAACTAGCCCTACATGGATAAAGACTCCCTATATCTCAGAATCAGGTATCAGGTATTTTGAATTTTGTACATGATTAGACACTTTGCCATGAGGAAATATTGTAGAAACTAATTAAGTTAGAAAGTTAAGGCTTTGAACTGTACTGAACTTGAACTGTGCATAATGCAATAACAGGACACAGTCTCATATAGCAGCAATGGGAATTGGACCGGAGGTTTGTTGTGATTGTGCCTGTAGTGTTTTGTTATTGTAAAATTCAGAGGGGGCAGATTTGCTGCTCATTATCCACTGAATCCCATGCATTTATTAACTGATTAAAATCTGCAGCTTTCCATGAGCTTTTATTGTGAAAGCAAACAAACACATGGTCATATGCCATCTTGATAATTAATTTTGGAAAATCCATTGTTCCAGAGGTCATTGTCAAGTGGTCATGCATAATTTATCGGAGGGAGACAGTTTTAGAGCACTGCTTTCGCCTTAAGCTTTTACAGATTAATTTGCCATGAAGTGTTCAGGATGTAGTGGCTAAAACCTGAGAACGAGTTGTTCATCTCTAAATGGAAAAGTGTGGGAAATAAAACCAGGGCTTTGATACAATTTCATAAAAAGAATAGTATATGTTTAATAAAGTCTTAAAGACCTTTATTAATTATGTCCTTCGTGACTTTTTATTAGATACCGTGTTAGTGCGACTAAATGGTTTTAAAAACTGTGACTTGTGTTGATAATTAAAATGTGAATTATTGATTAAAATATATTTTAATCAAACGATTCTAAAGCAATTATTGACTAAACATCTTTAAACTGCTTGAGTATAATCAGTTATTCTTACAATGCAATCATACGCCAACTGTCAACAGATTACTTATTTATGTGATCGATTATAAGCATCTCTGGTAGATCACTCTGCTGTCAAAGAGCAGTGACTGACAGCGACAACCTACCGTGATCGTGGAAATTATTAACATACAGCGTAGCGTCTAATTTGATTGGACGATATAGTTGGGGGGGGCGTGTCAGTTAGACTATATACTCCTCACTCATTGGCTCCGACGGCTGTCACTCCGCGGAGACCGAGTCCCCTTCGCCTAAGGTAGTCTGAGTGGAGAAAGTAATGAAGATGGAAGGAGCTGATGTTGATGAATTATTGAGGAGATTTATGGAGTAGCGAGGTGATAGCCGTTCACTCGTCTTTGTCGGAACGATAGAGGACAGCGATACCAGGAAATTGACAGATAGCATGCCAGTAAGTGAACAGTAACTTCCCCCAGTTTACTTGGTGTCGCGCCTTAGCCAAGCTAGCTAACTAGCGGGCTAATCTGTAAGCAACCGTACAGTGACAGCTCGAAGTCATTCAACAAGCCGAGACAGAGAGTGTGTGAAGGTGGAGGGCTGATTTACAGACTCTGACCGATGCTGGTTAACGAATAACACTGAATTATATGGCTAGGAAAGCTAATGTTTATTACAGAGCTACCAGTCCCTTTAGACAGACATTCACGTTGTCTAAAAGCTGCTGTGTTTCCAGTTGTGGCAGAAGAACTGGTTAGCGGCGCCTAATTACAGGTATAGTTAGCATTTAAATGAGCTAGATAACATGCAGTGAAACAGATGTGAAGATGGGAAGGCTTTCCGACATGTAAACCTAACTAGCTTTTCGTTGCAACCATCACTAGTGTGGTAGATTAAGTCACATTTGTTAGAGAGACAGACTGTACCGGACTTTATCCTGTTTAGTAACAACTGTGTGTGTGTGTGTGTGTGTGTGTGTGTGTGTGTGTGTGTGTGTGTATGCGGTCTGTCGGGAACTTATTATAATACTTGTTAACATTCCTCAGGTGATTTCTGTGTGTGTGTGTGTGTGTGTGTACCAGTGTGGCAGAGGTAGACACACCACTGCAGACTGGTATGTTAGATAATGGTTTGTTAGGATTTTTCTAATAGCTGTCATGTGATTCAGCTTTCTTCCATACCACTAAGGCAGTTCAGGGGTTTCCTGTCTGGGAGGGGGGGGTTAAGCTTTGCTGCAGAGCACTGTACATGCTATCAAAAGTTAAAATTTGTTTGTTTTTCTGTGTCCTTCACTAAGACTGTGCTCCTGGTGGTGTGCCAGGTATTGTTTAAATAAGATACTGTGTGTGAGTGTATAGGTTGTCCTTTGCTTTCTATACTCTATGTGTGTGCGTGTTTCTTTGCCACTGTCGTTGGAGTCTTACCCTTTAGCAATAGACAGGGTTGCTGGGTTTGTGGTAAAGGGTGTGGATGTGTGTGCATGCGTAGAAAGTATGCATAGACCTGTTAATTTGTGCCATCCGCGGCTGCTAGTGTCTGTGGTCTCTTAATGCTTTATGACAGTAGAGCCCGGCAGGTCATGAGGCGAGAAGATCGTGCAGGCTCTGCTGTCATCCAGCATCACAGCTAGACTCAACCATGCCTGCGGTTTTATGAAATATCTTGACAATTTGAGCAATGAAAACAGTTGCAATCCCTCCCCCTTTCATTTAGTTCTGCACCAAAGTCTGCATAGCCAAGCACAATAGCAATATCTCTTTTTTTTTTTTGTCCGCACAGATACCAGTAGCATACATTTAACAACATGAAAAATCTAAAAAATCAAGCTAATTAACTGCACCAAAAGTGGCATTTGAAAGTGAAATTCCAGGACTGAACATGAATAGATTATGAGAGAGTTATCTAACTGTGACAAGAAAGCTGACACAAATGCAGCAAAGGAGGGGAGAACAAGAGATCAGGTCTTTTGAAAAATCAGATTTGTTAATCACTGGTCTCTTCAGGCTCACTGGCTGAAGGAAGACAGGGAAGTGGAGGGGCAAGAGGAGGGACGAAGATGCATCACTGGCTTAGAGGCAACGGAGAAATGCGCGTAGGCTGCTATAAGAGGATTCCTCCTTGTCAGATCTCTCTATCTGTCTCCTTCAGCAGCAAAAACCACACACACACACACAAACCACATACTCTGTTGTCATGTCTACTTAGCTACAGGCAGTCATCTGCTATATATGTGTGTGTATCACTGCGAGAGAAAACAGAAACGCAAAAGCTGACCCCCCCCTCCTCCAACCTGCTATTGAAGAAGACCTGGGGGGAGAGCAAGGTGGGAGGGGATGATGCAACAGGGTTAACTGCAGGCCAGGATAGTCCAAATAAAGAATATAGCAACAGACAGCATGAAAGATGCAATATATAAACTGATGTTAAAACAAAATGCTGAAGTCCTATGAATCGACACTTGGTGTAAACAGCTCTTAGCACGGCCGTTGAACAGGAGATCAGGTCAAGCTGTGAGCTCTGGGCATGTTAGAGGCTCTGCCCTTTATGACCACAGTTATATAACCCAGCCATCACCTTTACTTGGACACCGCACAGCTCCTCAAAATAGTTCCTCAACGGCTTTCGCTTCCATTCAAATTGCAACAAGCTTGGAGTCACAGATCCAACTTGTTCACAGTTAATAACTGACCTAGATTTGGGTGGAGGCATATTACTGTAGTTCCTGGTTCTGACATTGGTTAGTGCAGTTAAACATTTATATGTGGTTTGGGTGTGGCTGCACAATAGTTGAGTCCACTGAGGATACCTTAGCTACTAACCACTAGCTTGTGTGGCTTGCACCCTGTACCACAGGAAAAAGCAGCTGGGGCAGCTCTGTCACTCTCTGAAGCACCCACTTTGTCTTTCTCTCTGCTTCCTTTCCTCCCTCCATTCAAGCCTTCAATGTTATTGGCCCTCTCACTTCCTGAAAGAAAGAAAGAAAGAAAGAAGGTTCCAAAGCATATGTGTAATAGGAAATGAGGTAATCAGCAGGGAGGGATGTGTATGTGTCCCTCTAACTCATTCTCACATGGACTTTCTTCAGTACTTCAATACTCTGCCAGCGTTCCCAGACAGGTATGGTCTTCCCGCTCCGCTACTGAGCACCGGAGGACACTCTGTGTTTTGATAGTGCTGATTTCCTGTGGGTTTTTGTATTGATCCATGTGAATTAGTATGTGTATAGTGTGTTTGCCTCAGGTGTTTTGTAGTAACTCTGTCAGGACATGCAAACACACTTACAACAAGGATTAAGAATGTAAACTTTAAAGGAGACCTGTTTGTGTTAGAAGTAGACTTCGGAAGGAGGAGCCAAAAATAAGGTGTGTGTGTGTGTGTGTGTGTGTGTGTGTGTGTGTGTGTGTGTGTGTGTGTGTGTGTGTGTGTGTGTGTGTGTGTGTGTGTGTGTGTGTGTGTGTGTGTGTGTGTGTGTGTGTGTGTGTGTGTGTGTGTGTGTGTGTGTGTGTGTGTGTCAGTGTTTAAGAGTCGTGGGTGTAAATTCAGAAGGAACGAGCTGTCAACTTTAGCTAGCTCACAGGAACAGGTTTTGTCAAACCAGACATTGAATAAATACACACTTGCGCAATGCATGACACATTCTCTGTCACTCCTTTGCAAGAAGTTGGCTCCATCAGAGCTGTGCATTGGTGGAAAAACTCAGTAAGCCACAGCTAGGCTAGTAAACGCATTGAAATCCATTTCTTTAGCCTGTTTAGATCACAGAGATATGTGTGTGTGTGTTTCAGTATCTGTCCTTATCTCGTGTTTCCCAGAGCCTGGGAGGTTGCCATGGGCAGCACAGATTGAAACCTAATGAACTCTCCGCTTTCTTTAACCCTACTGTCTCCCCTTGAGTTATCCATCCCTTGGGTTGTTACACATCCCTTTTATCCCTCATCTCTCTATACGTCCATTTATCCCTGCCTCTATTCATTTAGCCATTGATCTCTGCTCTCCTCCTGCACTACCTACCTGTCCCTCTCCTGCATTTATCATCCATCTACTTGTTCGTCACTTCATTGGTTTGTTACCAATGTGCTCGTCGAGCCTGCTCAGCCACTTATGCTTAACACTGGTTTATTCATATGTGTGTGTGTGTGTGTGTGTGTGTGTTTTTGTACCGGTCAGTGTGGTCGAGCTGCACAGAAGAAGCTCGCCAGCTGCTGCATCATTTGTAGTGTTTGTGTGTGCTCTCTCTGGCATACAATGATTTCTGTCATGATCAGTGAGTCCATAATGACATAGAGATGGTTAACAGTTAGCCGGGCTAAGAAGGAAGACAAACATCTGCCTAATAACATAATTACGCTCTATAGTGTACTCCCACGGCAATTAGTTTTCTATTTTCCTCCAGCAGTTGCCCGTGCCCGTCTGCAGCAGAGCCTAGAAATCTTTGAGACAGGGCTTTTATGTGCTCTTTGTACCACTGTCTCTTGTAGTCTGAACACTGTCAGATTGAATCATCACCATTTTCATGGGTGAGTAGCCCCAATTATGGACTTTTAGTCTGATCATCTTAATTGAAATTATGGATGCATTATCAGGGCTGATGAATTATTGGTGAAATTTATGTTATGTATTATTCTCATAATTAAATTATAGCTGATGCATTTATTACTTATTGATGATAATGATGATGATAATAGTTTTTTTTTATTCTTAAGCAAATGTTCTAGGAAAGCCAAAGTATGTTTAAGTTTATTGATGTACTTTACTAGAAAAAGATTAACATTGATTTCAAAGAGACAGTTAAATTTGGTTTGAACAGAGCTATGAAATATTAAGTCATCCATCTTTGCTCACTACATCTCAGCCTTTCTTACCATCAGGTTCGCAAAAACTCAAGGTTAGGAACTTTTTAAAATACAAAAATGTGAAAACAATGAGGGACTCCTGCACAATATCTCACTAAGTGATGACAAAATATTTATTTCATGAAATGTTTTGGTCAATACGACTTTCATCCGGTATATGGGCAGCATGAACACTTTTTTATATATGTATATACACACATAGAGGAGTTGCCTCAACCATCCGATCATCCAATCGGAGGACTATAGAGATTACTTTGACAGGTGATCACTTTTGTTTCTATATATTTCTATAAAATACAAAAATGTGAAATTAACAGTTATCTGTGTCAGTCAGGTCATTATCGCTAATCGGCTCCGCTGAGAAAAAAAATCCATATTGTGCATCCCTAACTAAAGTGATATCAATATCAGAGCTGGAACATTTAGTTGGTTGAACAATTACTACACTGACAGACAATTAATCATTAATCAGTTCGTCATTTCATTTATGAACCACAAGCATTCTCTGGTTCCCAGTGTGATATTGTGCTGCTTTTCTTTGTGTTATATCGTTGGGAAATTAATGTCTTTGGGTTTTCGGACTGTTGGTCGGACAAAACAATCCGAAGAGGTGAAAAGTTTCACTATTTTCTGACATTTTATCAATTATGAAAATAATTGTTAGGTGGCAGTCTTACACAATATACTATATTATATATCTGTTAACTGTTGGAACAAGATGAAAATCTCAATTAAAACAGCTAAAAAACCTTCATTGTACAACACATGGTGTAGGTAATGGATGTGTGTAAATATGTTTTTGCTGTTAATTTTGACAATTAATTGTCTAGGTTATCTTAAAAACTGAACCTTTTTTTTAAGGATTTATATTGTTTGTCAGAAATAAAAGTAATTTCATGGTGTCACCTTGGGCTTTAGGAAATTATGATTATGCATTATTATATATTATGCATATTCCACTACTTTCGCTACTACTTTTTGACATTTGATAGACCAAATTAAATAATCACCAGATTGATAATAGTTGTTAGTTGCAATCATAGTTTGCATATAGGCTGCATATTTGACTTTTGCTTTGTAAGATTGACTCGCTCAATTCCTGAATACTTTTAAATGTTGTGTTTTCCTTCCAAGTCAACTTTTTTTTGCATAGCCCAGTAACACAAATCACAGTTTGCCTCTCAGGGCTTTATAATCCGTACGTGACACCCTCTGTCTTAAGATCTTTTTTTTTTTTTACGTGTGTGCTCGTTCGTGTCATGTTTCAAATTCTAACATTTTTCACAATACACACTGATTTACAGGTGCATCCCATTACAGAAACTTTGCACCCAAGTGTTCACCCTTTTGCTGCTGCTTTTGTGTCGCTGCGGTGGATTCTTTGCTTGCTGCTGAGGTAGGAGGCAAATATATAACATAGGTAGGCGGCACGGCTGCAGATTTTAGTCTTCATGTATCTCTTTTTGGATACAGATGATACAGATGCCCGAGATGAAAGTGTGGACAGAGTTGACCTTAAAAGTGACTCTGAAGGAGGACAGCCTGTCCTCTTACAAGACTGACTCACCCGCACTCAAATGACAGCCTTTTATTTTGTCATTCAGTAAACCTACCATTTAAACGCACATGCTGGCTTTATATATCGCTGTCCTCCTTGTCGTCTTCACCAGCGTGAAAAAAACAGAACAACAGACCGCAACAAAGAACTAATTTCTCTAAATGGAGGCTATTCTGCTTTATAATCCTTCCCCATTTCATGAGTCACTGGCTCCCCTCCCCCCTTGTCGTTCCTGTCATTGGTACAGTCCATAAATAGACACCTGGCTGCCATGGATGGACCAAGCACCGGAATAATACAGAATAAAGCATTTGGATGTGTGAAAGACAGATTAGGGAGCAGGGAAGATGGAGAGAAAGAGAGAGAAAGAGAGAGAGAGAGCGAGAAAGAGAAGTGATGTTGTGTGGGAGGATGAGCGGAGGACAGAGGGAGCAAAGCAAGGACGGGGAAAAGAAGAAATCAGAATCAAGCATAAATATTTTTTTACATTTTTATTACACACATGGATTACACGTACATAAATGGATATATTTGTCATTGTACGCATGTTAGAAGGTTTTTGATAGTCATGGTGATTAAAAATGAGGCCTAAGATCTCCTGAATTCTCTTTCAGAATATGTTTGAAATGTTGTTTTTCACAACCAGACAGGTTAATAAGAGGAGGTTGTGTGTGTTTGAGTGGTCAGTGGAGTTATGCCACCTTCAGCTCAGATTTGAGTGCATGTTTCTGCAAGAGAAGTGTGCACATAGAAGGACTTCTTCCTCCTTCTTTCTTTTTCTCAGCCTCTATTACCAGACATACCAAACATGGGCCGCATTCATCTGCAAATTTAGCCTTGTGCTCACAGTTTCAGAGCACAGACACGACGGAGCACAAACACGACATTCCCCACAGTGAAAACAGATAATCCGTCAGAGATGCTTAGGGATGGTGTCCGCCTCCTCAGCTGAAAGCATACATCTCTTCAGCTATTCTCTTATGGTGACAGTCACTGTGCAGAGTTGGTTAAGGTTACCCAAGTACATGGAAGTACGAGCAAGAGCTTGAGATTTCTTCACTACTGTATGGATTGGCATCTTATTTGGTACAGATTTCTTTGTCCCTCTCAGGATGACTTGTAATAACTTTGGTGATGCCCTGACCCTTCATTTATCACCATGGTCAGGTCAAAGTTTCAATGCTTTCAGTCTGAATTGAACACATTCGGTTCTGTCACACCGTAGTTGCTGTTTTGAAACGTGCTTCAAAATCTACATTTTTAAAATATTTCTGTCTCTGTTGCTTTTTATATTTCCATCTTCCACTTTCTTCCTTCTTCTGTTGTGACTGCAGGATATCGGTGTCAGATAGGAACCAGAAGATGTTTTATTAAAATAATAATTACAATGACAGAGCAAAAGAAACACTGTCTAGAGAATAAGTATGAAAAGAGAGGATAATATTGGTTCAATAGGAAAAAAAAAAAAAGGTTGAGTGCCAAGAGGAGGAAAGACAGAAGTTAAGATGCAGACAGTGTAAGTGCCGTGATGGATAGAAAGGGAGATCAAAAATAACCAAGAGTGATGGTGGGAGCTGAGCATTTATTTATTTATTCTTTATTCTTGGATCCCCATTAGTTGCTACCAAGGTAGCAGCCACTCTTTCTTGGGTCCACACACAACAAGACATACATACAATTAAGACACATAACATGTATACCAGTCTCAATGATGCCATACAAAGACACATACAAATTATAACACATCAAGTTATGTTCCATCTTAGTTGTTTAGATCAGTTTATTAACACTGGGATTATTATATTTAACTTGCCTTACTGGCTGCTTCAACAATCATAGTTGGTAACTTGTTCCACATTGTGACGGCTCTAGACATTACAGATCTGTTCTAGGTTTTTGTTGAACCAGATACCATGAATAAATGTGAGCTAAAGCAGGTAAGAGCCTCTTCTTCTGTCTGATTCCGTTTGAAGACATCCGAACTGTACAGCCTGTTCAACAAGCATCTAAATTCTGCTGTGCCACTTTTTTTCCCCTCCTCATCAGTATTTCACCGGTGAAGCCAGCCAGGCTTCTCTGTGTGGGTGATTTATTTTATTTTATTTTTTTTTTCGATTTGTGAGCCTGAGTTGAGAATAGGTTAGGTTCTTGCTGCAGAGGAGTGTGTCTGGAGAGGAATGCGAGGGAAACAGGAGCACGAGAAGGATGGAGAGACTTATGCTTCTGTGGCGTATCGAGTTATTGCCTGGAGGGTGTAAAGTCACTATTCAGCCCTACCATGGCATTGTTTGCTGTTTGTAATAGAATATTTTTATCAGTATAGCAAATAATAGAAGGCTGGCAAGCACGAAAGGAGCCTTATCCAAGCTGCTGATGCACAAATGTACTATATATTTGCTCTGTGTCAGTAGATTGTGTGTTTATACAATCTTTCTTTCTCTCTCAGGTAGAGGTGACTCCACTGCAGATGAGGGAACATGTTGGCTATGGACCAAGGAGTGGTGGAGGAATGGCTTTCAGAATTTAAGGTACTGCTTTACTTTGTGTGTAAAGTAACACGCTAACTATGAGGCCTCTAAACACAGTAAACCGTACACCACCACACGTTCCTATAGATGGAAATCAAACAGTGTGGAGAGCTACCAAAAGGCATTTGAATCCCCAAATCCTATATGCAATTGAATTATTTCTTTCTAAAGTGTTTCCTCATAATAACGTTGGTATAAACTCTGCTGTGGAAAGAATTAATGTAATTTTTTTGATAAATTAGAATTGGTATCAAATCTGAAAACCTCTAATCAAACACCAAAACACATAAACAATAACAAATGGTTTGACAATGATTGCAAAAATATCTGAAAAAAGCTTTAAGGAAGTTATCAAATGAAAAACAGAGACAACCTAAATAAGCAAAATACACGCCTTCATTACCATGGCACCTTAAAACAATATAAATACACACTAAGAACAAAGAGAACAACACACCAGGAACCAGTTCTCTGAAACAGGAGGATCCTTAGAGTCAAACCAATTCTGGCAGAAGTGGAGCACTCTCAACTAAACACATTAAGATCATGTGGCAATACAAAATGGCAGCATTTGGACTGATTATTTTACTGAATTGCACAGTAATATTGCAAAGAACACTGACCAAAACAAAATACACACCAAATGGAAATCTTTAGAATTAGTAATTAAGGACAACCAAAACCCTCTAGATGCTTCAATAACGGAGCGAGAACTGATGGAAAGTGTCCAATCTCTGAAAGATAAAAACTAAACTAAAAGAGACGTATGATATAATTAAGTCTATGTACACAAATAATAAATGTGCTGTTTAAAATAGGAGAGAAACAAACAAACAGACTTCTTTTCTGTGGGGTGAGGCAGCTTCAACTATCTTCATTTTATACATTAATGAATTTGCATGTCAATGAGATCAATCTATGGCACCTGGACCCTGAATGATGCAGAATTTAAGGGCTTCCTGTATGCAGATGACTTGCTGTTGCTGTCACCAACAAAAGAAGGTCTACAGCAGCAATTCTGTCAGACCTGGGCCCTGACAGTTAAATGGAAAAAATATATCAATATTATAATTGTAATTTTAAGTTTTATTATTGCTGCTATTTTTGTTATATTTTGCTAGTATAAAGCGCGCGCACACACACACACACACACACACACACACCTACACCCAATGGGCAAAGTTTTTGTTTTCTGATATTTTCTTGATTTTCTAAATTCTAATATTGTTTTTTTTTGTTTTTCTTTTCACTATATGATTCCTCAATGCATTGTCAACATACACTCAATAAAGCAAATTTAATTGTATTAGTCATTCCTGTTGATATCAGTTCAGTTTCATTTACCTGTAACCATAATATTGGGTAGATTTATTGCCTTAAAGCAATATCTGTGTCTCCTGCACTTCATCAAGTTTAAATCGATCAAATTTAGACCATATCAACAAATGTTTGACCAGTCAGTACTGTCTTCTAAAATCATTCTGTGTGTATTTTTAGAATATTGGTAAGGTGGTTAGTGTATCAGTTAACTTGAGCTGTTTATTTATGTGTTTCAGACCCTTCCTGACAGTGCTGTGTCCAACTATGCCGCCTCACTAAGAGACAAAGGTGCCCTGGTCCCCGCACTCTACAAAGTCATACGAGAGAACTACAGCGATGTATGGACACACTATTTTTATTCATGTAGACATTATCTAACCACACAACACTTAAAGTATTAAAGTATTTTGCATTTTTTCTTATGTCACCATTAATCTGTAATTGTTCATTCATACACCCCTGATAATATTATGTCCTTTTTTAATCTAATTGTTCTGTTATTTATAGTCTGACTGTACTTTGCTGCTTTGCTTCATCTGGACAATATAGATGCACCATAGTGCTAAATGCAAAAGGTATTGCAGTTGCATGATCTAACCATGTGCCTGTTTTTTGTTTTTCTGTCGTCCCTAGTTGCTGGAGCCAGTGTGTCACCAGTTGTTTGAGTTTTACCGGAGCGGTGAGCCGCAGCTGCAGCGTTTCACGCTACAGTTCCTGCCAGAGCTCCTGTGGAGCCTGCTGTCCGTCAGCGCAGCCAGAGACCCCCACACCTCCGGCTGCATCGAGGCCCTGCTGCTGGGCATTTACAACCTGGTAGGGGAGATGATGAAGGTGGTGGTTTGCGGTCTGTGTGTGTATGTGTGTGTGTGCATTAAAATTTGCAAAACTGCATTTTTATGTCACAGCTGATGTGTTTGATGTATTATCAGTAGAGAGCTGCTCTTGTTCGTAACAATCAGTGGTTTCCATTGTGATAAGCCAAAGTAAAGAAAAACACTAGAAAAAAAGTCCTTGATCCTTAGCAAGTGGGCATAATCACTCAGTTCCAGAACCACTCAGCTATTTCTAGGATCTGCGTCATGTGTTTTGAAAGATTACTTCATGCCCTTTATGCCTTGTTAAGTCAGCTATGCATGTAGAGTGACAGGAAATGTGGGTTAGAATTAGGGGAATTGAAACACAATTACTTTGCAAATATACAATATGGATGGGTTGCACCTTTCAAAATGCCCACACGCTTCCCACAGAAAGATGCCAGCAGTAGTAATTATTAAAGTGAGTTCTATTTTCATCCATTTTGGCTCTTAATGTCCTATCTATCAGCAAAGTGCAGGGTCCCCTAACTTCCTCTCTGAATAGCAGAATAGGTCAGCTGTCACTCAACACACTGGCTGACTACCATTAATGTATTTGACATTAACATGCACACAGGGGACACCAAAACCCTGGGGTGGGTGGGTGTGTGTGTGTGTGTGTGTGTGTGTCTGTCTGTCTGTCTGTGTGTCTGTGTGTTCACACAATATCTACAAAAAAATAAGCAAACACATCAGCAGACTGAGTAGGGAAACGGGGCCCTGAGGTCCACACACACAAGCACCCACACATAACAGATGAGTGTTCTTGTAGAGATAAGCACACACACTCTTCAGAGGTTGAGGGCACCCACAGAAAAAAAAGCTTCTGGTTTTCTCGCCCACAGAAACAGTTTCTCATCGTCTTCCTGTCTTTCTCTTTCACAGGAAATAGTTGATAAAGATGGACAAAGTAAAATATTATCTTTTACGGTCCCTTCCCTCTCCAAACCCTCAGTGTACCACGAGGTGAGAAACGCACACAAGTCATAACACAAGCTAATTTGCTTTGACAGAAATGCTAAGTTTAAAAACGTCATCTTCCTACCTCCAGCCTTCTGCCATCGGCTCCATTGCCCTTACTGAAGGGGCTCTAGCCAATCACGGGCTGAGCAGGGTGGTGTACAGCGGGCCACACCTCCAAAGAGAGACCTTTACAGCACAAAATAGGTAAGAGGCTTGCTAGGCACGCTGCTGGGCGGCTGGTGTCATGCCAGCAGGGTGGAGATTGTACTCGTTTTAAAATGGGCTTTCCTGGCAGCGGGCTGCGAGACTGTCTGCTTAGTTAGAACTGGCAGCGAACACAAGCCAACAACCAAAGTAGAAACACACATGAAGGAAGATGAACAATCTGATGAATCTAAATTGAACTGTGCAACATATTGCCAAGAAATTCATTTCTTCTGTTGTTACAGTGTCGAACTGTGTTGGTGAATACAAGTTAGATTATCAGTTGTCTCAAAGTGAAATGCACTGTGAAAAACTCATATGACTAGTGATATGTGTGAACATAACAGTCCATGAAACTCAGGCCTAAGGAAGTTCAGATGCTGTTTTTGATGCAGTCAGTAGGAAGATAAGATAAGTTGGAACAGAAGTCCATCCAAAAAAAGTTGTGGCTTCTATTTAACATTGCAAGTTGAATGTAGTCTGACAACCTCATTAAATATGTTTGGTAATACCTTGAAAATGTGTCTAGTTTCAGTAACTCCAGTCCTCAGACTTGTGATAGAGAGTTTAGCTGCTGCCAGGGCCAATTATTCTGTGCATGGTACGCTAGCCTCACTGATGGCCCATGGCAGTTGTCCTTGCTTTGTTGCATTTGAAGTTGTTACATCGCTGTTGGGGTTTCCTAAATTAATTTAATGAGGCCGCACTGCAGCCAAACTCTGAAGGTTGTGATGGTCTGAGTTGAACGTCTTTAACTTTTTTTCAGTACCGTTTTCTACTGACAAAACAAATCTGGCTGCCTTTTAAAAAAAAAAAAAAAAAAAACAAAAAAAAAAACTTGTTGAAAGTTACTGTCCTAGATATAGTATTAGTGCTACTGTACTTTTCACTGACTATACTATACACATCAGAGTCTGTTTACAGTCCTTGGGGAATACTTAATATGTGAAAAAAGTTGTGTAAAACATTTTGGGGTGGAGTTGTGGGAAATCTGACCAATTTTCTCAAGTGATGTCACTTTTTTATCTGATGACTTTTTGGTTTGGTTTTGTAATCTTTCAATCTCTCTATTGTGGTATTTCTATCTACAGTATAGAAAGAAGTGTAACTGTGTGTATGGGTTTCAGATCTTGTATGTTTAAAATGTTTATATATCATGTTGGACATAAGACATGCTATTTTAAGGGTGTTATGTTTGTTTTGTTTTTGAGATTTGAGGTGCTGACCTTCCTGCTGCTGTGCTACAATGCTGCTCTCAGCTACATGACCTCCACCTCCCTCCAGTCCCTCTGCCAACTCAGCTCCAGGTAAAAACACACACACACACACACACACACACACACACACAACACACAACACATAAATAAACAGCTCAAGTTAACTCAGCATAACTTAATATACTGTAGAGACCTGTGGGTCACTTTGTCACACACACACACACACACATATTCACTTTTTAACTGACCTTTGTGTCACTTTCTTGATGTTGATGTTTTTGAGGATGCTACTTACACCTTACACACACACACACACACACACACACACACACACACACACACACACACACAAGACACAGACACACACACTATATTTTGCAAGCTCTTGCTTATCTGATCCTCTTATAGACTTTGGTGCCAGGAAGAGCCAAGATACTGCTATTTGGCAAAGAGCTGAGTGATTCTGGTAATCTGCCAACTGCAGTTGAGCATTGCCCTGATAAGCACAGAGCTAAAGAGAAGTTATCAGCTTTGATTTCCCCTGGACAGTTTCCTGTGTGTCAGCTGTGTACTTCAAATGCACAGGTATTATCTCTAGGGCTGCACTCGGATGAAAGAAAACATGTTTGTTTGGTACAGACCCCAACAAATTTCACATCTTCATCACATAATTTTAATATTTTTTTTCAGTAAATTAAATATGTAATAATTGAATTCAAAATGCCCACACGCTTCCCACAGAAAGATGCCAGCAGTAGTAATTATTAAAGTGAGTTCTATTTTCATCCATTTTGGCTCTTAATGTCCTATCTATCAGCAAAGTGCAGGGTCCCCTAACTCCCCTAGCTCTGTGCTTATCCAAAAGAAAACATGTTTGTTTGGTACAGACCCCAACAAATTTCACATCATCATCACATCATTTTAATATTTTTTTTCCGTAAATTAAATATGTAATAATTGCGAAATGATTTTTGTCTACCTAATCGAGCAGCCATAGTTATCTCAGCTTTAGCTAAATCCTCTTTGTTGCAACTTGTATGATACTTGTTTGGAAATAATTAGCTGTCTACATGTCATGCTCAGAAATTATTCACTACAGTAAATCCTCTGGATAATGGAGTAAACCACTGAGAAATCATTATGTATCATGCTTTGTATGCATTTGTGCGTGCATGTTTATACCAAGCAATTATTTGTTCATTATTGACTTTATCAGCTCACCACAGGGAAGTCAGTTCCCCTTAATGGAGCTGCAGCCAAGGAGCTCAGAGGAGTGGTTTCCCTGATTGAAGCTTCCCTGTTTCACTGATACAAGCTTCCCTATTGTGTTTTTATTGGTTATCCTCCAGGGTGTGTATATGCGGTTACCCACGGCAACAGATGCGGCGCTACAAGGGCATTAGCACACGGCTGACAGTCACGTCTGAGTTCCTGGTTCAGCTCATCACAGGGATACACTACGCCTTGTGAGTATGCTTGCCCAAGCAGCCCAACCAACACAGCACTGACTCACTGATCAGCTTGAACTTCTCCAAGTGTATATAGTGCTAAACATGTTTCCTAAAATCTCCTCTAGGTTTCCTGTATCTGATTTGAGTTGTTCTAAGTATATTCTGACATTCATGTTTAGAAGAGGTTGCTCAGTGACAGTTATTGAGCCTGCACACTTTACAGTATGAACCAGTTTACATTGTCGTGTTGCATTTCACAAATGGCTTGACAGCTTTATGGCAATATAGCATAGGCAGTGTAATCAACATAGCATGTGCACGTCCATCCTGATGAGATGGCATGAGATAAACAACTGCTCTATAGCATTATTGGAGGTCTAAAACTCCACAGTAAACCTTTAATCTGTGACTCGTACCCATATGTTTATGTTTATGTGTTTGTGCCTGTGTCTAGGTGCAATGGGGAAGTTGAACTGGGATCCAAAGCACTGGATGACGTTCTGTATCGGGCCCAGCTAGAGTTGTTCCCTGAAGCTCTGTTGGTGGGTGCCGTCAGATTTTCTTCTTCTATCACATCTCTCTCCTTTCTGTGTTTCTGGACGTCCGTGCGTGTGTGTGTGCGTGTGTGTGTTGAAAGAGCATGTGATTTGGATACACATGCTCACCTGTGGTTTTGATTCAAGCACAGCACACTATGCTGTATTGTGTTGGTCTCTGTGTGTGTCAGAGGCTGCAATCAGAGTGTAATCCCACTAGATTATTTACATGCTTTCCACTCTGCTCCGTTAAGCTATAATCCTTGAGGCCCAGGGAGTAGAGGATTGAACCTAAGCTCACAGTATTACTACACAAGTCAAGGTGTACTCCTCCACAACAATCAAAACACACGACCTTTGGATTCACATTAACAATAATGGTGTTGGGGTTTAAGAATATGTTAATAAAGAAACCTCTTTTTGGAGATATGACAACAAACACAAACAGAACAACAGTGTGAAAGGGTTAAAATGTCAGCGTTTTATCCAGCGTGTTTATTTGTGTTTACTTGTTGCAGTGGAGCACACCCGGTGGCTGTTAGCTTAGCATAGCTTCGTTACGTGTACCTCATGAGACCAATGTGTTGCACCCTCGCAGACAAAAGACACGTTGTGTTGTGATTATGATGCTTTTTACGTCATTTTACGTACTCAACTATTACATGATCATTAGCGCAAGTGCCAGTTGAGTTTCCAGCGAGAACAAAGGTTATTTTGAAAGACTTGTGAAACAGAGTTACATTGGAAGAAATACAAAGCCTTTTTGTCTTTCTTATGTCACTACTCTGTGTAACTCAGTTTGTGTTAAGATTTAAGGTTAATCCCTGTGCATAAATCTGGTAGAAATGGGATTATTAATGTTACTGGTTTGGTCCCATGATCTGAACTTCAATATGACGTAAGAACAAAACACACCTTAGTGGGATCAGAAATGCTGCTAACACATACATTGTGTACTGCACATTGCCTTTACACTTGTTTTTTTTTTTTTGTGATTTCCTTCTGTCTCTCTGTGTGATTGGACAGAGAAACTTTTCCCTGTAGTTGTACTACCTCTATGTTTTCCCTGATTCAAGTACGTAACTGGAGAAAAAAAACAAAAACAAAACAAAACAAAAAAAAAAAATTCAAAATTGTAACTGGATCTTTGGAGTATTGACCTGATGGAGATACATGGTGGTTTCAGGTGTACTTTTTATTTGGTTTGGTTGCAATCAGATACAATCTGGCCTTGAGACACATCAATGCACGTTTATAAAGGGAAATCTAAACATGTGCTTGGAGTTTGTTTGCTTTGTTTGTTTGTCTGTTAGTTGACTGTACATCATCAGTTATACTGTTAAACTGCTTCTCAACACTTAAAAAAAGCATTTTTTGATTTTTGCTTTGTAAATTTTAAATACCAGTCATCTTATCAGCTCTAAACAATGACACCCAGAGTCAAAAGTAATAGGATTGCCCCCAGGTGACATTGAATATAATGTGTTGGGCCAGTTGCTAACCTATTAGAGAGCAAGTCCAGTTCCTCACTGGTTAACGTCAACCTCTGAAGCAGTAATTTTTGTGGATGTGTGCTTCTCCTCGCCCCTCAGGTGGGTAATGCCATCAAGTCGTCACTGCACGGCGCAGCGCTGAAGAGCAACAACAAGGAGGGTGCACGGAGTATCCAGGTGGAGATCACACCCACCTCCTCCAGGATCTCCCGAAATGCTGTCACCTCCCTCTCTATCAGGGGACACCGCTGGAAGAGACACGGTAAGACTCGTACGCAGGAGGAGAAAAACAAGGTCAAGTGTAGGGACACAACTGTGGGAATTCAAGTCACTGAGCTCTCACACACAGTTTTCACATTTTTCTTTAACCATTTTGCAATCCCATTTTTATTGGGTAATAAAAGAAATATTTTTTTGATTGAAGAACAAATCCGTACCAAAGGAGAGAGCAAGAGCTTAAGATGTCTTCATTGTTCACTCACCCTACCATTTCATATCCCACAGTCACTGTGTACATAAGTGTTGTCACCCTTCAGTCCATAAGCACGTATTGCTAGCTAGTGCTGTCAACCTCCTTTTTTCCAGTCGCCTAATTCAAACCCATCACTTCCTGTCTGATCTGTTAGGATTTGCCCAAGTTGGTGGTAATACAGAGACAGGCGAGCATTCACAGTTTGAGAGCAGTCAGTGAAAAACGGATACAGAGAGAATCAACACAGCACATGAACTAAACCAGAGAGCAGGTAGTGTATGTATAGTATAGTATAGCCCAGATGAGTTGCAGTGTGTATACTTTTTTTGTATTGAATATGTTGCGTGTTGTGTAGTTTCAGCTCTGTGTCAAAGAAACCATATAGTACTTCAAAGACCGAAGAACAAATTCATTTGTTTAGTCACTGATGAGTCTGTGTGTGTGGTTGAGAATTAAGAGAGAGCTGCTCTCTTTTCCCAGACTACAGATAAGGCAGGTAAATTACAGCCTTCAGCTAGTTTAATGAGTAGGTTTCAACTCCCCTTTTTCATCTCATGAATCCTGCTCATTGGCGCCAGCTACTTGTTTATGCGTAAAGCTTTTGTTGTGAGCAGATGATAGAGGAAAATGCTATTAAATATTAATTAATGTTTAGGGTTGAGTGGTGACCCAGTATGAAATGTGATTCCATTCAAATACTTTGTTCATATTCATCTCCATAAAGCATGTACTTTGACCATGTGTTATGTTCTGATCACTATGATTTTTGTCTTTTTATTTTTCTGTTACATTGATTACCTTACCTGTGTGTCTTGTCTTGCCGTGGTCGTGTGTGCCTGTGCACATGACCGTCTTTTTGTCTTACATGTATGTGTGCATGCTATGTGTCTGTCTGTCCATCTGTATGTGTTTGTATGTCTGTGTGTGTGTGTGTGTGTATATATGTATCGTCCCACTACCCCCCCACGCTCCCCCCCCACCAGAGTCCCAGGAGGTGAGTGTAGACAATGATGCTGCACTGGGGGGTGTGGCCATCCCCGAGATCAGTGTGACAGGTGTGAGCGGCGATCGAATGCCAAACGGAGACTCCCTGCGGCCGCGCCCCGATGGCCGCGCCCTGCCCGACTGCGACACGTTGGGGGCCGCCTCTGAGGTCAGCCTGGACCCCCGAGGTCATGACTCCGGCACGCGGGGTCAGGAGGTCAGGAGGCAGAAGTCTGTGAGGCGAATGGTGGAGAATGAGGGTTCTGGGTCGGCCTCCACAGGGAGGAGCCAGTACTAAGGTCCAGCCCCTCCTTCCCCCTGCCCCACTCCCGGGGTAACCTAGGTAACCGTGTGTGGGGGGGTGTGGTCTAAAAAGCTGCATGGTGACTTTCCCCTTTTACCTTTCGCGCTGGGCTCCACCAACCTCTCTTCGCCTAATTGCACTATTCCTCTCATCTGTCTATGCGACGTCATTCATTCATTAACTCTCTCCTTTGTGGCTAAAGCTTCCTCATGAAGATCTCCTGCTGAGACTCCTTAAAATCCAATTAATTATTTAAGCTCTAACTGAATAACAGATCAATAACCTAATAAAAAATGCATAATAATGAAATGCGCTTGGCTGAATCAAAATATTGTGTTTATAACGCGTTTCTGTTGAGTGGATCCTTTACCTCAAAGCAGAACATTAGTTACACAAGTCACAGAAACAACGGGTATAACAGCACCTTTATGAACAGTAAATATGACACACATACTGCAGATATAAAACTCTCTTTAGCTGTATCTCGTTTAGTAAAAGTCACTCTAAAGCCTGAGGTCAGGTCACCGATAACTGATAAGCAGATGACCTTGAATCATGAAGTGCAGATATAATATCTCTTGTTAGCAGTGTCTGTACCAGGAGATTGTACTCTTACAGTGTTGTGTAACTGTCTAACTCCTGGGTTTCTACTGGAGGGATCAGTAAGCTTTTGGGTCTCTTACAGCACACCTTGGTACACCTGGACACATTACCCCTGGGTTGCACCTGGAGACAGATTACTTCCTTCTGACCGGTAGCTAGGAAAGCTGAGGAAAGATATGCAGGTCTTTTTAATCATTTGAAGCAAAAGCTGCTCACAATGTAAAATGCTAGACTTGAATCTCCTGAATCTGAAAGTCTCATTTTAACAGGACCTGCCTATCTGTCTGTGTACCAGCTGTTTACAGGTGTTCTGTTTACAGTGATAGCAACAGATCAAAAGTGTGTATTGCATATTGTGCAAATGCAGGTGGTTGGCTGCTCACACAAGTGTGGATGCATGTCTTTAAGAAAGCAGGATAGATGTTTATATTTGTGTGTGTGTGTGTGTGTGTGTGTGTGTGTGTGTGTGTGTGTGTGTGTGTGTGTGTGTGTGTGTGTGTGTGTGTGTGTGTGTGTGTGTGTGTGTGTGTGTGTGTGTGTGTGTGTGTGTGTGTGTGTGTGTGTCTTTTAGAGTTAGTGAAGAGGAACCCGTGTATTTAAGATGAACTTACTTGTGCCTTTTGTTTGCCTTCCTCTACTTTCCCTTTGTGGTCTTTCCTAGGCTTTATGCTCTTAGACTCCTCTCCTGCCTTTGGGACAAAACATGCACTCCACTGACTGTTAACCAAACCTGTGTGCTGGGCTGGAATACACAACTTGCATTGTCTCACGTCAGGTGGCGAGCTGTCCCTGTTAGTTGAAGTTACAGTTTGAAGGCGCCACCTGCTGGACAGTGATAGAGCTCCTCTGTCATGCAGCCCAACATAAAGCCTTAAGTAATCTCATAGGACCCCACATGCAAAATATTGTCTGAATAATATATTGATTTTAAACCATGTTCAGCTTATTAATTTGATTGAATCAGATGGGCTGGATGACAGATGAGGTGGTAATTATATATTTTTTTTGCTTGTTTTTCATTTCAGTGCTTGTTTTGTCTCCCTCTGTCTGTCCGACTCACAGACGCAGTGGATCTGGGTTCCCCGGATGAGCTGATGGATATTTCAGAGGTGGATGAAGGGGTGTGGCCAGGTGGCGTGGGGCCTGACATGACTCCACCCACCATCACTATCAGCAACAGCGTCACCACGTTGAACCTGGGGGCCAAAGCCATGAAGAAGTGTCGGCTCGGTGGGCGCACCAGCAAGGACAAGGACAAGGAGGCGGGCCCTCTAACAACGGGCCGGGCCAACAGCGAGAACATAGAGCTGTCTATCAAGCGACTGACGCTCACTTCCAGCCAATCAGTGCCCAAGGCAGGAGCTCTCACTAGCCTGACGCGTACCGCCAGCGCCGTCTTCTCCCGCTCCTTTGAGCAGGTTGCCAGCGGCAACGCCCCCCCCTCCAGCAACCACACCTCCTCTGAAGCGGCCCGTTATTCATGCAGCCTGCAGGAGGAAGGGCTGGGGTACTTGAGTCCGGCGCCAAACCACACGCAGCGCTCTCCCAGCATTAGCGTGCACCTTGGCTCTGACCTTTGAACCCTTTTGTGACTCCTGACTACCTGAACCCTCGCCTCTGATCCCTGTGACCCTGTACCTGTGACCTGGAACTCCAAGCCATGCCAACTGCAACGGACCAGAAATGCACGAACAAACACTCCCGCTGGTTCCCTCGTCACTCCATTTTAACGTCTTCGATTCTCTGTGCTGTAAACCAGACATCCAGACTTCCGTCAGCTCCCTCTGTTCCTTCCCCCTCAAGCAGAGTCTTCTGTGGGCCTGATGGAAGCGGGATGTCAGGGATACCACCTCCAGCTTCAACGATTTTTACTAGTGCACTGTTGCCGTGAAGTCGTGCCAGGATAAAACTGTACTGTCGGAGAGCAGCCTGTCGTAAATGGGTGCACTGAAAACTCATTACTAAAAAAAAAAAAAAAAACTGTGTGGAAAACTATTTGGAAAGTATTTTAATTGGCATTTGTTGCCCTGCATGGCTTTCCCATACATCCATCCTGACCTTGCCCAGGTTTGTCAGAGGGCAGATGTTGAGTATGTATGGGCATGCTTGAGTGTATGTACTGAATGTGTGTATGTGCAATTGTTTTTAGAATAAAGGCTGCTGATTGATACAATGAACAAGGTATGATTCTCCGAGTTGAAACAAGTGTTTCTACTACTTTAAAAAAAAAAAAAAAAAAATCGTTCCCTTTCCCATAGCAATACAAATCTCTCCTAATCAGTGTTTTTCATCTTTTGGGAAGATTACCCAAACTCCCCCTGTTCACAGTAGTTACAGCTGTGCTTCTTCCCTTAAAACATCTGGAAATACAACCACTAAATAATCAACCATTAAAAATAATTGGTTCTTTATGTTTACAACCGCACAGAATTGTCGTCATAATGATGGAGAAGCAATATGTGTGTCCCTCCCTCTCGCTCCTCTAGCACTTTCCTCAATTGCTGTGTATTTGATGGCAACTCTAAAAAAACGCCAACTTCTGAAAAATGATGAGGACGATTTTGACGATGGGGGGGGGACGATGGGTGTGCGTGATTTTGAGTATTGAATTTTGCACTCTAAAGAGCAAACGAGTTGTGTTCTCAACTTTTGGTATTTTCTTATGATGAACAAGAGAGGTTTGACTCTCAACTGTGGTATTCTCCTGTGAGACAGATGCATTTTGTTGCTCCATACGAATTTCTACTCTCGCATCTAAACGCTGATCCAAAAAAAGTTGAAAACCACACAGACTTGAAGTCCACCTACTTGCACGGAGGTAAACAAATCTGAGAGGAAAAGCTGTATCTGAACCTATTCCTGTGTATTCTGCAGTAAGAAGCTGTGTGGGGCAACAAGGCATCTTTCCTCTCCTGATTCACCCACCATTCCAGCTGTTTGTAGTACTTTTTGGTGATGTGTTTCCTGTGTCCCTACTTGTTCACATTATCATCAACATCATCACGTCACATGACATGGTGATATTCTCTTGTACCAAAAAAGGAATTAAACTCCACCCATCTGCTACATTTGATGTCCTAAATCGAGCATCCATGCTGCCCTATCCTCAAGCAAAAGTGTGTTCTGTTGTCTGTGTACTAGAGCTGTCGAGTGTCGATACAGTCGCTTGGTGGGACGATAACAATCATCGTGTTTCTGTATGTGGGTTTACAGAATGTGAGCTCTTGTTGTACATCATACTGTTGTACTAAAGTTGGTTTCTATTGGCCTTTCTATGTCTGAAGATAACTCACTGCTACAACTTCTGGGAATAAAGTGTTTCTATATTTCGTGTGTGTGTGTGTGTGTGTGTGTGTGTGTGTGTGTGTGTGTGTGTGTGTGTGTGTGTGTCTGTCTGTCTGTCTGTCTGTCTGTCTGTCTGTCTGTCTGTCTGTCTGTCTGTCTGTCTGTCTGTCTGTCTGTCTGTCTGTCTGTCTGTCTGTCTGTCTGTCTGTCTGTCTGCATCACCAAAACATTACAGTGATGCAATTAAAGAAGAATACACCATGTGTGAAATGTTAGGGTTAAATACTGTATGGATCTACAGCTGGAAACCATATTTTATCCACTGAACTCGCTATACAAGCTAATTTCTCATGCAACTTCTACACTACTGATACGAATAAGATACCAGTAAATACATTGTTTTTGGACAAAATCATTCTTTAAAAACATGATTTATTCTATTAAAACTCCTAGTTTGAGGCCATCGTAAATAATTAAATAATTAATACATGGATAAATATAATTTTAAATTAAAGCTGCAAGCAGCGTTGGGCGGGACCTCGCACTCCATGCAACTCGGGGCGTGCTGCCACAACACGAAAATTTCACGTAAATCAGCTCAAAATCGCCACGCAGCGCTTACCACCTGTTGCCGGAAGGTGGCGCTATCACTATGTCTTAATATTGTCATGTAGACAAGTTCAGGGCGGGACTGTTACAGAATATATGAAGTTCACTGGAGATTGGACATTGCACACTGAAGTTATGAGTGGCATTTCTGGCGAATCCGCTGAATTTGACAAGTCGTCACTGGCACGGTCATTTCACGTAACGCAGCACAAAATCGCCATGCAGCGCTTACCACCTGTTGCCAGAAGGTGGCGCTATCACTATGTCTTAATATTGTCATGTAGACAAGTTCAGGGCGGGACTGTTGTATCACACATGAAGTTTCATTGAGATTGGACCACGTACGCTGAAGTTATGAGGACGTGTTCAGGGCGAGACTGTTACAGAATATATGAAGTTCACTGGAGATTGGACATTGCACACTGAAGTTATGAGTGGCATTTCATGGCGAATCCGCTGAATTTGACAAGTCGTCACTGGCACGGTCATTTCACGTAACGCAGCACAAAATCGCCATGCAGCGCTTACCACCTGTTGCCAGAAGGTGGCGCTATCACTATGTCTTAATATTGTCATGTAGACAAGTTCAGGGCGGGACTGTTGTAACACACCTTAAGTTTCATTGAGATTGGATCATGTACACTGAAGTTGAGTACTATCTGTTTATGGTGAATGGTCGAAATTCAACGCAACGCCACGGGTACGCCGTTTGACGGAATGTCGTAAATAGCACAACTTTTAATCATGAATGTCTTTAGATTGCGCTGATTAAATTGGAAGTTGATCCGATAAATTCCCTAGGAGGAGTTTGTTCAAATACAAGGCAAAAAATCACAGAAAATGAGCACGGAATGCAAAATGGCTGACTTTGATGCCAAGCCACGGACACGCCGTTTGACGGAATGTCGTAAATAGCACAACTTTTAATCATGAATGTCTTTAGATTGCGCTGATTAAATTTGAAGTAGATCCGATAAATTCCCTAGGAGGAGTTCGTTCAAATACAACGCGAAAAATCACAGAAAATGACCAAAAAAATCTAAATGGCTGACTTTGATGCCACGCCACGGACACGCCCTTCAATGTACATGCACAAATAGCACAACTTTTAATCGGCACCATTTTTTGACTGTACTCACAAATTTTGAAGCAGATCTGATAAATTCCCTAGGAGGAGTTCGTTCAAATAAAACGCGAAAAGTTCGCTGAAAGTGAAAATGAAAATGAAAATGGCCGACTTCCTGTGGGGTTTGGGGTATGGGTCCAAGAGGCTTTTTTGTACGTCCCGGCATGTTACACGTGCCTACCGAGTTTCGTACATATCGGTGAAACGTGGCGCCAGGGCTTCTGTTTTTTTATCCTGTAGGGGGCGCTACACACATGACGAACACGATTTTTGGTATGTGAGCTTCAGGCACTACTCTACACGTGCCCTGTGAATTTCATATTAATAACTATTACGGTATTCGCACAGTGATTTACCATACCAAAAGAGCGCCACCTAGTGGCGTATTTTGTTTTTCCTTTTTAAGGGAGCCTCATGGAGCCGGGGGAAGCATCATACCAAGTTTCATCTTAATCACATATACCGTTGTAGAGATATAGACTTTTATTTTAAAGAGCGCCACCTAGTGGCAATGGCCTGAAAATGTGCACGATGCTTAAGGAAGACATGTTGAACTATGGACCCAAGTTTGGTGTCAATCGGACATACCAATGTGGAGAAATGGTCCACTTCCTTTTTTGACGAAAAATCTACAGGAAGTTGGAATTTTATAGCGTGCTTATTTTTTTAAATTTCAAAAATGTTCAAATTAGCCTTTTTGCCAGGGCGGTCCCCAGGTGGTAGGTGAAAAGTTTCGTGTGAATCGGAAAAAGCGTGTAGGAGGAACACTTAAAAGTAGTTTATGGACATTTTGCGCTCTAGAAAAAAAAAATTGTAGGCGGAAGTGGGCGGGGCTTATATGGGGAGATTCAGCTCCATTCACCGAACGCGTGGATATAAGTGTTTTTTTATGATAGTAGCGCCACCTAGTGGCAGACCCGAAAGCGACGCATGTAATATCCCCATTTTCACCAGGCCTGATCACTTTGCCAAATAAAATTGACTTTTCGTCTATGTTCAGGGGGGCAAAAATGCAGTCAATGGGGGCTAAAAATAATAATAATAGGTAAGAAGAAGAAATCGAGCAAAAACAATAGGGACCTCCAGCGGTCGCTTGCGAGGTCCCTAATAAGTAATGTACTGAAATGTATTTCGTTTTATGGCACACATCTGTAGCGGACGCGCAATTACACGTCTGTCCACAAGATGGCGCCCTATGACAGATGTACAACGTTGGCTAACGGCTGGATCCTTGACGTCACTTCCTCTTAACCTTGTCCTTGTCAGCAGCAGCAGCAGCAGCATCGTCGCTGTCCGGGATAAACACATGGCTAAACTGAGCAAAGAGACCAAACAGCGGCTGCAGCAGCTGTTCCAGTGCAGCCAGTTTGTCATCCGATGGGGGTTCATCCCGACCGTGCTGTACCTCGGTCAGTATCCGAACAGGAGGGGGGGAACCCGGCCGGGCTGAGGAGACATGCCTCGCTAACGTTAGCCAGTTAGCTTAGCAACGCTAGCCTTAAACTATGAGCTAGCTGACTTAACGTTACGTAGGAAGGGGTGGCTGTGATGTAGCTTCAACTTTGAACTTATATAGCTAGTGTTTGGTGCCCAGTATGAAATAATTAACGTAGTTCCAGTGTTGTTATTATTATATTATTATTATTATTATTATATATATTAGCAACGAGTGTGCTGGTTCTGTAGCATTCAGGTTTAGCATTAATAGGGGTAACTTGTAGACTCTAAATTGCCCCCCTCAGGAGAAGTCATGTAGTGCATGTACGATTATAAATGGTGATGTAGGCTAGTCCTATATTAATGTGGTAAAATGAGTTTATTAATTGATGAACCTGATCTCCTTAAGAAGCAATCTGTCACCCTTATCTGGTTTATTATTATTTTAATGTCATTATTTCCTAACACCAGCATGTGACAGATGTTTCTGAATAATGGACTGAGGACGGTGCAAGCTGCCATCTGCTTTGATCAAAACAATGTCAGCAAAAAGTCCTTCTAGGTAGTTAGTTTAAATGTGTTCATGTGTTCAAGTCCAGCACATGTCCGCATGTATTTTAGTTTTTTATTTTAGTAATGTGTGGAGCACTAAACATGGTTATAGTTTGGAGTAGAGATGGGGAAGTTCACATGTGGTTAGGAGCAAACCTGGGGAAGTTAAGACTTTTGCATGTCTGACCTCATAGCCGGTGGGGAGTGCCCTCTACGAGTGAATCTTCTCTGACTTCAGCATTTTGGAAAGACCAATGCTCATGTCATACTTTCTCCCTTCTCATTTCACTCACCTTCTATAGCCCTTTTTTTACATGCATTTCCCTCTTGTTGCTCATTTGGTTCTCAAGGGCAGAATTTTCTTAGATTGCACATGAAATGTGTTGCTCTCGGGTTACCGCCATCTGAATTACACTGCACATGTGAGATGGCGTTGAAACAATTAGTCAATTAAATGATTATTAATCAACGGTAAAAGTCGATGTATCCATAAAAGAACGTTTTCCAGAAGATTTTAACTCTCCCTTATGTTAAAATGAATTCCTTTTACAGCTTTTTTTAACCATTTGTTGGACACCTCAGGCTCTGAAAACATAGGTGATGGGCATTTGTTCTTTTTTCCTTACATTTTATATTCTATTTACGATCAATTGATGCATAAAGAAAGCTCAGTTGCAACCCTAGATAAACGGAGGAGTAAGTGGAAACTGGTAATCTTGCCTTTTTCTTAAGAATCAGTTGCATCATGACCTGTGATGTGATCTAGAAATATAATTGGGGAAACGATACACAGTGTTTTCCTTTCTGTGTGTGAGTGTGAGGCGGAGGTGCTGAGTCAGCTGTTTCACGCACTGTTTTTCAACTGTAATCACAAATGGCCCATTCACTGTATTTCACCCAAAAGAGGTTCTTCAAAGCCTACGCCGATGTGAGCGAGCACTCTGGTGCAATGATGCTGTTTAAGCAAGCTGGGGTAATATGCTGACAAACCATAATCACGCGGAGTGCAACCATTGGTAGAGTTCAAGGGGCAAAAGGGTACACCTAATGGTGAGGGAGATTTTTTGCTGTATCATATTTAAGTGCAAATGCATTTCACAAATGTAATAAAAAAAATAATAATTTGCCAGTAGATTTTCTATACTCCTTTTGTTCTTGGACGTAAACCAGTATGTTTGAATTCTTGTTTGTGGTTCTGATTTGCAGGTTTCAAACGAGGAGCAGATCCAGGAATGCCTGAACCCACAGTATTGAGGTAAAGACATACTGGTTTGAGATTTGTGCCTCCTGTTGAATTATAGATCTGATTTCAGAAGCAGCAAACATAAAGGTGTGAACTGCAACACTAAAAATAAGTTTTCACACCTATCCATGTATTTCCTTTAGTCGTGGAATAGTTGGCCTAACTTTCAACTAGTCATACAAGCTGTTATAATAACTGTCAGGAAAGGAAAATGTGTCATTCAATGGGTTCTGGATCATTTCTATTTGACATAACGATGTCAGTTAAATTTTGGTGGTTATTTTCGTAATTATAATTTGGGATTGGTAATTATTCTGATGAACATGCAGCATCTTATCACGGTGTTTTCTGGCAATGACACCCAGCACTTTCTGCTTTTACCCAAAATCCCCAACACAGAAGACTCCATTTGAATTGTCAAATAAACACAAGATAAGAAATAACCGTAGAAAAGATCTCGGACCTAAAGGCAGGGAGAGCACTGATATCATCATCCTGCTTTCACTCATTAGCCAGAGCCCTGTGTTACACTTGCTGACATACAGATACAGTTAATCTTATAATAGCATCAATCTGTGTCTCAACTACTTGTAGAATCATAAAGTGCATCAGGAAATATCTTACAAGAATCCCCAGTTTCTGCTCATACTCTGTATGTCACATGTTGCAGGATATCTCCTTAATTTATTTAAAGTTTCCATCCTTCTTTATACTGAAAAAATCTTCATAATGATAAATGTAATTTAGAAATGAGTTTCATTTTCTTCCTAAACAGTTTTAGCTTCTGACACCAGTAAAATCCCCAGCAAACATTTATGTTGATGTTTGCAATTTTTAGCTGTAGTTGCAGTAAGCTGTAGTAATAATGCTAAATTTAGAAGGGACAGCGTTTTTTGGGCCTTTCGCAGCCACATAGTTTCTATCTAGAACTGCACCGCTAGATGCCACTGAGTCCCACACACTGGTCCTTTAAAAAACAAAAACAAATACACATATTAAAAATGAATACAAACTTCCCAGTGATTGTGAACCGTGGAAATTTGGGATTCTAGTTGAACCTTTATTTTTCTTTCCTCTAGTTTGCTATGGGGCTAAGAAGCGTCTTCACGCAGCCAGTCCCCCTCCTCATCTCATAGAGACCATGTGACCCACGTGACCTTGGAAATCCAGGAAATGGACATGATGTTTCACTCTCCTTTTCATAAATCATACTGTGTCCGAGAAGTAATGGATGAATGCTACCTGCGGCCATACTGTTCATGGCCACATTTACAGTACATGTATGGAGGGCGTCGGTATGTATTAACAAGCTGGAATCAAGACTCTGTCCCTGAAAACGTGTGGTCTTGGTTGGACTATCTGCTGGTGGTTTTGTTGGGTTTTTTTTTTTTTGGGTGTGCGACTGCAATGTTTGGATAAATCCTTCATTCCATGTTTTACTCTTTTTAGTTGTAATGTACAATTTCTGCAAATAAATCCACACAGAAATGTCACTCTCGTTTCGATTACCAACAGCAGTGGTGGAATGTAACTAAGTACATTTATTCAAGTTACTGGAGTCTTTTCTTTTCATGCCACTTTATTCTACTACTTCACTACATTTCACAGGGTAATGTTGTACAGCTTTAGTCACTAGTTACTTCACAAGATGAAGAGCTTATACAGTATTTTTACTAATAAATCAAACTACCCAACAGTATAAAGTACAAAGCTGAAACCATTAGTCGAATAACTGATGAAAAAAAAAAGTAATTTTTCATGGAAAAAACCTTTCATCATGCTTCTCGCTTCTCAAATTTGAAGATTTGCTGCTTATTAATTATGCTGATAATGTAGTCATTCTGAGTTTCGCACTGTTGGTTGGATGAAACTAACATTGTGGCGGTGTCACTTTGGGCTCTCGGTGAAACAAAGACTAGTTAAAAATGAGCTCCACTTCAACCAGCCACAGTAAAATCCTGCTTTTACTTTAATAATTAGTAATAATCTAATGATATGTTGCAGTCACAGGAAGCATTTTTCTGCATTGAGTACTTTTGCTTTAACTACATTTCCCTGATTATATTTGCATACTTAAGTTACATTTTCAGTGCACTTGTAACAAAGTATTTTTACAGATTTTAAGAACTGGTTGAAAAAATAATTAAGGTAATGTAGTAAAACTCAGAGTTTGGAAATTCCACACAATGTAAAATAACACATTTTAGTTTTATCTTTCTGTCATATCTTCCAATCTCATACTCAGAGATAAATATGCAAATGCTTGTAGGAAAAACAACCCTGCGACGATATGACACGTGTAAGAAGTGTTGGAATGAAGAAACTTGTTTCTTATCAATGCAAATTATTTTATTTCTGCATATGTACAGAATATTCCTTACAGACAATAGTACCATTTATTACAGCGCATTGCATTGTAATTACAGCGCATTATTGTAACAGTACTGTAAATATAAAATGTATTCTACAAAAATATGGTTTTCATATCACAATAATGCTCAAGTAATCTTACATCCAGAAATAAATCAACAATAAAATCCAATCATTATCAAATACAAATTGCATTTTTAGTACAAGAAACCCACAACCATGGATTTTCCCATGACCAATATATAACAATTTTCACCAAATATAAATAGATTAAATTAAATAAGTTATGTAAAAGCAGGCAATTTAAAGCCCTGAGACAATTAACACCACCCAGTTTTCCTGAGATATTCCTTCATAACTGATTTGTGATACTTTTGTAATTATTGGTAGTGTATTGGTACCGTACCCCCATTGGCCACACGATGGTCTTTTTTCTGATATTTTTTATTCCATCGATGAGGAAGTCGCGGAGCTTGTACAGGATTTTGAATGTGGTCATTAATCTTTGAAAAGGGTCAGGGCTGTCGAAGTCCCTCAGCAGCTGCCCCTCCTGACTGCTGGTCAGTGCTTTGACGTGTTCACTGTGCCTCATCTGTGGGACAAAAGTGACAGGGTTGTCATTAAAAGAAACCTTATACACTCCATTTACAACGAGACTTTAAAAAAAAAAAGACATTTCACCAAAATTAAAAGTTAGATATGTAATAAATGAGCTATAAGCAGTGGTGGAATGTAACTAAGTACATGTGGTACTTTACTTGGGTGATTTCCATTTTGTGCCACCTCCACTCCACTACATTTTTGAAGAGAACATTGTAATGACATTCATTTTCCAGCTATAGTTACCACTTTACAGATTTAATACAAAAACTCATGAGAAGTTTGTTAAATATGACGCACAGCTGTTGTTTAACTACCCAACAGTATACAATGTAGGTCAACTTAAATCCACCTGGCAAAGTACAACTGTATAATGTTATCAGCAATAATCCAATCCTTTCATATGAATAATGTAACACTTAACAGGAGGCAGGACTTTTACTCATAATGGAGTATTTTTACAGTTTGGTATTGCTGCTTTTACTTTGGTGAAGTTTTTTTTACCTCTGGATATAACAAATATGATGAAAACTCAGTCAGATCAAGATAAAAAGCAATTACATAAAGACAATGGCAGACCTAATACAAAGGATCCCCACAGTGCATTGACACAGCTATAAAATGCTTTAAAAAATGAATAGTATATTCCCCCAGTGTTTAGCCCTAAAGACAAGTATGCAGGATTTCAAACCAACCTTATTTTTGATACCGCTGGTCAGTTTAAGGAGAAGACTCCTGAAACTCTGGCCCTCTGAGCGGATCGAGCTGGGGGACTCCTTCTCCACATGCTTGAGAAGAGCTGTGTAAGTGAGCAGGCCCTGGGCCAAGCAGCGGAGACAAGCCTCCTGGATGGAGGAGAGAAAAGAAAATCACTGTCACATGAACCCCATCACACAGTTTCTCCTTTAATCAGCCTTAAAGAGGGTGAGAGAAAAGGAGGAGACACCACACCTTGCTGGACTTCTCAGGGCATGTTTTTGGAAGTGAGGGAGTATTGTGCGTCTCCAGCTCATACGCTTGCACCTCAATGTGGAACTCATCTTCAAACTGATAGAGAGGAGATCATAAAAGGAAGAAAAAAATGATGGAGATCAGAGTGCATTTTTACTTTACGCATAGTCATACTATGTTATAAGGAGTCATGTCAGATCCCTGGAAGATAAAGGCCCTTACCTCCTTCTGATGACGCTTTGTCACTGCAATGGCATCTTCCCAGTCTCCCTCCCAGTCCCCTCTCGGTGCGTCATTGGCGCTCTCGCCCTCCTCACCTGAGCTGTCACCTGCCGGACTGTCGGTGGGCGCGTCCGCAACCGGAGCCCCGGGAGCGCACTGCAGCGTGGCGGCCACCATCAGCGCAGAGAGCAAGTACGCGTCTGTGCGGCGGGGAAGGATGAAATGGATGAAAAGAGGAAGAAACGCCGGAAACGTGTGCAACCAGAAGCTGCAAATGACTTACTGAGTTTCGAGGGCATGTTGCGCTGCTGGGAAGAACTGGTTGAGTTTCCACTGATGCTGGGGGTTGTCTGGGCCGGCTGGAAGTTGCCTTGTCTTTGCAATGGGCTGTCATTTTATATTCTTCAGACCGGAAGGATTTTCCAATACCTCTCTGAGACAGGCACGGAATTAAAAGTTTGCGTAAAGCATTCGGTCCGGGATCCGTCGGTAGTTCATGGTTTGATGGAGATGAGAGGAGTGTCCATCTTTAAAATCTAACATAAAAGTATTTTCTCAACAGTTAAAGTAATGATTTAAATAACTGAAAGAATAATAAAACACCACACCACCACCCGGACCCCCAATATACAAATATAAACAGACCGCACATACATAATTGTAAGAAGAAAAAAAATCCCTATGATATTTTCAGCCAAATAATTTAAAGGGAAAATACACTCACAACCATACATTTGCATAGCAGCATCCCAATGGCTGTGATGGTAAAAAAAAATCAGTAGGTGAAATGAACAAACGATATCCGGTGACGAGAAGTTACATTTAGGGTGTTTTTTTTAATTGTAATTTTAATTAGGCACAGAGGGATCAGTCACCTGTCCCTGTCAACTCTCTGGAGTATTTACACAAGACTTTCCTTCCCAATATTAGCACAAACACTTGTGTAATGTAAGATATTTTTACCATCGCATGTATCGAAGGAAAATGTTTCTACAATTAAGTTTAATTAATGCACGCAATCAGTGACTTTCTTGTTGTTTCCTCACTCTGATGCTTGTGTGTCATGTTCCTGTTCCAATATCAGTCATGAAACTACTTCCCCCCCCCATGTATGATTTTGATCTTTGACCTTCCGGGTGTTCGTGATGTGACACAGCCTGTAAGAGCTATATTGGAGATTATTTTAAGACTTACTTTGCACATATAATATTTGGATATGTCAAAAACGATTAACTGATAGTAGTCCGAAATATGGTCAACTTTATGTGTCCTCTTTATCACCAGTTAGGGTCCTTCAGTCTGATGGTGGTGGTCCAAATATGGTTTAGAGACTATTTCCAAGTAAGTAACAGTGGCTTATATGCTTGACCTTGCCACTACAAAGTATTTGAAAGAATCCAATAATATTTACAGTTTGTAATTTCTGAGTTCTTCCACATTCACATTTATTAGCACACCTGCTTTCCCCAACCTGACATCTGAGTGTGGCAGTGTGCTGATATGGATCTGTGTATACAGTAATATACTAGCCCAGTGTTTTTCAAAGTGGGGTCTTGAGACCCCTTGGCGGCCACCAAAATCAAATAATTATTATTATTATAAGATATAATTTATAATTATTCTTATTCTTTTTCTCTGGATTGTATGTTTAACCTAGTCTAAGTTAAAAGTACTTTACATTTCCACTGTTTTCATTTTCACGTTTGTTAAGTTAAATGACCTCTAATCTGTGCATTCTCCCCTTTTTACTAGTGAAAGTGAAAAAGTAAATGCTAGTCAAAATATAATTGATCATATTTTGCCATCTGAGTTACCAAGAAAAAGAGGAGGAAAGGAAGCACGAGGATATTGAGACACATTAAAGTCTTGGTGTTAACAAGGGGTCATGGCTCATTGTGCTGATCTACATACCCTGAACAAATCTTTTATCTCGCTCCCTTTCCAGGAATGCTCTCCCTGCTGTGATACTTCAACTGTGATTCAGTTTATTGAGCGCTCACAATAGTTTGGATTCTTTCCCTGTTTCTTCCATTTTCAGTAGGAGTATTTCTGGTTTCCATCAAGGGTGTAAGATTGGTATTTTGATCTTTCTAGTGTTAAAATGCAAGAATATGACATATGTAAGCATGCAAAAACTTTTGCAATGCAGCCTTCAGGATATTCTGCTGTGCGTCATAATTCTGAGAAACTTGGGATATGACACTTTTCCTCTACTACCTTCAACTCAACATTGCAGCATATGTTGTCATTAGTGCTTTACTCCAAAGGCTCCGTGAGATGCTGTTATCATAATGTAATCAAAATAGCTCATTCTTTATAATTCCCCCTGCTATTTTTGTTAAATAACTTTCCCTCTGTCTGTTGGCATTACCCATGGGGAATCAACCTGGAGAACTCCAAAATTGGGTCAAAAAAAAGCCTGTATATAAGCTGATCTTGGATCTGCGCTATGGAGGATGTTGTAAGAATGGGTTTGTGTCCACTTTTGATCAGGGAGTGTTTCAGTACTTTTGGTGGACAATTTTAGACTTCAGAATAGCTCAGTGGTCATTTGGCAGCATCTGACGTTAATGGGAAGTGCCAATCTGGACAGTCTCCTCTCCCCGCAGGAGGGATCAAGACGCACTTTCAGTTTAATTTGCAGACTTGCAAAGTTTGGACTTATACATTAATTACAGTCCTGAACTTTTAATTTATTGAAGCACATTCATGAATTATATTTATTTGTGAATATTGTGCTCAGAATGAGCTGTAAGCAGGCTCTCATTTCTTCTTTTTTGCTTTGATGACCATAGTAATTTATAGCCTACCACAACCACAGACAAACCGTGACTCTTCTATTGAAAATTAACTTAATACATTCTTAAAATACAACATTTATTCTTTCTAAAATATGAATGAACACTTATACTGCAACTTTGTACTCTATTGTAACTTCTGGTTGCTGTGATTTTCAGGCAGACCTGAAATGATCATATCATCTTAGGGCCAGTAAACTCTGTGAAGCTAAGATCTTTAAGAGAACAGTTTCAGTATTTAGTCACAAAATGAACAAAGAACACCCTGCATACAGTATTTTCAACAGTGTACCAACGACAGTACAGTGTCTTTAGTAGAAAAAGTTGATCCTAGGATCAAAGGGCCCAAACCTGGAGAGTCTCCCGGTGGAGGCAGGCGGCTGCATGCAGGGACACTCCCATCATATATAAACACTTTAAACCCCACCGAGCAGGAGGCTTTCCTCAGGGAGACATTTGTGGGTGTGACCCCGATTAAACAGAAAGAACCTGATGGTGATCAACAACCAGCTGATACAGATAATCAAGACATCAAAATAAATCAAATTAGTAAGAAAAAATTAGGAAGTCATAACAAGAAATCATATTCTGCTCTTGTTGCAACGAGATAGATAACCAATTTATTTACTCCCTGACAATAAAAAATGCATGTGCATAAACCTATATAAATAAATACATATATTTCAATGAAAACACCACAATCAATAGACAGAGGGTAATAAGTAGTAAGCACATTAAGTCATATGAGGAAATATATCGCCTTCTGTTATTGCAGCAACCAGATAAATGACCTGTTTATTTATTTCCCTACAATAAGAAAATTAATGTACGTTCATGTACGCAAAGGCATCATGCACAGAACCTCCATAGAAAATACAATTACATATGCATCAATAATACATGATAAATACCCATGAACTGTAGACTGCAAACTCCACGGACAGATGTACCTCCTTAGAAACGTTATTCAGCATATTTATATCAGTTCACTGCCAGCTGGCTTCCTCTTGCTTTGCTGTTTGTGTTTTTTTATTTCTCTCATGCTTTTACAGAAGTTCCTATGAAAGGGAGGGGTCGAATGGGTAAACGGTTGAACTCTCCAACCCTCCACCAGGGTTTGTGTGCCTGCACGCGAATAGCAGGAAGCATAAATCTTCACTTGTTCGTTAGATTTGTTTACATCAGTTATATGATATATTACCTGGATCCTACAGGCTGCCCTGTAAAGTAAAGGGTAGGGTTCCACTTGATCTTTCCCTTTAACCACAAATCACCTCAAAGACATTCCCATCTTAATTAAATGGAAGTTTCTAAATCCGTCAGATCCTCTTTCATTATCAATAATGATACTCGAAGTTGGGGAAATTTCAGTTCACTTTTTGTGCTACGTTGTACTATGAACATCCAGTTTAGTACCACCCAAAGTGTTTCATTAACATTTCCCCAAGCACCAAAACAGTCCTTTTTTTTGTTTTCTGTGCTCAGAATGTGCTCCTTCAAGGTACCTTTTCAGATAAAAACCTCAGTATGCACTATGTGACTGCTGTCCTCTCTCTAAGCTCTCTACTCCCACCTTACCCCAGGTCTTCTCTCGTGCACTACAGTGGCTGATCTTAAAATCTCCTGAATTGTGCAACGCCTGTGGTTCGCACTGAACATTGTTATGGCTGAAGAGGTTGGAATAAAGGCTGTGACACTGACTTCAGTCTGCAGTTCACCATTGTAACTGCTAGATGGCAATCACGCATCACCTAGGATGAGATTCAGTGCTCTGTGACATCCTGAAGCAACAGTATGGAAAGGACTGTTCTGTGCTTTGCCCACGCACCACAGCAATAATATATGACCCTCACACTAAACAGAAATTGCTTGAGGGCCTGCGTGGACATGGAAGCGTGTTTTTGAACTATATGAATTACTGCGGAGTGTATGAAGTATTTATCATCTAATGGCTTTTTAATTGTCTCAGCAGGAATGGATCAGCATCACCCTGAAGTCCATTAAAAGTTTCTACCGCATATGTTGGGAGTCTCCTTTGTTGTAGTGCAGCAAGTGTTCATATCACTTTTGACTTCATTCGCTAAAATGTTCATATCAGCGTTATGGAGGCGTAAACTGACCCTGTATCCAGATTGAGTTAAACTAGTCTACAGTCACGCTAGCAGCTCTGTGAGGGTGTACTTGGGCACAGTGGGGGATTTGAGCTAAAAGGTGATGTTTAGAAGGTATAATGCTTGAAATATTCACCATCTTAGTTTAGTGTGTTTGCATGCTAAATTTAGCTAATTACTACAAACACTACAGTTATTTAGTCAAAAACCAACCAAGTATTGAACAAATGGAAATTTTGACTTGATGCCGTTAATGAAAAGTCCAGTGAGCACCAAATTTATTAGTTTCTCAAATCAAAAAGGAAATACTGTGTTTGTACAAAATATCATGGCAGCCCACTCATTAGTTGTTGAGATGTTTTAGTGTGGACCGACCAACTAACCAACATTGGTAAAAAAGTATTTATATAACGTCTATCATGCACTAAAAGGCAGTGCAGCTACCTGGAAGTGCACAGCTCTTTCATAGTGCCAGCCTTGCTTCCGTTCTTTGATACATGACCTTAACTGTCATATTGTGTTTCTAATTCATTTCAATATGGCAGCCCTCACTTTTCATTCCCTTCTGATTCTGCTCCGTCTTCTTGTCTCCTCTCAGTTTCTCCTTTCCTGTCTTTTCATCGCTGCCCAGCTGGTTTCTCATTCCTTTCCCCGTCCGTCCTCCCGTCCTCCGCTCTCTCTCCTCTCCTCTTCATCCTCCCCTTCCCTTTGTGCCTATTTCTCAGGCCACTGTGTTCTTGCCTCTTCTTCTCTCTCTCTCTCTCCTTTCCTTTGGCACTTCTTCCTGCTCCTTTTTCCACAGGCGGGGAGCTCCATGAGAGACGAGAGGAATTGTATCTTCGCTCAGTTCGCCACAGGCACTCCTCAATATTTAATCAAGAGTGCATTTGTTTGAAGAGGGCTCTGAATATATGTGTGTGAGTGAGTGATAAAGAGAGATGCGTCTGACCATGTGTGTGTGTGTGTGTGTGTGTGGCTCCTGTATTTGTATGCAGGAGAGAGGCAGATAGAAGTGTATATTTGCGTGTGTGGTGACAGTTTTGGGATGAAAGGCTTTCTCCAGTCCTATGGTAATTGGTTTACTATCTCACTCTCCCTGCTTCGGCCCCCTTGTTCCCCTCGCTCTTTCTTTCCCCCCCCATCTCCTCCTTTACTCCACATCCCCTCCCCCTATAATCCATTCTTCTCTCTGTGCATCATCATGTAACCCTGCTGTACTGTATAGTACTGTATGTGCACCACTATGTAGGGCTCATTCATTCAAATGCCGTACAATCAGGTTTATTTGATTTTGCTGTGTGTGCATATGTGACGCGGTCTGCATGTGTGCGTGTGTGTCAGTGGCCGGTCTCCGTGGTCCCCGGGGGACCGCAGAGCAGCATATTTTATCATCCTCCAGACTATGCACAAGAAAGCCCAAACGTCCCCTTCTCTTCTTTTGCTTCTTCAGCAATTCAGCAAACACTGAGTATTTTCCTTATTTCCCCTTTTCACTTTCAGGTGGCTGCTGGTGCTTTAAGTCTAAATACATATTTTGCTGCTTTTTCCAGATTTACTGTAGAGCTATTGAAGTTATTAATCATGTGCTGCACACTAACTCCAAACTGAAGTCCCTTTGAAAACCAGCTTCCAGAAGGCAGCTATCTGAATGATGATCTGAAAAAAAGGGGGCTGATTGGTTTGGGTTCTCGGTAATTGTGTTTAGTTCTCCTTCTGGCACACATGAGGCTAAACAGGAGAGCATGCCGGGCTCTCCTCAGAACAGTCGCTGTGTAAAATCAAGAGTGAAACCAATATTCGACAATATTTTACCTTGATACTGAAATGCTTAAAGCCCCTAATAGTCTCAGTCAGCTTCTCACTCTGAGCAATGGGGTCTTACACGAACACACTATTTTTCTGCCCAAGTTAAAACAGTTTTTGTTGTTTTCGCATGAGAGGTTTCTACGTTTCGGTTTATCGCACGTACTTTTCTTACTGGTTTGAGGTGGGCGGAGATGATGTCATGTATTTCCATCCACCAATCGGGATTTGTTTGCTAAATGTTGCGAGCGCCGCCATTCAAATCTGATCGAACAACACACCCACACAGACCCCCCAAAAAACATGCTTAACGCTTAATATATAATAATTAATACAAAATAATAGAATGATCTGAGAATAAAGTTTAACCTTTGACTTTGATTATCACTGATTTAGTCATGTTTATTTAATGTTATTGGGGAAACAGATATCGGTGCCTTGTCCCTTTCTTTACCCACTGCACTTTCACCACAACATGATGGATTTCAAAACAAAGTGGATTAAAACTCGGCTGCTAGTCTACTTTCTATATCCACTGTGAGACGACTACAAAAGCCCAAGAAACTGCTGCTTTGTGTCACCCTCGATTAAAGCAACTTCAACAGAAAAATACATCGAGTGAAACTTCTTTACTTTGGGCCTGTACGGACTTTCAGATTTTGTCAGTATTGCCATAGGAAAGATGAGACTGACTCTACTGAAGCATGGAGAGCAATGGAGACAGCGGAAAGTCATAATTGTGTGTCTGTAGAGCACATCACTGTTCCCTTTCCATCAAATGAGTCTGGATTTAGCACCAAACTTGAGTTTCACATGTTAATGGATTAAATGTTACTGCTATCTTTTCATTCTAAAACAAAAATAAAATTTTTTTGTCACATATGTATGTGTGTGTGTGTGTTGTTATTCAGCTGCCAAACAGTATGTATATGCGGGCCCATTACCTCTGACAGCGGTGGTGTTGGTATATAATCTGAGTCCCTGAAAGGGGCCAATTATCCCAGATTACAAGTCCTATCAGGAAAGCGGACTCGACATCTGAGTTATACAACTGAACCCGCTGCACTCAAGCTGAACTCTGCTCAGATTTATGTCCTCTAGAGTATCGGGGCTCAGATCCTCTTGGAACTGCTGAATTCAAATTAATTACATTTCAGATCACATTCACTTGAAATCTTTAATCATATTTAAGGCACTTTCACCAACTTCCCAAGAGGGCTGACTTCTTTTTCAAGATATACAGGGAATTTATGTGGAATAAGAGCTTCTTATTAAAATGCATGAGAAGTGCGCATTTGAGTTGGATTCATTTTATTTCAGAAGAGAACCATCATAATGTGGTGTACATTTAAAAACATGTTGGATACATTACCTTTTTAGACCAACCTACTTGTGTAGGACATCATGCTCCTGAATTGCCCTGCAATCTTTGAACATCTATAAACCAGCATGTTATATGTAAACACACGCCTCATTGAACAAAGGAAGAGGGGGAAAAAGTTTGAAAATACTCTCTGATGATGACTTTTAGCATTATGAAAATTTATAGAGCGGGGAACCACATGAGAGACACTGTGTCTCGTCTTCAACAACCCACAGCATGGAGGTTTGAGAGCCTCTCGTGTTTCAGCTCACCTGCCTTTCTGCCTCAGGTTAAACTGGAATGCAAAAAAAAAAAAAAAAAAAAAGCTCCAGGCTCCACAAAATGGGCAAAAACCCAAAATGGGCTCTGGCTCATGGTGGTATAAACCCACACAGAGATATAAGCTCTGAGGCTGCTCTTTGTTTACCTATGGAAATCTGAGCCAGGTAATGTGGTGACGTAGCCCTACTGAGCCCCCCCGCCCCCCACCTGAAATACTCTTAGCTTTAGTGTATTAGTATTCAATTTACAACATATGACATAATTAAACATTAAATGATACTGTAATGTCAACTGCGCAGTTGCAATACTTTAAAACGTGATGTTTTTTAAACGCACCTTTCTCCTTTTCTTTGTCAGACTGGTGAGAGAATGAAAGGGGCGAAGTGATGCAATGTTTCTATGCACCTGTGACCCACACCTCCCTACCTCCCTACCTCCATTCCTCCCTCCCTCCCTCTCTCCCGCTCTCCCGCTCTCCCTCCGCACATCCACACATGAACCTGGCGGTGTTCAGGAGTAGGACGCGCGAGCCATTGGGTGGAGCAGCGGCGTCGCGTGCTGCGGAATACACTCAGTAGGTCGTTAAACGCTGCGCGCGCTTTGGTTGCAGATGCAGGTCGCCGAGTGTGAGCGCGAGGCGGGGGCAAATGGCGAACGGGCGCGGGCGGCGGTGCGCCTCGTGAGGATACAGTAAGACACCCGGAGCGGAGGAGGCAGGCGGCAGCTCGAGGACAGACAGGAGAAGGTAAACAGGGAACCATGGATGACTCCGAGCCCGCAGAGGACGGCTTGCTCGCGGGCTTGCGGTGGAACCGGAGCGCACGGGACCAGGCTCAGCTCAAACACAAAATCCGGGATCTGCCGGGGCTACTCAAGCACGGGCTGCACCTGCGGAAGAAGAGCGTGAGTATTTTCAAACCGACCGCTGGCTGTCCGTCCGTCCGTCCGTCCTTCCGTGTTTTATGTTGTTGGTGAACGTTAGCAACGGTTTTTGTGTGTGTTTTCTAACCGTCAGTTTTTCTGTGCTGCGAGGCTGTTTCGTAACCCCGTCACGACTCAGGTGTTTTCATTTCGTTACAGGCATTACTGTCGCAGAGGCAGTGTGTGTGTGCGCGTGTGTGCGCGCGCGTGCGTGCATGCTACATCCATAATAACCAATTGCTGTTGGACATCATACCTTCACACTCCGGTAGTCAAGGCAACACTACCACCCCCCCCAACAGATTCACCACACACACACACACACACACACACACACACACACACACACACACACCTACGACCTACGCACTAAGAATACACACTTATATGTATTTATATATAGAAATCTGTGTGTAGCTACACAACTAACACATGTTTCCATTATTCATTCATTTGTCAATTGTTTTGATCAACTAACTGATTGATTTAGTCTATAAAATGTGAAAATGTCCATCAGAAGTTCTGAGAGGTGATGTCTTGTTTCTCCCATCCAACCATCCACTTAATCGATGAATCAGTTATTTGACTAATTGCTTCAGCTCTTCTCTGTAGGAACTAATCTCTCTCTTTTATCGGTATCATAACATTCCCAATCCAAAAATAGTGCAAATTTGTAGATCAGCCATCTGAAATCCGTCTCATGGGTCCTCTGGTTCTGTTTTGTGATGATCGGTCTACTAAGCAGTAAATGTGTGTGACTCGCTGTGCCCTGATGTGGAACGAACACACCTGACAAGCCAAATATCTGCTCAAAGTGTCAGCTCTGCTCATCTTCATCGTCAGTGGCAGCCGGGAGAAAATGTGTCCCTAAATCCCTCTGTGGGAATCGGGGACAGAGTGCCAGGACTTCTAGTCCCAGCGGTGCCAAATGTAATAAAAATATGCAACATTTCTAGTGTAAAGCCACTTTGGACGGAGGGGATGAACGGTTTATGTCATGTTACATCTTGTCATTTTAAGTGATGTTTAAAGGACTTAACATTTTGTCCCTTTAACCTACCTGATTCATACAATTGAATTATCTTGTGGAAACAAATCAACAATAGTAAATCCTATAATTAGATTTAGAGCAGAATCCAGTCCAGACAAAAACCTTCTGATGAAACCATGAAGAACTGATGAATGAGTGGATTACGTCGTCATTTAACTGTTTCATGTACCGTAACATATCATCTTTGTGATATCGCTCGTTGCCTGTGATTGAGCTGAAGGGAAGGAAGGATTGGAATACCGAGGAGATGAAGGGGGAAAAAAGGCGAGTTTTTTGTCCTCCTGTCTTCATCTAACTTAGTGTGAGTGTGTGCATGTGTGGGTGAGTGTGATGAGGCGTGGGTAAGTAGTGTAAAGGTATTGCTGTTCTGTGCAGACTGGTTCTCTCTTGACACTGGTAGTTGGCTATGCTTCACCTGGCGCACACGCAAACACTCAAACAGACACACACTTGTTTGTATATGCACATTTAAATTCTCCAAAAAGATGTGAGAGAGGAACTCCCATGCACTGTGTTTCTGCACTGCTCTACAATAACACTCAAAATGGGAAACAATGAAAAGAAAACAGTGACTCAAATCACAGCATCTCTCCTGGGTGTACACCTCTGCACACCTTTTATCCTTTTTTTTTGTTGATCCATGCAGAATCTTGAGCTATATATTTTGTTTGTTGTTCTAATATTTGAGGTCCTGTAAAAAGTGCAAAACATCTGACATAGGCAGTTTTTCACATTACCTCATGCGCTTCTTTGATGTTCGCCGACAGCTTATGAAGTGAATTGTTGTGTTGCACAGAGCCATCTGTCATCTTTTGGTGCCAGCCTGCAGCAGCCTCACCTTTTGCATTATTCTCTGTTGTGACTTGCTCTGGTTTCCAATTATTAGTCATTTATTGGCTACAATACGACAGGAGCAGAAAGGTTTGCTTAAAGGAACACTTTACCGACTTTTCAACCTTCACTACCTTTGCCGGGGCGCTTTGGGCAGTGGCCACGCTGTAGATGTTTACAGTATGTAAATCCTGGATAGTTTTCTTTCCTCCTCCTCCTTCTGCTCAGTCAGGTGTCAGGTTTGAGGGCCGCTTATTGGTCAAAGTCACTTAAAAACTTGTATGTGTATTGAACTTGAACCCGTTGGTGAGGAAATGTAGCAGAGCATTGCTTTAGCTGGCCAGATGCACCTGGGCTGGAAGGACAGATGACACATCAAGATGATTGGTTGTATTTATTGCTATGGTCACCCAACACCCCTAAGCTAAACAGAGGAAGAACCAGTGTACAGGGCAGCATAGGACTCAGGGCTCAAAATTTACTTTATACTCAGTGTCCCACAACTGTCCCAAAGTCCCACACTTCCATCCGTCCATTGTCCCAAAAAAAACTGAAGATAATTTTGTTTCATCCTGTATGATGAATATAGTTTAATAACTTTGTTTCAGTAACTGGCATCACTTTATTGACTCACTCTGTTCTGCAGTTCTGCTAGTTGTTTCCTGCATTTATATCTGAGTAGAAAATGTCAGTCCTCCTAGGTCTTTGGCCACAATCAGTTTTCATTATTCTTTCAGTCATTGGTTAAGTTACTGTTTTTGTTTTATTTCGCACTATTTGATCAATAAAGGCATCACTTCAAACTGCAGTGCAAATGCAAACGGATGGGAATTTACACACTTCTTATTCACAGATACATTGTACGTTTGAAGTTAAAAAGTAAAAAAAAACTCCTATAAAGGGAGGAAATTAAATGAACTGCTTAAATATTTACAAGCTCAAATGAACTATTACTGTACATATAGACTAATCTATAGAAACACCCTAAACCAGAGACCTGTAGAGAAAGAATGAGAGATTAGCCACATTTACTGACTGCCTGTGTGTGGCACAAGAGAAGAGGGAGAGACTCACAGGCTGCAATTACTCTGAGCAGCATGCATGGAAATGAATATAATATATTTATATATTTTATAATATTATATATTATATATAATAATAGCATATATTTCTCTCCTTTTCCATGAAGGTCTGAATAAGTCATTAAATTTCTCGGTAGTCGCTTTTTGGAAATAAATTTGCAAAAGCGTCTGAAAAGTTGCTAAATCTAATGAGAAAGTCGCCAACACTAGCACTCACTATGATTTATTTTATGTGTTTAGGCTGGTGTCTGACGTAGCATACAGTTACAAACGTTAGACATATTATTATAATAATAAGTTGTTTAATATGTATGTATGTCCTGTGCGTATGTGTCGTTGCAGTGGCCATTCAATGTGATTACATTCTTAATGAAGGCAAAGGAAATGATGCATGTTGAAGGTAGAGGAAGTGAAAATATTCAGTAGCATGTTTTCAAAAAGAATCTTAAAACACAGTTAAATCATGGTGCATTCCTACTTTGTTTGAGGTTGCAGTTTATTTGTATTTCCTTAAATGTATTTATGGCAGACTACACATTGCTGCCCCCCACATGAGTTTTCCTTTTTAAATGTGACCTTTGGATGTATAAGTACACTTGATGTGACTTTGGTTGTGAAGTCAAACCTTCTTGTGGAATAAAACTTAATCACAAACCGAAACTTACAATACTTCAAACCACGAACACTGTATGTAAATGTACTGCAGGCTGCTCAAAATGCATCCTTTTAGGCTGTAAAATGAGATTATCACAGTCATAATGACGTTATGATCACTGTCTTAGAGGAAAGTTGATGATATTCCTCAGAAGATGATCTCATTTCTGCATTATACATGCAGCAAAACAGTGGCTTGTGATGTGTTTTTATGTCTGCCAGCAACATTTCTCATCCATAACTGCATTATACATTGAGATTAGAAAGATGAAAGGGCAAGTAAGGAGTAGAGAGAGAGAGACTCCACACATTCACACGCACTGTATAAACCTACACATTCTGTCACCAGAACCTCTGTATTTAACTGCAAGGATTAGCATAGCTACGTATGCCAATACTACTTCCAAACTTTATTAGCAACTTAAACATAAGCATTTAAGTCAGGAATACACATCACATAGACATAAGAAAATATGCACAGTAATTCAAGCGTATGCTCAGAATTAGCAAATGCTAATAAAACATCAAAGACGCTGAAGGAACAAAGAAAAGATGAGCAAAAGACAAACATACAAGTGGAATACATCAGGATATGTCTGTTTACAAAGCCAAATCTGGTCTCATAATGTCCAAAATATTCTTGTTTGGAGATGCTAATAATTAATCTGCAGATTACTTTCTTGAGTAATGAAATAATAGTTTGAGCTATATTTGTATTTTTACTTTACTAAAAACTGTTGCTGCTGATTTATTTTCTGTTGATAGACAGTGTTAATAACTGAAATTAGTCTGTTTATAAACTGTAGCATTGGTGAGCCGTAGGTCATGTGTGTTGGCAGGTAGGTGTGGGCTGGCAGATCGGTTTCTTAGCCGCTTCATTGTGTGTGTGTTTGTCTATTTGTTTGTTCCATTGAGCTGTAGCTGCTTTGGTGTCTCCATTTTGACGTCCTTGTATGACGGATGTGTCGAGGAGTCGACAGGAGCTTAGCGCATACGTATGTGAGGGAGCTTGCCAAGCATACCGTGCTACAGCTCTTCACTGTGCTCAGCAGCAATCTAATCTGAAAGTAATCCATTTCTTTCAGATAATGACCTCTCTCTCTCTCTCCTCTCTCTCTCTCTCTCTCTTGTGTGTGTGTGTGTGTGTGTGTGTGTGTGTGTGTGTGTGTGTGTGTGTGTGTGTGTGTGTGTGTGTGTGTGTGTGTGTGTGTGTGTGTGTGTGTGTGTGTGTGTGTGTGTGTGTGTGTGTTTGAAGTCATCACACAGATAAGCGTGTCAGCATGTGCTCCCTCTTTATAGCTCTCGTTCCTCCTCATTCATCTCCTCTCCTCTTCTTCTGTCACTCTCTTTCGGCCTCCGGTGTACTGACAGCATTGGACTGTGTATCCTGTGATGAAACTGAGGCACAGACAAAGAGATTCACAGGAACATGGCCAGCAGACATTTCTCTCGTCGTGTGATACAGTATGAATGAAACACCTCTTCTTGTACTGGTGTGTGTCTTCCGTGTGTTTGTAAGAAGAGATGACGGTGGAGGAACAAAGACCTCTGGAGGGATCTGTATTCACCAGACAGGGAGACAAAGAGATGGAGAGATAAGATAGAGCGACCAAGACAAAAGAGAGAAAGAAGGAGCAAGACAGAGATAGCGAGAGTCAGAAACAATTTATTTAGTCTGTGTGCTTGGCTGGCTGGTGTGCTCTACTTAACCCCCAGTCCAAACACTGCATGTCTTCACAGACACAAACACAGGAAAAAAAAAAAAAAAAAAAAAAAAAGCTCTCATCTTTACTGATATCTCGGAGGACGTCCACACTGAGCTGGTGGTTTTCACAGCCCAAAAAATTGAGCTCTTTTGAAAATGTTTTCCAGTGTGGATAAATCTGAAACTCCAGCCTTGCCTTTTATCTAAAAACTGTGGACTTTCTGTCACCCCAAGCTTTCTCTATGATCTCTGAATTTAAATGTCAGTACTACAGTCGGACTGTAAATGATAACTGTTTTCCATTAACAGATTAACAAATTATTCATGATTAAACAGTGAGTTGTTGGGTCTATAAAATGATGTGCCCAATGCAACTTCCTGACACACAAAGATTGTGTATTCACATTGCTTGTTATGTCCGACCTACAATCCAGAACCCATAGATATTCAGTTTACTGTTGATTAAGTGTGTTAAAATGTGTGAAAAAGTTATTGAAAAGTTCCATATATATATAAAGTACTATATATGATACAGTCACTCGCTTCAGACAAGGTGTGTGTGCAAGTGTGTATACTCGCTTGCTTGTGTGTGAGACATCCCCGACAGTATTATCGCTCTAATGAGGATCACACACACTGCTCTACATCTCCCTAATCATCCCTCTATTTCATTTTCTTGCAACTCAAAGCCACAGCCGTGCATTTCTCTCTCTCTCTCTCGCTCTCTTTGTCTTTCTCATTTTTTTTCTTTCTTTCACGATTACAATTAAAATCATCTCTCCTTCTCTCACCGCCTCATGTCTCTCCCTTTCCATCTGTCACGCTTGTATCCCCCTTCATATATTCTGTTGTGATTTGTTCAGCCTCCCTCTCTTCTCCCTCCTCTTGGACGCTAACTCATCTATATTTCTTCATCGACATCCATCTTCCACAGTTGCTTAAGTGCTTTTCATTTGTTCCATCGTTTGATCTCTTTTGTATCTCTCCATTCGTCATCATCTGGTGATTTGCTAATGTCAGCCGGTGAGAGGTGAAGGGCAGCAGTGATTGCCAGCACTGGCTCAGTTTTCTGTGAAGGTTTCCAGGGGGAAACATTTCCACAACTCTATCAGTGATCTTGCTGCACTGACTGAGCTCACAGACCAGTTGCACTCCTATTGCACAAGGTTCTATCTGTCTGGTTTTAATGAACGCTGGCAACGTGATCTTCATCCTAATACAACTCTAAAGTTTGAAAAATAGCAGTATCTGATATTTTCTCATCCATATACACTGATGATGATAATCCTGTATTGTTCTAAAACGGAGTCCAAATGCAAATGTGAAAGAATTTGATTAAAATCTACAAAATATATTCTGTTTGACAGTGATCAACAGAAACAATACTCTTAAAAACAAATCTCTGTAAATCATCTTTGACAGCAATTACAGTTTTTAAGTCTGTGTTGATACAACTGGACACTGGACATTTTTGCCAAATGGGTAAATGGGTCAAGTTACATGGAGAGCAAATTTAAGGCCCTGCATTAAGTAAGTAAGCAAGCAAGTAAGCTTGATTTTGGTCTCATCAGACCAAAGAGTTGTTTGCTTAGTGTGTCCCATCTCGACCATAAAACCTGTAGCTCTGTCTGGAGAGTCTGCTGTATAGGCCTCTTGATGGCCTCCCTCACTGCCTCACACTCAGTTATTGAGGATGGCTTTACCACATTTTCTGTTTTACTTTACTCCCTGTTCAGTGCCTTGACGTGTTTCTGGTATCCTTCCACTGATTGGTACTCTTTGATAACTTTTTCACACATTTGTTTGGAAGAGGCAAAGACAATAGGAATATGTATAATATATGATGTGGCACAGGCGTAGATAGGATTAAACATGGCTGAATTCCATTTAGCTGCTTCAGTTTCAGGGTCCTGCTGTTGTGCATACTGGTTCTCTGTTGCACTATCATGGCTTACTGGGACACTTGACTAAAACAGAGGCATTGCTAATGTTATCAGTAACATTTAGCTTTTACTACTACTGACAAGTGACTGTATGTCTGCTGTCTAATTGCCTTTGTATTGGTGATGTAGTTTTAGCCAAGAAATTGACTAGCCACCTATTGCACCCTGCAGAAACAGGTGTAGTTAAACTAAAATCAATGGTCGCACCTTGATTACACTCACGTGATCTCCATTCAAATAAAAACACTTGTTACCAGTGATACTGTTAGGTGTGTCAGAGTAAAGGGGAAAAATGTATCTGCAAACATTCTGTGCTTTATGTTTACTTACTTTAAATACTTTTGTAGAGATTGTTCCCTTTAACATCAAAGAGTCTTTGTTGCTCAGTGTCAAAAAGCCCTTTCAAACCACTGTGATTCAGTGTTATAAAACAATAAAACATGAAAACGTTTCAGACAGGTACTTTTATGGACACTATATAAAGGTTTACTTGCGTGGATTGGAAAGTAACGGATAAAACTTTTCAGATATGTTCATCATTAAAGTAATGTAATGCTTTGTTTTTACAAAACTATTATATTAGCAGTAAGAAATAATATGGGACCAATTAAAATGTTTTTTAAGCTGGCATGACATAAGTACTATATAATAATGTAATGTGTTTTTTAGTTATCAATATTATATCCCAGTGCAGTACACTAACAGATACCTAAACACTATTTATTGTTAATACTGAAAACCTTCATAATCATTCATTTTTATGTTTGAGTTGAATGAAAATATTTGCTCTATAAGTTTTATAAACCACAAAGATTTATAAAACCTGTTTAGAACAATTATCTTCAAGAATTGGAACACTTGAAGCAAGCTTTAAATGCAACAGCAAAGCAACCAGGACGAGGTGTTACTAAACTACACTACAGTGTCTGCGTAGTAGTGACATATAAAAACAGATAGCTGCATTTAGTGCTGTTTCCGCTCTACTTAATCTAACACTTACTATCGTTTTTAATCTGTTTTATGACCAGTGTGTCACTACAGTGTCAATGTTGTGTTCTGGCTCCTCTGGCACCATAATGATCCATAAAGATTAAGAGTTTATTTCCTGATAGAGGAAGTAGAGATGGAGTGGATATGGCATTATGGTAATAACCATAAAGATATTTATCATGGTGTCACTGTTACATTCTTGGGGCATTGAATTGATAAAGTTGTATTATGGATTTGTATTGATAAGTGCGTGAGTGAATAGTGTCACTATTAAACCATTTAGGTCAGATAATCGTACAGTAAAAATGAATGGCCACGTTCTCTAAGTGTACTACTGTAACAGGTGTCACTGTATTTTAAAGCACCAAATATTTCCAGTATGAGCACTGGTTGTTACTGCTGACAGTCACTTTTCACAACCTGACTAATGTTTTTGGAATGGTAAAACTGGTCTGTCTCAAGTCAGTCTTGTTTGTTTAATGTATTTACTGTGTGTGTGTCATTGTGTGTTGGCTCTGACAGCGTGTGTGCTTTTGGTTTCAACAGCAATCACCCGACACTATACCCGGCCCGAGCACTGGACCCACAGTACACAAGGTAAGAAAACATACACACTCACACAGCACAGGTGATCATCATCCCTTTTGTTTTTCTGTAAAGCCAAAGTGTGTTTGTTTTGCCCTAATACAGATGACATCAGTGGTGATATTTTGTACCAAAAAACAGTTCAGTCGTCGCAGTGTGTGTGTCAGTCAGTCAGTCAGTCAGTCAGTCAGTCAGTCAGTCAGTCAGTCAGTCAGTCAGTCAGTCAGTCAGTCAGTCAGTCGGAGAGAGTCTTAATTTATTTATTTATCATGCATCATTATAATGCTGTTTGGCAAATATTTCAGTACTGCACTCTGAAAAAGCCTTAGGGCTTAAATATATCATGTGAGTAAAGTTTTCTTTGAACACTGAATATACTGAGCTAAAGAAATAAAAAAGTTTTAAAAATGAAATATCAACATCTGAAACCTTAGATGCTTCTTATTTATGTGCACTGCTGTTACCGCTGTGCCAAAATATCTTTGTGTCTGCTTGGTTGTTTGTCCCTCAGTGCTGTTGTATTTGTTTTTATTGGTTGTATTTCTCTAGATTTTCTTTTTTATATCGTGTCTCAACGCAACCTAAGATTGATGTGGTACCCAAAGTAATAAGACACTGGTAAAAACTGAGCGCCGAAGCAAGGAGACACCTTTTAAAAAGGAGCCTTAAACTTGATCTTTACTAAGCCAGTTTAAATCTCCCAAACTCACTTTTTGTTACAAGACATTAGTCTGGAAAATATTTACTAAGAATTGATTTAACTTGGTCACTGAAAGCTGGATCAATAAACTATAGAGATTAGTTTGTATGATGGTGACAATGAGTGCATAGTCAGTTGAGGCTGACTTCCACCTCTTGACTCTCGAACTTGATGATTAACTACTTCAAAATGAGACATTTTTAAGCAACTTAATGGCCTTTTTGTCCCCTAAGATTGATTCTCAAAATCTCTACCTTTTCTGAAACAAAGGTATCAAATAATTTGTCATTGTCAAAACTTGAGTCAAGTGATTTTGTTTTATTGGCAACACCCATAACTGAAGAAAATGGCAATCAAGAGTCAGCAGATCAGTGTGTGAGTTACTGGACTGGCTATGTCAGCATGACTGAACACTGGTCGTTTGTTTGAAGGGCATTGATGACACAAGCCGGTTGCCACATTGATAATCAGTAATTCTGCTTTGTGGTTAGGAACCTCATTTGAGCCCAAGACACACAGGTGAAGTACAAATGTGTGTGTCAAATACTGCAGCACACATAAACTGCAATATTCTGATTAGGACCATAACTACTACTAACTAGTACATGCAATAACTGTACATGTACAAAAGATGTAAAAAAACCGGGGCCCACTCTGACCAAATATTACTCCATAGCACAACTAGTGGTGAAAAATTCACAGGGTATCTTTTAATGTTGTAATACTTGGGAGCATTTATCTAATACATGCTGTACCATCCTATTATACAAGTTATAGTGAGTTAGTGCAGTCATTTGCAAAATCTGCTCCCATATAGCCACAAAGAATCATATTTGAGGTTGAATTGGCACTGGGGGGAGTCTCTCATGTTGTAACATAAAGTGAATGGAGCCTCATCAGTCATCAAGCCAACTCTGCTCTGTAGCATGGAAACGTGAATATGAATGGAACAGAACAAGCAGTCCATGTAAAAAGCTTAATTGAAAAATGGTCTTATTTACCATAGCGCCAATAGCAGGATTATTGCAGAGCGTGTAGACACAGTCAATGTTTTATTCCTCAGGGTGAAAGAAATCGAGTTGTCCTTGTGGGCCAGTCAATGACAGCCACATGTAGCCACACTAGCTCTCTGCAGTCCTGATGTTCATGTCCTAAACAATGTTGCATTATGATTTTGTAAATATTTGTTGAATTTATTCATTTTTAGTGTTCAGACTTTAAGATAACAGCAAACATTTACTTTAGTGTGTGTGTGTGTGTGTGTGTGTGTGTGTGTGTGTGTGTGTGTGTGTGTTTGTGTGTGTCAGTCTTGTTCCCAGAGTTTTCCATGTGCTGGTCGGACTGTGAGGAATGCCTTCCTCTCTCATGGACCATACCCAGCTAAAGACAAGATCCACCTGGCCAGAATCATACGGTACACTTGTCGCTGTGTTTGTGTGTCTGTCTGTGTGTAGAGCTGAATCGATGCATCCGGTGAAGCATATCCACCAACTCTCCAGTCACTGAGCCCACATCCTGATTGGCCAGTCGGGTTGTTTATGCAGTAAGACGAGCAAAGCTTGACGTAGACATTGCATAGGAGAACACATGGTTGGCTGGGAATACACTCTCATGCAATATACTGTACAAACAGTACAGATGCATGCAAAAACCATGTGAACATCTGGACATGGATATAAATAGATACTCTTAAACGTCATTGCCCACACACTCACATAAACACACAAGGAGTTTATCCTGGTGGAAATCGGACGGAAAGTATTCAGTGTTTCAGAGGAAAAGGCTTACAGAGAACTAATGAATAATCAATGGATATTGATTAAATAAAAGACAAGCCTTGTGCAGAGGGAATAAGTGTGTGTATGTGTTTTATAACAATGTGTGGCTGTACTTGTGTGCTGAATATGTGTGTGTGTGTATTCTAACAGGCGTAGCTATGTGGGCGTGGAGCTGGTGCAGTGGCTGTGTGAGCAGTGTGTGTACGTACGCTGTCGGACTACTGCTGTGCGTGTCTGGCAGGTGCTGCTGGAGCTGGGAGTCCTGCTGTCTGGTAAAAACACAACCCACACACACACACACACACACACACATACAAGCACATACACACTAGCATGCTTGGAGGTTGTACTGTGCTTCAGAATTTAAAGTAACCTTCTAGCTACATCAGCGACAGTCTACACATATGTGAAGAGACAAACAATGTGCCAGTTCATCAGGTAATTTCCAACAGAATAGAGAGATTAATTCACTGCTTCGTTCACCTGCTTAACTTTCTAGAAGGTAAAAGGACTTTGTATCCACACACCCACCAATAATCCCAAACATCCTCTTTCATTATTTAGCTAAGGCCATGATGACAACTAGCATTTTACTAGACACTTTGATGAACTGAATCTTCCATCACTACACTTAAAATGCCTGGATGTGATTCATATTTCTGTATTCAATAAAGCTGACAAAGAAGGAAAAGTAGAAATTGTTTTATATTATTTACCCTATGTTTTGTTGAAACTATACTCAGTATGCTGTGGATGACACTTGTAATTTGGTTATAATATTCAAAGGCAGTTAATGTTTCTTTAACGAATGAGCAAACCTGATCCTCTTGCAGCTGCCGGCTTTTTAACATTTGCTCAGGTGCAGTTCATCGGTTCAGCTAATCCACCACAACAGATACAAAGAGTTTATCCAGGTTTTATTGTTGTCACCATGTCTCTATTATTTCTCTGGAAACAAAAAATGTTAGATATAAACCACAAATGTACATTTTACATGATTTCTTTAATTCAGGGTCCCATTTTAGTGCACAAATATGAATACAAGTGATGCACAAAGCAATGATTGTCATGTCTAAAATGTTTAGGAACAAGTTTTCTCCTACATTCAAAATACATTTGACCCTTGGCTGTTTAAATTTGAAAAACAGCTATGGCTATTTTAAAAGAACAACAACTTGAAGGAATGATGTATTCTCAATACTTGATCAACTGAGTACATCTGTGTACCAACATGCATCATTGCCTTTCCTTTCTGATAATGATGCAGGTAGGCGAGCTAACAAGTTGGCCCCTGAGGCTGCTACTTGTTTTTGTGTGTCTCTTCTTCCTGCAGTGGACCAGCGGGTGGTGTTTTCAGACTCCAACTCTTACTACCAGTTCAGCTTTGAGGAGTGTGACTCCGCCTCCTGCGAGTTTCGCTCCAATGAGGGGGATTGGCCAGAGGCTGTTAGGCTCCTCCTACAACTCGCCCCATATGTCCAGTTTCGCTCTGGAGGTGGGGCCAACAGCCCGTAAGTGTCCATCAATTCAACTGTCTGCAAGTTATCCTGAGATGGAAGGATGGTAGGGCTTTCAATTAACAATTAGTTTGAATTTGAAGACTAAGCACGTAGTTTAATCCTCAGTTACCTTCACGTTATAAAATCCATCCGCTGCTTCACTTGAATTACTAGCTAACTGGTAACTTCAGATTTGTTGTAAGGCAGTTTTATTTTTGAAAGAAGGCAAACCTTGATGTTGATCCTTTTTATAGTTCACACACAATACATCTCAGATGAGTTAGTGTCAGAATTGGGGCTGAAACAATTTAGGCAAAAATGCACAGGGATTGGTGGAAGATTGCGTGGCTGTTTTTTTAAATGTTATACTTGTGTGTGTATATATAGTTTGTATTACTAATACAACTTTATGTAGTTCCCACCATTTTGTCTTAAAGAGAACCACAGTGCTGTTTATGTGCCCCTCTCCCCCTGTGCTGAACTGCACAGCGCTTATACACTGAGTTTAGAATTCAGACAGATCAATACATATTGAATATTTCATATTTTCCCGGGTTTGAGTGGTAGTTTGATTTTCAAATAAAAACTGAAAGCTCTAATGGATGAAGATATGAATGCATCTTATTATTCATATATTTATCTGTTGTGTGACAAGAGTGTCATTAGGGCCAACCTGTCAATCTGTTGCAGAGTAGTTGATGGTGAATGTGACTCAGCTGTAAAATACTAGATGATCTCCATTGACTTGAAGTAGAAGCTCATTGATCTGGTAAAATATCAAAGAATAAGTGACCGCATTCCCGTTTAGATTTAAGATTGAGGTCATTTGTCTGTCGGGTGATTTACTGTGAAAAGTGACTGTGTTTGATTTAGTGGAAGTGCACGCTTGCAAGTACTGTTTTGCAACATAAATACACTCACGCACACACACTCTCCAAGAGCTTCCTCAAATCCCAGCTAGAAACCTAATCTTTATTCAGTGTTTTAAATCCTCAGTCTGTTTATGTGAGAGACATGTTCATATGCAGATGAACACACACATCCATAGAAGAAATACACTTATACACAAAAACTGACACATGGTGCGATCACTCATATACACGAGATGGGCTCTGACACACATATAGGCCTACACTCAAACACACACACACGCAGAGTGGTGTCAGCCAGAGTTCCCTGCTTTGCCGCTCCTGTGTGTGGGATTCCTGCTGAGGCTGCTACTGAACTCAATCTGTCACTCAGAGAAAGAGCGAGAGAGACGGGTGGTGGTGGCGGTGTGTGTGTGTGGGGGGGGTTAACAAAAAAAAATTTGTATATATGGAGAGCGAAGGGAACAAGAGCACACGTCAACAAATTCATCTGTGTGTCAACTTCAAAGGGTTTTTACAGACACCAGGGAGAGAGCACGATAGCAAGGGGAATTGAATGTCATATAAATCTTATGTTTCTTCCTGTACGTACTCCTATGTTCTGCATCAGTTACTGTACGTACATTATAGTGGATGACATTCATACTTAGGGGCACTCAACCACACTGTCTCCGTTGGGTTGGCAGGGTGCAGAGGAATGGGTGGATGTGAGAGGGGCGTTATTGACATATTGATGCCATTTTTGGCACGTTTGTTTCACCTTTGCAGATTGAACATAGATGAGATTATATAGTCAACATTCTAACTCTGTCTGTCACTTTGACCCCGCTGCTGTCTGTGTCTCTCTATGACTGTCGCACCATTTCTCTGCAGGCATCCTCTCCAGCTCTCTGTCTCACACCATCCCTCCCTCCCCATTTGTCTCTCTCCGTCTCTTGTTGGTGTAAAGGAGAATAACTGTAGCTCTGAGGGAAAACACCTGATATAACTCCACGGGCTGCTTCCAGGAGACTTGGCTAATACACTGACCTATTAGTTAATGTTGGCTCTTGATTCTTGTTGTGGAAGTTGGAAAAAGAAGATTTAAAGAAGAATTAGAAGAAGGCTAATACAATGCAGCGATTCAAATAAAATAATTGCTTATATCGTTTTTAGAATATGCCAAATATGGTGCATCTATTTTAGTCTAGAGTGCTTCTTATCTACATAAAGTATTCAAAAACAGGTGTTGCAAAAGGGTAGGGTCATCTTACATAAAGTATCTGCATGCAGTTTCTCTTGCTTACATCAGACTGTTGTTACAAAATATCTAATTGGAGAAATAAACCATTGTTGAAGGTGCTGCAGCAAGATTGCAAATGCAGCCAGGTGTATCTGATGCTCACGCTCCTCATGAATTATGGCTCCCTATCTCTTGCTGTAGTTTAATCTAATGAGGCAAGCATTAAATTGATACTGATAACTTGATAAGGCAACATTAGCTGACTGTTATGCCTCCTTCTAGTGATTTCGACTTTAGTGAGGCCTTAGAACAACAGGCGACTAATTAAGTGGGTTATCTCTTCTGCATCATGTGTAGAAGATGTTTCTTAGTGTGTCATTAATCAGTTTGTGTCAACACAGCCAGCTTGCCTCCAAGGATTGCTGTGTATGAACAGTAATATTTTCTACCAGGCACATTGTGGTCGTTTAGGTTTATTAGTTTATTGTTTATTGTTCACTGCAATGCTTGACACAAATAAATGTTCTTTTGTTGGATATATTTAACAAACCTCTCATGTTTCAAACTCCCGCTTCGTGCATCATAGTACCTTGAATGAATCTTAAAAAAGGACTATTGTTATTTTAACTGAGCGTCAAATATATACAAAAAACATGTCTTTCCTTATCTCTCTCCAGCGCCATCTGAACAAAATTCAGTTTCAATTTAATGAGTTTCATTGGCAGGAAAATGTCTCTGTCTCATTCTCTCGCTTCAACTTTGCCTTGCATTACAGTAAGTAAAACTTGCATATATAGTGCTTTTTTAGAAGAGCTGTGTTGAGCGAAGGCATTACAGTTGGAACTATGAAAAACTGCACACTGCCCTAAAGCAGAAGTCGGTGCATTTATTCATTTAAAATTAAAGCCATGTCAAATTCAGCTTTGTCAGATCATGGAGATGTTAACTATATGCACTGATTGCAAACCTATACTGTATATTAATTGCCTACAACTTCCATATAGACGCCAAACACAAGGTAGTATAATGTAATCCAATACAGTAGCCCTGAAACAAAGGCATTTAAGGCTATATGTTCAGATTATGTTGAGAATGTTTCATATTTGTCACTTTGTATACATTCCTTAAACTAAATATGTTATGCAATGCACTATAACAGCAATTTGAACTGCTATTTCTGTGTATTTGATGCCACAATATTTTGTTCACTGCCATACTATATCAGTGTTTTATTGTGTGACAGTGGCAATTTTACAGTTAATTCAACAGTTTAATGCTCCAAAGGACCCCTCTTTGCTCCCACATTATACTGTATATTATATGCAGTACATTATCTATGTACATACTTTATTGTTTGGTATAGTAGTAGTAATTGTTATTGACTGACGCAGTCAATAACAATTAAGTTGCCAGTTTTTCTGCCTTTTGAAATACAGTGTTCTTTGCATATCAGTGTGCAGGAAGTGCAGAATTGCCAGGAGATAAAATATGACACTGTAGCTTGGGAGGAGAAAACACACTTGCTTGCTTTGCATGATGCTCTGGTCCAAAAAGGGCAAGAAGCCAAACAGACTCGACAGAATGCTGAAAGATTGGCCACAGAGGGTGGCATCCAAACGAGATTACATTCTCCTCCTCCACGAATCTGCATTGTGACACAAGCTTTTAATTTTGTGTTCAGTTCAGATCACAGCCACATCTGCATATGCAGTAGGTAGATTAAAGTGTATAGTCATATTTTTTTCTTGTGTGAGGAATCTATATTAAACATAGGTTGACCTATTGTTAAGAATAAGAATTGGTAAGGCTTTGATTAGGATGTGTTCTGGTAAATCACTGAACATTACTAAAGCTTTTTGTTTTTTTGGTAAGTAAAGGGAGGCGTTACAAGCACAATCCTGTTTCAATAGTGCTCTGTGCTGCTTAATGATTGGTGACACACCTCCCACTGTGCCTCTTCCAGCTCTGGTACATTCGACTCATGGTGAGTCACCAAATTACCAAATGAATGGCGGCTACAAAAGATTAATGACCCTGATGAGAATAAATTTAGCATGATGACTTAGAATAGACTTTGTACATCTCACGATCCACTAATGGATAACAAAAGATACACACATTTCAACATGGTGGACTCAATGGAAGGCAACCTACAGTGTCTGTAGATATAAAAGGCTAATTCTAAGGTAGCAAAAACACAACAATTAACATACTTTTAATTATTATATTCCGTTTTTTGCCAATAAATCCTCTATAAATACTTATGGGAAAGCGCAACCACCAAACCTCTTTTCTTCAGTAAAAATATGGTATTTTCACACTCCTTTAGGGCATCTGTTGGGTCTACCTGCCTCTGTCTCTCTCTGTCTGTGTCTGAGCCGATTAGTTGAAGTGTCAGGCTGAGGGCTACGTGTTATCACAATCTCCTGCTTCTGCATCTATCATTCCCTTATCAGATTACAGTGTACAAACATACACACACAGAGTCACACAGGGCTTCATCTTCTTTCCTTCACAACTATTACTAGTGCCACTGGGATCTGTTGATAAAAACCAAATGTATGCAAATTGGTATGTCTGTGTGGGTCTGTGTATGTGCGTGCGTGCAGATGCCTGAGTAAGTGTGTGTGTGTGTGTGTGTGTGTGTGTGTGTGTGTGTGTGTGTGTGTGTGTGTGTGTGTGTGTGTGTGTCTTGTGCAGGGGTGAGGCAGTGTGTGGGAGACCAATCCAAACTGTGGTTTTGTAAGAGAACATATTACATGAGGGGCCCTCGGGTGCAGTCTGCCGCTGTTGAAGACAAACTCTACAACCTTGTATTATTGCTGTGGGAATAATGCAGAGTTTACCCCAAAACAACCACCTGTTTATACATCAAACACATACATACACACACAAATGAAGTTATACACAAATGTATTCACAGATGCAGTCAGGCTTGGAAAGAAAATCCTCAACAAGAGTCACACATCTATATACATTCTGAACACATGTTCAAGCAGCCGCCGCATTGCTGCACACACACACACACACACACACACACACACACACACACACACACACACACACACACACACACACACACACACACACACACACACACACACACACACACACACACACACACAGCCTCACTAACATCAATAGAAGGGTGTGTCTGGGAGCTATTTAAAATGAAACCACATGAAAGAGCAAATGGGGGTGCAGATTGTGATGCTCGATACAAAGATGTGAGCAGTGAAGAACTAGAAAGAAAGATGGGAGGGAAAATAAAATATTCACAGAGAATATGTACTCGTCTGATGTATGTTTATCACGTGCCATGGTTTTCAGTTAATTCTTAAGTCTATGAAATATATAATTGTAAAAAATGTCTGTCAAAGTTTCCACAGTGAACAGTTAATTTGTTAGATTATTATGTTTGATGATTTGCTTTGTCTATGATATTTCATGACATTAAACTAGGTGTAGTACATGTTTGAACAACAGTGATCAGATGTTATCTGTATCTGTCTTCCTGCAATTCACATTGCGATCAAACTTCTGACTAGTTTGGTCTCTGAGAAACCAGTGAGAAACAATTTGGAAGACACGGTTGTTTGGATATAACATTCAAGTTTCTTTATATAAAGGTGGCCTCTATCCAATTAATATATATGTATAAAGAAAAACACAAGTAAGAACATTCAGCTGAGAAGCAGATGTGTTTGTAGGCTGTAGTTCTTTTCTAGATATACCAGGGGGCAGTGTAGAGTGGACCAAAGTTCTGCAGGAAACTTTTTTCTCTGGAGACTGTTTGATCAGGATATAATGCACTTGTAAGTAAAGCTCTGCACTGTATGTGTGTATGTGTCTGTTCAAGGTCAGAGGAGGACTCTGAAGGCAACAGGGACATCTGCAGTGAGATTCTCCAGATGAAAGCTCTCGAGAGGCTCACTTCTACGGTCAGTGTGTGCATGTGTTTCTGAAGATTGGTAAATACAGGCTCATACATAAAATACACAACATTTATTTCTGTGTTTTGTCTTCTTTTGACATATTTCTCCAACAGGTACAAAGTGAGTTGGCAGCTGCTCTTGCCCGAAAGACTCGCAAAGCTTGTGAGTATACATTTAATCTCAGTGTGTGCGTGCTTTCCCGAGAAGTTCTCCTGTTGTGTTTTTGTTTTTCCAACTACATTATGAGAACACGGAGTGACAAAGATGATGCGTAATAAGTGTAAAGAACTATCCTTAATAATTTGATTCTGTTTGGTTGCAGTATCAGAGCAGGACTCTGAGACGACAGAGACGAGCCAACAGGAGCCTCGCACACCCAGCGAGGAGAGCAGCCCGGTAATACACACACATACAAAGACGTACATCATTCGATCATACATTTGCCCCCAATCCTGATCCCTCAGTTAATTTTCACCCTCTGCCGAAAGTTGTTTTCCTAATCTGGACAGTGCACACTAGGCCAACAATAAAATTAGAAAAGCCAGTCCAATTTAACATAGAAATATTCCCGAATATCTCTGCATTAAGAAAATAAAGCTTGTATATAGTGCATAGTTTGCTATAACATCAGTGGAGAGAGTAACGTTAATCTGGAGTTGATTTGGACAACCTCTCTTTATACGCATCATAAACAAAAAAGGTAAAATGCAGTTTTTTTTTAACCATCTTCAGCTTTTTAGATGAAATGTTATTGAAATACATGCAAAGCAGCTGCTGCTTCAACCTGTGTGGGGGAAAACACATGCTGTCATTGTGAATATCATTACATGAAAAAGCTGGATCTATTTGTTCATGCTGCTCCACATTTTGCATGTGTATTGCAGTGCTGTGCATTTGGAATAGGTTTCTGTGTTTTATGGGGCACAGTAAAGCTTTTTGACAGCTGTTGTAACCAGATTGCTATAAACAAAGGACTGGAAATGGACCAGGCTAAATATGACCAATACCAACCATTTAAAATTATAATTTGACCATCTCCAACACAGCTTGGCCTTAGACATCCATAATAACAGACCGTAACTGGCTTATTCTGACTCCCTTGCTCTCTTTTAAAGGTCACTGAGTGCAAGTTAAGTGCATGCGTGTGCATGTGCGTACCTCCATGAGATTGTTGAACGTAAAAAATGGGGTCAAAAGAGAGTGCGGTGGGGCGCTGTTCGCTCTCTAGTCCCATCTCTGTACAGTGGAAACCTCTTTTTCTGCATCAATTATTCATTCTCTGATTACACCAGAGATGAGGAGAGAGGAGGAGAACATGAAAAAAAGTACGTAACATATGAACGACTGTAGATCAGTCGTTCACATGTTTTTGGCTTGTGATTCCATAATACAAAGAAATTAAGATATTTCCCTTCCTCATATAATATTTGGACAATTTTATTGGCCTAAAGGGGTGAAACTGTCTTCTTTTTTTTTTTTTTAACTAAGGGAAAATAAAGAAAAAATAAGCTTAAATGTTTTTTCTTGTTTATGACCCAAGTAATGATTTTTTTCCTATTGGTTCCAGCTGATTTCCGTTCGCTGCGGCTTCCTCATAGTGTTGTAGTTTCAATGTCCAGTGGAAACATGTCATAAGAAGAGCATCCACTTAAGCCACATTTATAATATACTGTAGTTTAGTTTTAGTTTTATTTTTTATTTTATTTAATTTTGTGTTTTACAACTCTATTGAAAACACATTGGCAGCTCAATTCGATTTAGTAACAAAGGCTTTGTGGCTATACTTATATAAGATGTTGATACAGCAGATCTCACAGCACAGCTGCTGTCATGAACCTGTATTTTTGTTTAGTTTGTCTGTTGATGTCGTGATCATAACAATGATTTTGTCTGCAGTCCCACAGCTCAAGAATGACTGCTGATTAAAACAGTGGGCTATTTGTGAGCCAAGACCAAATTCTATACTAAACCTGTTGTTTGAAAACAGAAACAGAACATTTTATAAATGAAAGGAGCTATATGATGAGTTCAGCTCCATTAAAGGTATTGTGATCACGGACAGCAGGAGGGGACAAAGCCTTGCCTCCTTGCATCTCTTTTTTATATTCCTCTCTCTCTCTCTCTCTCTGCCTCTCTCACTACAAACTACATAATGCATAAAACTAGTTGTGCTGTATATGTGTCAAGACAAGTCAAAAACAAGTTAAATGCATGATTAAAATTAATTTTATGTCAATTGCCAATAAACATAGGCAGTTATATACATTTAGAAGTGAATTTCATGCTTCAGAGACGAGCTGCTCTGGTCAAATATAACCCTGGCATGTAAAGATAGCAGCGGAGAGAAAAAGCCACACATGACCCATGAGGTCACAAAGGCAACTATGCAACACGTCCTGATTCGATGGATGTAAGATTCATCCTGCAAGCCTTTCGGGAGGTTTGGGAACTGCTGCAGATTGTAGTGAGTGTTTATTTAGTTTATATGACATAATGAGACGGAGGACAATAAACCACACATTGCTGCAGTACAGAATGTCAACATGGATGAAGAATAAAATGTATTATTAGACTTAAAAACAATGGACATGTATTACTTATTCCACTCCACAGAAACTTAACTGGATTGAAGTTTCAATTATCAATTATATTAAGTTTTAGATTGCCATAGGTTACCGACACATGAGATTAAAGATTGAAGGATACAATGAGAGAGAGAGAGGGAGATAAGACAGATACATCCACACAATACAAACACAAACACAGACAGACAGGTTTATCTTGGTATGTTCTGTGTCTGGGACAAGCAGCTGAAAACAGGTTAACAGGAAGGGATAGGGGGCTGTGGCTCTGATAGTGTGTGTGTGTGTGTGTGTGTGTGTGTGTGTGTGTGTGTGTGTGTGTGTGTGTGTGTGTGTGTGTGTGTGTGTGTGTGTGTGTGTGTGTGTGTGTGTGTGTGTGTGTGTGTGTGTGTGTGTGGCCATTCTACTAGATAAGAGTTGTCACTGGGGGGAGTTTTCCTAGTAAACAAAATGAAGCGTGGGAGTATGCCATAATGTTCTGTGTGTGTGTGTTACCCTCTGCTAGAGCATGGCACCGTGGGATAGCTGAGCTCACAGGAAGGGTTAACCAGCTCTGAGCCAAATAAAATACCCTTCTCTCCCTCTCCCAAGGAAAATAAACAGACCATGCTGCCCAGCACTGGTGATAGCCATCATACTAGCAGCACCCTAGGGAGCACACACACACACACACACAGTCATGTTTTCTAGTTTTGTCAGGTCTATGCAAGGACAAAGCCATTAGTTTCTCCGGTATCCTACAGCTCTTTTAATGAAATATATTCTCAGCCTATGTCTCTCTCAGTTTCTGCTTTCTCTTCATGTCTTTAGTTCTTAGTGTCTGCTTCTTTGTTCTTCTCATTCCCTTTTTTAAGACATCACTGGTAGATATTCATGTTTACACAATTACTGTCTACTTCATTTGGGCTACAAGGATGGTTAACACAACTATAGAAGGGAGGAGGCAAACACCCCAGCCCACACTCTTCCCCACACACACACACACACACACACACACACACACTCCCGCCCACTTTTACTACTAATCACACACACTCACTCTTTCTCCGCCAGATCCTCTGACACAGAGCAGTCAGCAGAGAGAATTGCAATAGTTAATGGGAATTACAGACTTTAATAGATAGAAAGAAGAAGAGACAGAGAGATACAGGATTACGATTTGATCTCATTCTCCTCACATGGACATAAAGGAACAACTGAAAACTTGTCATTGCTTGTTCCTGGTTATGCCTAAACTGCTTTCATTCTCCCTTGGACAAAAACACTGATCTTTCTTGGCCTTCATCCCGCAAACACTTTCTGACAGTTTACACCATGTCTTGGGACTGCGGCTTGAGATATGTGTTCATGCCTCCTGTGTTGCAGCTGGGCGGGGTGTGTGCATTGCGGGGTGGCGGTGGCAGCGGCGGCAGCGGTGGAGGAATGGGGACGTGCAGCCGTGAGGAGCTGACCAGCCGGCTGGGACTGGAGGCCGTTCAGCGGCTGGCTAAGGACGGCTGCCGGCTGCTGCAGAACCACAACTACCGGCTGCCTGACAGGAACCAGGCGGTGAGTAAAGTGCGTGATAATGCCACCTATATTTTGAAATGTTATTAATATCATACCCTCTCTCTGATAGGGCTGGTGATGTTGTTCTGCAAACTCATTGGTGTTTCACCATGTAATCTGCAAAGTGAGTTGTGGCTATATGGTTAGTATGAGTAGAGAGTAACGGACGTCATCGTGTGGTAGATGCTGTCATTATTGTCACTTTTAAGCACAAATACTTCAGGTCTGAGTTACTCACTGGATTCGGGTGAGGGATCATGTGAGTAAATCTTCATCAGGACCATTCTGATTTGTGTTGCTGTCAGTCTAAAGGGCAGATATACAGGTCTACAGCATGTCTGCTCACTTTTGTGCATCAACTGAGTACATGAGAACACATCTGTGCACCGACACACAGACACGTGCAAACTGAAGATGCACAGAGCTTCGCTTCATTCAGATCATTTTATTTTAAACATCCTAGCTCTTAAGCTTGTCTTATGTGGGCGTTGATAATGACTTGGTGCAATGTGATCTCTTTTACAGTCTGTCAAGTACTGTGTGTGTGTGTCTATGTTAATGTGTACGTGTGTGAGTTTGCTAGCTAGAACTTGTAATCGTGTGTGTGTGTGTGTGTGTGTGTGTGTGTGTGTGTGTGTGTGTGTGTGTGTGTGTGTGTGTGTGTGTGTGTGTGTGTGTGTGTGTGTGTGTGTGTGTGTGTGTGTGTGTGTGTGTTAATGCACTGCTGGTGCTGTGGCAGGCTGACTCAGTGTGTGCGCATAATGAGTGGGGTGTTAGTGAAGCGTTGTACTGTATAATCATGCTCTACAGTACACCTGAGGGCAGGAAACGAAGCGAATGCAGTCTGATTTCACCCTACATAACGATGCGTGTGTTTGAGAAATGTACCACATTTCTCTTCAGCTTGGTGAGTTTGACTGAAGCCCAGCCTTGGGGATTTTCCAGAGTGCATAGGATTTCACTTTCATCCTATAAACAGAAGTAGAAACATAATGTGTTTGATAACAGCCTCACTACTGTGTGAATCTACAGAGAAATATTAATGTAAAGAGAGGGTTCAACTACACTAGGCTTCTCTCTAGACACTACATACTGAACTTTTTTTATTTATGGAACAATTTGCCCACTTTTAGGGTTAACTTGAATCTCAAAGTATCATGTCAAGTCCTCTCAAACTGATGTAGGCCTAACTTACATGATAAACCTCCTTTTAAAGTTTTTTTAGACTTAAGATGATCAGCAAACCTACATTTATATTCACTGCCAAATCACTATGGTTTGTGATTAACCATCTGGATTTTCTCATTTCATATTCTTTTCAATATTTTTCCTTTTTTAAGCGTAGTTGTACAAACAGCTAATTATTTTACAAATGCATGCATAACCAGGCATTTTTCTGATACACAAAGCTTAAGATAATAGCATTGAAATGAAATTAAGCAGAAGTAATGATGTTGTCTTTGTTGTAAATATAGAGATGATATAGTTTCAAAGAATTCTGGAGCAAGCAGTTGAGAATGACTGATGTGACATTATCGCAGTGGTGTTTTCTTAAACTTAAAATCTAGTTAAAGAGAGATTTGAGGGAAACATTGGGAACAGTGTTGATGAATAAGTGTTGTGAGGTTAATGATGAAACGCCCATGTAGTTCAAAGGTCCTTCAGTCTACATACACATGCCATTTCTCAGATCAGACAGAGTGGGAACTTTGTTTGTTGTAAGCGCATGGCTTGTTGTAAACTTGGGTTTGCGGCCGTAGGTCTTAATTTAATTAATATAATATGCATAGGTACGTTTTTATTAGTGTGTTATCACCTTAAAATAAGAATAGTTGTGTTTTTGTTACCTCAGAATGAGCCGTTTTTATCTACAGAGGTAGCGGGTCCTCGTCCATGGAGTCTGCCATGTTGAACAGCCATGTGTCTACAGTAGCCCAGAACGTATAAGCCAAATACTTTTTTTTTTTTTTTTTGGGAGTTTCATGGCCACCTTAGTTTCTTCTACACTTGGGACGAGATGGTGAGTCGAGGGGGTTGTAATCAGCAACTACACCTCTAGATGCCACTATATCCTACACATTGATTTTTTAAAAAGAAAATTCTCTTAAAAAATTATATATATTATTAAATGTGCACCTCCATATACTAACTATCTAACTAACAGTAAGAGATATGTAAAACAGTGATATTTAAGACTTGTGGTGACTTGCGGTGGCATGATTAGTAGAGGTAGGGGAGGCAAAAATGGCTGGATTATAGCATATGCAAATATCAATAAAATAAAATGGAATAACATCACCAGGTACTGAGCTGTCATGAATGTGCGTCACTGCTGTGCAAGCAATGAAATCCTTCGTGTTGCATCAAGCACCACTTCAATTCACAGAGGGTGCCAGTGGTTACAGTAGAAGTTTCAGAGGAAATTAACCAAACAATTCTTGCAAGTTTATGGGCTTGATAAAAGGTCGTTAGTCTTGTCAAAGTAGATCAGAAGGATTTGTTGATCCCATAGTGATGCTTTTCAGTAATGCACCACACATGTGAGGAGGTGTGTAACAGGTTTGATTATGAGTTTTAGCCAGCTCATCGTCCAGCTCAGGCTGCAAACTGTGGCAGAAACCAAAACCAAGCAAACAGCTCGAATCACCACAAAGACCTTTCTCCTTTTACTGGGTTGTCATGGTGATTTTTTTTTTTTTTTTTTTCCTTTTTTTCCATGACAGACAAGCTCTGACAAACCGGTGTGGGCTGTTTCCATAGTGATATAACTCATGTGTCAGTATAGTGTATTGGGTGCATCTCAGCCTTCTAGTCATTTCAGACTTGCATTTGTACTCTTCCACATTTGATTCAGCCATCAGACTTTTTATCAGAGGTCAACCTGCACGGCAGTGTGTGTTACTTTCTAGTTTCACTCTGTGTGTGTGTGTGTGTGTGTGTGTGTTTCTGTGTGTTTGTGCATGTATGGTTGTATGTGTGTTCCTGACCTAAGAGCATTGTGTTTTCATATTCTTATCCATTATTTCCAGGAATTGGGCCTAGAGCTATCATAACACAGATATGGCTTGGTCACTATCAGCACAGACACCAACATAAACACGCATGCACACACACACACGCACACAATATGACGAATTGTAAGAGGAAAGGTGGGCCTCATGGAGGGCCTAAAGGAAGCACTCTGTGTTCCCTTCCTGTTCCCGTGTGTGTGTGTGTGTGTGTGTGTGTGTGTGTGTGTGTGTGTGTGTGTGTGTGTGTGTGTGTGTGTGTGTGTGTGTGTGTGTGTGTGTGTGTGTGTGTGTGTGTGTGTGTGTGTGTGTGTGTGTGTGTGTAAGAAAGAAGGAAAAGACGGACAGACTGAGTGAAAGAGAGACAGAGCAGAAAAAGCTCTCTGAAGTCCTGATTTCATAAGAGCCCAAAAAGAGAGAGAGACATGTGCTTGCAGTTTATGACCCTGTGAAGGCCACAGCAGGTGCACGTCCTCTGGCCTCTATTCTCTCGTTCCAAACCTAAAACCTCTAGAGCATGAAGTCTGACCATTCAAAGACAGTGACGGAGAGAAAGACTTGGCTCAAGCACGATGAGGGAGAGAAAACAGAAAAAGTGTTACCAGCAGTGTAGAGAAGAGACGGTGAGGAGGAAAGGGTGGAGACGAGGTGAAAGCACAGATGGTTGAATTGAAGGAAGGGGTGGGAAGAAATGGAAGGAAAGAGACTGACATACCTGTTAGCTGAGAACAAGTGACTGTCCTGAGAACTGAATTATGGAGGTTTCTACATATGTGGTGTAGCTGATCCAGTTTTGTCATACAGCAGTTTGGAAGAGTTAGCTGCCCAGAAATGTCCCGCACAACCTATAACCCACTTATCCCAAAGCCTGAAACATTACCATTTTTGGCTGAGACTAACTAATCAATCAGTTTTTGAAAATTTGATTTTCAAAGTTGTGTTAATTGACTTTCCAGACTTTTCCTGCCCCATTACAATTAAAAAGTTTGGATAAAAGCGATATGACAGTTAGATACTGTCTCTTTCTCTCACTCACTGCTTCTTGTATTTCTCACTTTTCACCACTCTCCTGTGTCTCTCACTTTCCGTCTCGGTCTGTTGCCTTTCATCTTGCTTTCTTTTCTCGTTCTCTCTCTCTTTTTCTGTGTTGCATAACTTTCTAACCCCCTCCTCTCCACAGTGTTCGAGTGTGTATATTTTCCCTTTTCATGCCTCGCATTCTTTCTCAGGCTACATCAATGTTGTTCTTGTGAGCTGCTGTTTGCACTTAAATCGTAGCAGATTGTTTGTGTGTGTGAATTCATACGTATGCACATATAGTTACATATAGTGGGACTGTTGCCAGACTTATTTTTGTTTTGGTGCATTTTGTGGAAGCCTTTTGATCTTGTGTATGTGTGTGTTTATAATGCCACCTTCCTCCACTCTTGGCTCAGTGTTGTTTTTCTTGGCATCTGTGTAAAGAGTATGAGTGTGTTATCGGAAAGATCAACAGTTTGCTGCTGTATCAGGAACACAGCGGCACATTTCTTTTCCTTTGTTTTTATAGTAGTTACTGCATAATTGGTTATGCAATATCTCTTTCCTTTTTGGAGACTTTTGATATAGCATCCTGGTTCATATTTGAACCCTGGATGGATGAAGTGGTCTAATGGCCCCTTTAGACCACTTAGCCACCAAGCTTGTTATCTTGGGACCACATCTGGGCTTCTGGGTGCGGCCTGGGTGCCAGCCCAAATTAGAATTAATGTCATGCAGTGTCAGATCTCTATACATCACTGCCTTATTTATCAGCTGCAAGCATCTCTGTGTTGCTAATCCTTGAGGACATTTCATTTCAGCATGTTACATAATGAACAGGCAGTGATTCTTTGAAAGAACACATTTTCCACAGGTGGCTTCACTTTGAAGACCTGGCAGTCTTTTGTGTACTGCAAATCATGTATAAAACAATGTGTGTCAGGATATTGTGTTGGTCAACTAAAGGCTGGGTAGTAATACAGTGTAATCCTTTGCCTTATACTTATTTACATTGAAATGATTATGATGCTGTTTAATAGCCATGTATAACGTTTTATCTTCTGTTAATTGTGGCTGGATATGAGGACTAAACAAAGAGTTATAAAGTTTTATAAGCTTTATATTATAAAAACTTAAAAGTTTAGTTTTTTAGAGTGCTCAGACAAAATGGAGGCTCTGCTACTGGGAATCAATTTTGAGTCCCTGCAGTAGTGGGCGAATGTTTTTTTTTTTTTTTTTTCCTTTTTAAAACCTATGAACTGCCTGAACGCCCCTACAGTGAATCATTATAAGGTGTCGAAATAAACAAGAATATTCTGGGTTGCATTTGCAAGTGTTAAATCATCATTATCCTTTAGCTGTAAAATAGATATGGATAGTTAACATTGGAACTGAAGCTTGAGTTGTTGAGTCAAAAATCACAAATTGGCCTCAAGGAGTTGGTTAAATAAGATCAATGTCAATGGTCAATGAGCCCAAATGAATTGGCGGAATTGTAATAAAATATAAAAACAAAATGTAATGAAAATGTTGAGAAAACACACAGCAGCACACCTGAGGGAGAAGATCCAGTGACCTCAGTCCGTTTCACATCTGTATAATAATCCAGTGGAATATGAGTAATCAGGGCATGTTCACACACACACACACACACACACACACACACACACACACACACACACACACACACACACACACACACACACACACACTCAGAGCACTTTGGGCATGTTGTTTTGTCTGACCCAAGTCAGACCCCACCTGCTGTCTCTCTGAATCAGACAACTCCTTTCATCAGGTGATCAGACAGAGATGTGTGTTCACTTGTTTGTGTCGGCCCGTTTATTGACTTTTTTGTGTGTGTTACAGAGATATCTGTGACTGCATTAGGAGTGCTCTGTCTCTGGGCTCCACGATGTCTAAAATGAAATCAAGGTTGCAAATGTTATCACAGTTATTGATAACTGTACTGTTGGCACTTTGTATGAACCTTAGGACTTTTTTTGAACGTCACTATGGTATGTAATTGTGGCATCCGTGTGTTAAAGAAAGAAACAGTGCAACAGAAAGGCAGGCCTGCTTAGAGAGCTCTCTGTGTCAGTTGTGATTGCTGCTCAATCCCCCTGGCTGCGACAGAGACTGCAGTGAGCAGCTGGGGGAGAGACGTTGCTTCTTTATCTCTCCTCCTGCTCCTGTCCTCTGCCTTTGATCTCTCCGCTCCTTTTTCTCTCCTCTCCGTTGGGCTGTTTCTTATTGTGCTCCTTTGTCCATCTGGAGCGCTGTCGCCGCCGCACTGTCGCTGCAGGTGTTGGCGTGTATGTGCCGGGAGTCACAGATCAAGTTGCTTGCTCATTTTTGGAGCAGGAGATCATTTCAATTGTCAGCCCACATTCCTTGTTGTCCCCATTGTTATGTATTACACAATACAATTTCTTCTGAAGGCAGGAAATGCAATACCTCCCATTGATGGTGCCAACAGTATCTGTGTCTGCATGTGTGGATTGGTGCTGCATTTGCCTATGTGTAAGAGAATCGTCTTAATCTTAAGTAAAGGGTCTGGAGCCCAACTGATACTGGATTTTTTAGGTCAACAACAATATTAGACAAAAAATCTGACACTGACATATATTGGCTGATTTTCTTTCTCAACATAAACACACATTAGATCAAATTAATTTTTCATTATGATCTCCTAAACTTACCTCAAACATATCTTTGGTATTTCTTGGCTGTAATTTCTTCTTACTTATTGGACATCATACACAGAAACCTAATATATCTTGTAATAAGCTAAAATATGCTTACAATATCGACCTGGCTGTCGTTTGACCTCTACCGGACACACAGGTATTTTGTTCTCTTAGATTAGGGCTGACCGGATTTATAGTGATTAGAGTCTGCACAGTTTAGACACGGTTAGGCTACAAATAATGTAGGCAGATGCATCACATCCATTTTATTGCCTGTTGATTCTGAAATTGTCTACTGTTTAAAAAACATCCTTCACTCCTTTTAAATGGCCTTCCAGCAGTTTTGTCCTTTTGTCCCTTTGTGACATGTTGTCCCTCTGTTTTGTCCTCTCTTTCCTCTCTCAGGAGGCATTGGGGAGGGTTTGTCTGAAGGAGAGAGGACGGGACGTATTGGTGTTGCGGAGAGTGACATCATCAGTGACGTCGCCCTCGGACCGGCCCTCACCCACATCGTCAGGGGGCGGTTCCAGAGAGGAGGATTGTGACAAGAGGTCAGTCCCTCCTCCTACATAATAAAAGCCCTCCACACAAACAGTGGCAACAAAAAACATAATCATAGTACTCCTCCCTCTCTTTTTCAGTTTTTTACTCTGGCATCTAATTTTGCAACCACACACTCTTGCACATACATGCAAAATAACAGTAGTGCTGACAAGAGTGTGTGTGTGTGTGTGTGTGTGTGTGTGTGTGTGTGTGTGTGTGTGTGTGTGTGTGTGTGTGTGTGTGTGTGTGTGTGTGTGTGTGTGTGTGTGTGTGTGTGTGTGTGTGTGTGTGTCTAAGATAATGTATGCTTTAGCTTCTGGCACAGAGCGGGATGAAGAGAATGGCTTTTTTGTTTTCAGCTGAAAGGGAAAAAAATATGACACCAAGACTGGTTACTTCCTTCTGCAAATCATTGTATGGGTTCAGGATCATATGTGTGTGTGTGTAAGAGAGAGAGTGTATACAAATGCATTTCCTCAAAGTTAGTTTCTTTTGTGCAGTGTCTGTGTATTTAAGCCAGTTTTTGCTAAGACCTAAGGCACAATGCAGGGAGTGTCAGTGACAGGCAGGTTAAGTGGGTGTATGTATGTGTGTGTAGAGTGCTTAGCATCGTCACTAGCAATCAGTTTGCTCCGAGTACTGTAGGAGTTGTCAGAGAACGGGTTTTAATCTATGGCGCTTTTAGCTGACAGGGGCAGAAGGGAAGGCGGTTTTACGCCACAGGAGAACACCCTTCCTGGGATAGCAAAGCTTTAGATGAGGGCTGATCCTGTGGAAGTGTTTGGATATGAAGATGACCACCGAGCTAGCTACACTTGCAAAGGCAGAAGAGGACATAGATGATGAAGATGATGATGATGATAGCAGTCATGACGAAGACAGTAGCAGTTCAGAAATCTGTACATTTGATGTTCCTCATTTTCGTTACATCGATGACGACGATGTGGAGGAGAATAAGTATGAGGAGAGGGGTGGAAGCAGTCGTACTTGGTGCTCAATCACTAGTGAGGAAGATTGTTGCGACTCTTCGTCTTACAGGTATGTCGTTGTGTCGGGGACACCGCTCAAGATCTTGGAGCATCTGCTAAGTGACCTGCGGTTGGATGACCAAAGAGGGGCGCCAGAGAGCAGGGAGAGCGGTAAGTTTGTCCGCACGCACACACAGGTGAATACACGTCTTGTAAACGCTGTGCAGAGACACATCTGTGAGAGGGCTTTATCCCACACATACAATGTGGCTGTACAGTATCTTCCTAAAAAGATAGAAACATATAGAAAGAATTAGAGTAAGACAAATGTTAGTGGAAATGAGACAGTTTGTCATATAAATGAAGCAGCTGAGATGTTTGTCTCTGCTGTGTGACCAACGTTGTATTTAAAACAAAGTCAGTCCCTCCCCTCACATTCAAAGGAATTTCATTTTCAACACCACGCAACAAGTTACAACACACACACCTTTCTCTTTGATTTTCCCCTTTGTGAGTTCAAACCCAGGAGGTATGCTCTTTCATTCAATTATACTTTCTGTGTGTGTGTGTGTGTGTGTGTGTGTGTGTGTGTGTGTGTGTGTGTGTGTGTGTGTGTGTGTGTGTGTGTGTGTGTGTGTGTGTGTGTGTGTGTGTGTGTGTGTGTGTGTGTGTGTGTGTGGCTGCATGAGTCAGTCAACACTTCAGACCACGTCCAGGTGCGTGTGTGCACTCATTCAGCCATGACACTGCCTGTAAATATGAGAAATATTCAAGAGGTTAAATGCTCTAATGAGTTTATGAAATGATTCCCTCGGGGTAATGTAGACATTTCTGCTGCAAACTATTTCTGTGGTTTGTGAACTGTCATAGATCATCTTCACAATCCTCAGATCTACCTTATAGCTACTGGGTTCTTTGACAGTGCAGCAGTCTCAGTCCTACTGTACTGTTTTACCTCAGGCAATGTTTTGTCATTTGTTTTATAGCTGTGTAGTTAGAACATAGACCACATTGAAAGTAGAGCCGTAACTATTGATTTCTTCACTTTGATGAATTATGAAGCTCAAAAGAGAAAAGATTGTTTAGTTAAATAAAAAATGTCTTTAATTTTCTTTCACTTTACTACTTGATTAATCACCAAATCGTTTGGGATTATTTGAGTCAGTTGCTTTATGTTTTTATCATGCACATGCTGTTAAAGTAAGATAATTAATTTAAAATATCAACTAATTTCTTGTCATAGTCAATGGATGTTAACTAAATTCTGCCCAAGGGGGGCTTTCACATTAAAAAAATAACAAAAGTCAAAGTTTGGTGACATCTTGAAGTAGCGTTGGCTCATTGGATTATCTGCAGAGGCCTCCTCCTCTCCAAAATAAAATGGACCCGGTGATTAAAACTGGTAAAGACACTGAAAAGAGCAATTTAATCTTTCTCCTACACTGTTTGGCTGAAAAAGACGCCCTGGGAAGTCAGCTAGCTTAGTTCAGCTTGTTTCTCTGATAACTTAAGACCCGGATATGACTAAGATCCTTCGTCCGGTACAAATATAAAGGTAAAAATGACAGAGATCAAAAAGTAAAAATGTGGCATAAGTCAGTTTATGGCTTTTGACAGACAACCATAGAGGATATGATGCCATTGACAGGCAACCGGTGAAATGCACCGTTACTGGAATAAAATGACAGATTTCTCAACAAAATATATAAGATTAGTGTTTAAATAGACAATTTCATGTGGAAATGTTACATATTACATCTTTAAAATTCAGCGTGCCCAGTAAAATAATGCTTTTGTCACACAGGGACATCTGGGTCCCAACCTGTATTTTAGAAGACCTGCTCTTGCCTTTATGCGCCGCTTTAAACAAGGCGTCTTTATGTATCAACTCCTCAGCACCACCAGTTCCCAGCAGTCCACAGGGAGCCATCACACTGAATTGCAGGAAGCAAACGAAGAAAGAGGAAAAGATGAATGTAGGAGAGAGAGAGGAGGAGAGAGAGAGAGAGAGAGAGAGAGAGGGGGAGAGAGAGAGAGAGAGAGAGAGAGAGAGAGAGAGAGAGAGAGAGAGAGGGAGAGAGGGAGAACTGAGATGGTCTTTGTGGAGGAAGACTGCCTCATATTTATTCACTCTAAAGAGAAAAGACACACTTTTTCTAAGGCTCTGGTTGATTTTATGTTTTTTTGTGGGTGCTGAGAGAGAGGCATAAGCAGGGATGCATATCAAGAGTGTCTGTGCATGTTTGGCTGTCTTTGTCTCTGTATCTGTGTGCGTGCATCTTTCGGTCTATGTGCGTTGAATAAGCATGAGGGTGAGCATGTGTGTGACAGTGTGTATGCGTGGAGGCCCTCTGAGCGTCAGTGTGCTGTTTTAGCGGGCTTAGCCGTGCAGCATGTTGAACAGGCTTGAACACGCTTCCACAGAGAGAGAGAGCGATTACCCCAACCACCCCTCCCCTGGTACAAACAAAAACACACACACAACAAAAAAACACAGCAGCAGATTACCGTGATTACTTGTGCACACACACATTTTCTCTCCTTCCTGTCTCTCGTACATAAGATAAAGTCCCCAAGGTCAGAACTGAATGAGTTATTCATCAGGGTGCTCTCTGTGTGTATGTGTATGTGCGTTTGGGTGTGTATTGCTGTGTCTATGAGCGTATGTGTGTGACTTTGTGCATGCCAGCGGGCAAACGCAGAGGGCATATGTTGAAGATGAAAATGGATATTTATCATCACAGAGAGGGCGAGCGTAGGAGGAGAGTAGCAGGAGGAAATGTAACTGCCACGAAGGAGAAAATGAAAAATGGGGGTGTAGTTGGGGGGGGGGCGTTGGACGAGGATAGTTTGGGATGGAGAGAGAGTGAAAGAGGGAAACAGAAGGCAGAAAAAAGACTGATAGCAGGTCAAGAAGGAGCTCTCATCCACAGATTGAAAGGGGCTCAAAAAAGAAATGGAAAATGAAAGTAAATCAGCAGGGTTTTGAAAAAGTGATAAGCTCAGTCAGACCTGCCTAAAAGTATTTTTTGAGAAAAGTTGTGTTTTTATTTCTAAAGAGAAGACGGTGGATCAAATATTAATGCTGCGGCCTCAGCTCAGTCTTCCATAATTGATTTCTTTGCTCTCTGCCCGACAGAGCCATATTTGGGTCACACATTTTCTCAGAGAAAGAGTTTGACACCACACTCTCTCTCTCACACACACACTCACACACACACACACATACACACAGCTCCCTCACACCACCAACAATGGCTCATTACCCATCTGCCACGAGGGCTGTTTATATTCAGTTCTTACCCATTGAACACCTGCTGAGTCTCTCTCTCTCTCTCTCTCTCTTGCTCTACCCTTTTTTGTGTTGTAAATGTTTGCTTTTTCTTAAACTTGGTTTCAAATCTTAATCTTCTCTAACATTAAATATTCCTGAGAAAATAAGAATCAGTCGAAGCTAATATTTAGAGAAAAGCATTAAGTTGTATATTAGGTGTAATTTATTAAATCTTAAACACAAAACAATCTCAGATAATCTGCTTCATCAGGACTCTGTTGGTGTAGTTGGTAAAGATTTGATTGACAGTGGCTGGCAGCATAAGAGCGAAAAGCAACCTTTAACCTCGTCATCCCCAAACTCAAGGTGTGCAACCAAACTTTGTGATCTTTTATCAAAGTCAAAATAAGGTTCTGTGGGTTTGACCAAAGTCTCCAAAGATATAATATCACTTTTTATGTTGATATGGTGAACATGTTACACAGAGTAACATTAGAATAAAAAGTCTTGTTTCTGGCCGAATAGAAGTCCAATATTCACTCTCATTTTAGCTCTATTTTGGTCAACTCCCGAGGCAAATATCTAACTTTGTCCGTCTGCTGTGTGGTGCTGAGCAGGTAGCTTACAGTGGGTTTTTAGAGCTGCCTCGAAATAGCTTCCTGTTCCAGCCAAAAATGACACCATGTGAGTGGTGAAAATGAACCAAGTTGTAAGTTGTGGGCTGGAAGAACAAGTTAGAAGAAGCTATAAAGCTCTGTGGAGCTGTGGGCATTCGCAGAGTTGGTGGGTTTGTCACCACTAGCGGCCCCTTTCACATTAGACATAGTCATTTGACCCATCGCTGATATGGAATTTTTACCACTATTTTAAAGCTACTTGGGGGCAAATAAGAGGGGCATATGGAGAGTATCATTCTCTAAGTTAAGGGGTTAAAGGCTATTCGTAGTGGTTTGTAATGTGGCTGCCACAAAGCGGATACCATTCTTTAGTACTTACTGTAGACTGAGGAAATCAGAGGTGAAGTGAGGGACAAAGGGAGAGACAAGCTAAAAACACTTGTAACTTTCCACAACTCGATTCCACAAATAAGTTGAAAACTTCACTTTCACTTCACATGTTTCCTGTGTTTCAGAAATGCTGCTGGATGACTTCCTGTTGACCTACCTGGTGTTCATGTCCACCAGTGACCTCTGTCAGGCTCTGCTGGGACAATATCCTTACTAGCAAACATACACATAAGCGCACACATGTCTTTTTAGCCTCCACATTCATGCGTTGTCTCCTTGACTGCTCTCACCTATAGCAGCACCCGCTGCAGGGGCCAAGAAGAGGGCAAAGACGCCCTCTTCAGGAAGCGTAAGGTACTGCAGCTGGTCTCCCACTGGAGCAGGCTCTACAAGGACTTTCTCAAGGAAGAGGAGCATGTTCGGAGTTTCATGAAGGTATGACATTACTTGCCTTCATCGCCACATCCCTTTTTTATCTTTTCTCTCATTCTGTCTCTTGTATTTCAACACTTTAATGAGTTTGATCCTTTGGTGTCCTTTAACACGTGTCACCGAAGAACATAAAAAGTCTCATTTATCTTCATTTGTGTCTCTGTCTTGTTCTAAAATGGGGTTTGTCCTTCTTCAAGTTCTGCATGACCGAAACATCAAGCATTTTGTAGAGAGAACTGAAAAGTGTGTGTGTGTGTGTGTGTCTTCTCTGATGTTTTTGTTAAATTGTGTTTCAGCTTTTTCCCACAGGGGACCCTTGTTTTTTTCATCCTTCTGAAAAAACAAGCTAATACGAAAGAGGACAAAATACAGACACTTTCATGGTGTATGATGTGAGGAATCGGGGGGTATAATCATAATACGAGGCGGTGCGTTTGTCTTCTAGAGACTAATATAAAATACCCAGGAAAATTAGGTAGTAATCTAAGCAACCAATAAAATAAATGTAAACCAACCTTCCAGACACTTTTTAAGACATATATACAAATTGTCTGCTTGGAATAATAATGTGTCTGTCCCTTTTGAAATCCTATTTTTAATGAGCACACCTTCCTCCTAGCAGATGAATGTGAAAACATCCTTCTAGAGTCAAACTCTGCACATACATCATTCTGCACAGCTCAAACATCCAACTGTAGGAACAAGCAGAAAAACATATTGACTGGAGGGGGACTTAAGTATTCTACCACTTATTGTATAATACAGTACATCATGGGCATTGCAAATACACATACATATTCTTTGTTTCACATTATCATTTCTCATGACAAGTGCTGCTTGTATCCACTGTGTTCCTGCTATATTTTCACATGGTCGGTTGAATTGGATATGAATCCCTGTGACAACCATGACACTGAAAGAGAAAGGGACAAACACACACCAACAAACACAATCACACATGTACTCACCCACAACAAGCACACGCGCACACACACACACACACACACACACACACACACACACGCCAATCGCTTGTCCCTCCGTAACCTCTATTGCTCAATGTCGGGTTACCATGGAAACCATAGTGCGAGGGTTGGCATGGGTATAATCTCATATGGAGTGTGTAACCCAGGTGATAGTTGCCTAGTAACAGAGGAATGAGAGGGGAATTGAGATGGGAGGCTACGGTGGGTCAATGACAGCGATAAGCGTGCGTGTGTGTGTGTGTGTGTGTGTGTGTGTGTGTGTGTGTGTGTGTGTGTGTGTGTGTGTGTGTGTGTGTGTGTGTGTGTGTGTGTGTGTGTGTGTGTGTGTGTGTGTGTGTGCCTTTTGCCGCCACCAGAGTTTTCATGCTACTTACTAATTCTCTGCCACGCACACACAGACACTACAGAGCGCGCCTAGTCACCCATTTAAGTACAAGGTACAGAATTTGTCTTATGTTTCTTTAATGTAATCGACCCACGCAGCCTAATTAACACTTGATGATCCTCTGTAAATGAGCTGCACAGAAAAGCAGTTTCTATGGAAGGTAGCATTTACTGACAGTGTCTGAAATTGAACTTTTTGACTTACCTACCATAAGGGCTGGTAGGGCTAAAGGTTTTCTCCATCAAAATTACAAAATAACATAGTTTCTCCCTTACTTCCTTCATCAATACAGATTTTGAAATGTGCCGAAGGTTTGGTAATCATTTCTATGGAAGCTCAATATTAATGTTAAAGGATCTATCCTAAGGCCTCCATCTAGGCATACAGTATTTGTTTTACATTCTTTGCCCAGAGTTTGAGATTTATTCTTCCACCCCATGAATGGAATTTAATTTCATAAATTATGTAGATGAACCAACCCTTTTAAGAATTTGCACGCCTTTTTGGCTATAATACTTCTTAAATAAGTTTATGTGCTATCCTACAAATGTGTGTAGATCTTTACAACGGGCAGTGGAGCCAGTGTAGAATGGTGGTTAGAAACAGCCTGGTGGATGGCAGAGCTAAAGTCTGAGAACATCCAAAGACTTAAGACATACAACGTCATTCCTGCAGCTAGTTGCCATCCTTTCTAATCATCAATCAACAAGTGTTAACATGAGATTGTTGATTTCATGGATTTTCTTTTTCTTCTCTGTCTCTCTGTCAGACCCTGTACAGGTGTGTTTTAGAAGATCTGTATGAGTTCCCCACGCTAGAGAAAGACCTGAAGGAGTTCCAGAAACTTCTGCGTCGCAGACAGTAAGCGTGTTTATCTCTGCGCAAGGGCTCTGTTCTCTGTGTTGAATATGACTAAATAAGTAATGATTATTTTTATTTTTCTATGTCCTTTTGTAGCACTGTCGATGACTGCCCTCCAAACCAAAAGGTAAGTCAGAGAGAGAGGGGTTCGATGATGAGCTTGAAACTATATATATTATAATATATACCTTGGTAAAAATGAAAGGACTAGTATTTTTTTGTTCAAACCTAAAGTATCTGACCAAATTCTTGATCCTGTCAACCGATGTTAAATACTAACCAAGAAAAAAAAAACCCATAGAGGTTCAGTTGTAATAATTAAATGTGAACTGTATAGACACTGATACAGATGCTACAGATGTTATCAGTGCATCACCATATCCAGTGAAGTATAAATACAGTATTATACCTACATCACCATGTTTCTTCTGCTCTCTTTCTGTCAGAGTAAACAAATGTATCAGCAGTTGAGTTTAAAGGAAAACTGTTTGCAACTCCGAAGTCCCCCATCTGAGACCAGAGATGGTGAGTAACCGAGGCAAACGCATACACACACACACACACACACACACACACACACACACACACAGACACAACACTAAACACGCTGCCAGAACTGTACACAATTATACATAATGACAATCTGTGAGTTTTGCACATGCAAATTGCTTAAATACAGTGTGTTCAGTTTTGTTGTCTGCTTGACCACTTGACAAAAATTAACTCAAGTCTCTTTCTGTAAATACTTCTTAAATACATCTGCTTCATTAGGATTTCACTTCTCTTCTCTTCCAGTTATTTGTTGTGTGTACGTGAGCGCAGACTCCTACCTGAGTGTCCACACACACCCCTCATTGGAGGCGCATGAGCTGCTAAGAATTGTGGGTCTGAAAATGGACAGAGCAGAAGAAGACATGGTGCTTGCTGTTGTGTTGCACACTGGAGGTATGCACACACACACACACACACACACACACACACACATACAGAAAGTAATGCATGCACAATACATAGTCAACACATTAACGGAAGTATTAAATTCCTCCTTGAAAATGCTAATTTTCTACACCAGTGGTTCCACCCTTCATTGTCTGAGGTACCCTTCATATTGACATCAAGTAGTCCCTCATCAGCACCATGCAACCAAATGTTCTCATGAATGGAATATAAATTGGATGTTATTTAACTATTATTTTTTTATATAATTGAATATTTAGTTTTAGGTCAAGTTTGCATTTGTACTTTTGTGTGGCAGAAACAAGAAACTGTGTCTTTCAACCATTTATTGATTACTTTTAAAAAACTAATTTTAACCAGCAATCCATTGCCTACTGATATTTCAGCCATTTTCATTACAACTATTTCAACTGCTTATGTATTACATTTAGTTAACTATGTTTTGGTTTTAGCTATCCATTTTAACCATTTATCCATTACTTAGCTAACTGTTTAGACCTCTCTGCTTTCTTAGCTACCTATAGTGATTCAGTATGCAGTTTTAAATAAAATTGTAATTTCTGTCTTTTGAAATTAGATGATTAAATGAGCTACTCTACAGTCTTTCCATCTACCCCTTGGCAACTGCAAAAGTACCCCTGTTTTGGAATCTCTGTTCTATCCTCTTGGCTCTGAATTATTATCATAATCTCTCTCTCCTTCTTCTTTTCTGTATATGTTTGTCTCTGTAGAGCGGAGAGTGTTACAGTCTAGTGACTGTGTCTATTCAGAGTCTCTGACCCCACAAGGAAAGCTCATGGCCTGTCGCAGGGATCTCACCGATATCTTGGTTTGTAGATGCATTGTTCTGTGTGTGCCTCTGTCCTTCTGCAACACTCAATCTTTCAAATTTTTCAGAAGCATTTATAGAGACTTAAGACGCAGGTTTAAAGCAGACCAGAGAAACTTAGAGATACGATAATTTAGTTATTTGCTGCCTCTGATATTGTTGGTAGCCTCTGTATGATCGTCCGGCTAAATCAGGCATGAAAATGAATATTCTGAAACCCCAACTGACATATTTTCACAGTGTTACGATGAGTCATGCATTATAAGCAAGCCAGAAAGACTCAGGCCAGGTGATTGTTTTTAACTCTGACTCAATAGTAGAAAAAAAGGTGGGAGCCACTATTACTTTGTTGTTGCCCAACCATGAAAGCAGGATTGGAAAGTGCAGTATCAGGTGCAGTGTTTTCTGTTATGGCATGTTTTTCACAGTGGAGCTTCAGTTGTGAATCTTTAAATAATTTTGCAATATTGGGTATTTTACTAACTGCAGTTCTAGGATTTTGGTTTCTTGTTGGACACGTATATTTAGCAGCCTGCCAGCCATTAACAAACCAGGAGATCCGCTACATTAGACCAATTTAAAAAATCCAACTTGTAGGCTAGTAGGTAATGTGGTGTTTTATTCAGCATAGTTCTTGCTGTGTTAACATCAGTGAAGAACTGAAGTTAATATGGTGACCTGTAACCAGAGTTGGACAAAACAATTGTAAGAAATACAGCTCCCCTCTCAGCTTTCACGTCACTTCTTGTATATAGGCTTAAGGCTCTAATGGCTCTGTGCTATATTGTTTCTTTTGAATGTTGTGTTTTTTGAATCCCCCCTCATTGTTCTGTAGCTTGAAGGTGTTCCTGTAGATAGACAGTACCTGTGTGTGTGCACTATATCTTTTGTGTTTTTGTGTATACATTGTCTTTTTATGTACTAACTTTATTTTGTGTGTGCAGCCTCCTTTAACGGACAGTGCTGAGCTAAGCAGGAGGCCGGTGAGACTCTTAGGTATTAACACCTGGGATGTGGCAGCTGCTCTCACACACCTGGACTGGAGCCTCTTCAAATCCATCCATGAGGTATATACTCTCTCACACACAAATACAAGCATGTGGTGTGTGCACATTGCTAATAATACATTCATATTCATGACAGAGATTGCTCGGACATAAGCATTAAAGATGCAAATGCTCTTCCAGACCTGCTGGATCATGAGTACAGAAAGTCTTTTTGCAACTGAACAGCTGTCAGGAAAAGCTGAATATCGGAGATTTGGAAAATTAGGAAATCTAGACAATGCTTTGTGCTTGATTCCCATTCTCAGATGTGAGAATTTGCTCCCTTTATCTGTTTTGTGGTATAAATGCGTTTTATTCTTTGGACTGTTGATTGGATGAAACAAGCAATATTAGGACATCGCCTTGGGCTCAGAAAATTGGTGACTGGACATTTTATAAACTAAACAATCAAAAAGAAGTAATGGAAAGATGATGTCTTTCACTCACACTCTTCTCTCTCTCCACATGCAGCAGGAGCTGGTGTACTACACGCTCAGCCGTGCTCCTGGTACAGGCCAGACGGCGGCGCTCTCAGTCCTGCTCCAGCGCTGTAACGAGGTACAGCAGTGGGTCATGTCCGAGGTGCTCATGTGTGTATCGCTTAACAAGAGAGTACAGCTGCTCAAGAAGTTCATCAAGATCGCAGCTCAGTAAGAACACACACACACACACACACACACACACAGACACTCAGTATTACACACAAATGAAAGTGCATGTATCAAGGGCATTAATATTTCATTGTGTAATCATAATATTTTTCAACATTTTTGTGTATTTGTAGTTGTAAAGCCCAAAGAAATTTGAACTCTGCATTTGCCATCATCATGGGTCTTAACACAGCAGCTGTCAGTCGACTCAACCAAACCTGGGAGGTAAGCGTGTGCGTTGTGGTGTTTATTTGTATTTATAGACTTGTTTTTAAATCAAATTCTAACCAAACATCTTCTTTTCAGAAATGTCCGGGAAAGTTCAAGAAGCTTTTCTCAGAGTTGGAGCTCATCACGGTAAGACTTACCTAATTAACACAGATAGATCCAGAGCTTGAAATATGTTCCTCTTTCGATTTGATAATCAAATTTTGAAATCTCCGACCCTTTTTTTTCACTGTGTTCCACCATCTTTGTTCAGGATCCATCTCTGAACCACAAAGCTTACAGGGAAGCCTTCAAGAGGATGAAACCTCCCAAGATCCCTTTCATGCCTCTTCTCCTGAAAGGTATAATCTCTAATCTCCCACACACACACACACACACACACACACACACACACACACACACACACACACACTTTATTGTTTTCGCTGAACCCTTAATACTTTTGTTCCCTGCTCTTAGATATCACCTTCATCCACGAGGGAAATAAGACCTTCCATGACAACCTGGTCAACTTTGAGAAACTGGTGAGTTGAGTCTGTTCTGTAAAGTTTGTCAATGTTTCTGTTCAAAGACCACCTATTAAAGGCAATTTGTTAAGGCAATTGTTACACTGTTATCTTGTGACTACATTTGTAACAAGTTGAGCTACATCAATAGATGATTGATTGATTGATTGATTTGATTGATTGAGCACATAAATTATTAGTCATTTATATATCACTTTTTTCCAAAGGGCTTTACAATTTGCCTCACCCATTTGCACGTGCATGTATACACTGATGGCAGCACACACCAATGGTGGAGCAATTCAGGGTTCAGTTTCTTGCCCAAGGACACTTTGACATGTGGACAGAAGGAGCTGGGGATCAAACTGCAAACCCTGCGATTAGCGGACAGCCAGCTCCACCTACTGAGCCACAGCTGCTCCCATCATATGTTCATTCAACAGTAATTAATCAGAGCAGCATGTCGCCAAAAAGGAAAAGAAGAAAGAAAAAATAGAGTTCACAAGTTAGGAAAATAAGAGACGGACATCAGTCATAATCAGGTGCTGGTGTGTGTGGGGAAAAAACTCACCGCTACACTAAAGGTCTGACTTTAACCAATCTGTGTTAAAAAAAGCAAGGGTATCCCTGGTATATGTATTGAAGTAGCCAGTCACCTTGCAAAGTAATCAGTGTATTTGCATTAATGAACAACAACACTGCAGACATTCTAATTCCCTCTTGCCTCCATTAAAACCTATAGGCTATCTAAGACAATCCAACCTGTTTGAAGAGAGCAAATAATAATTCACATTAGTGGAAAGGGGTAAATTCGTATAGTCTGAGAGTAGAAAACTGCTGCAGTGTTGGAGGGGAGAGGCAGAGGGCTGTTTGTTACAGATCAATGAGATGACTGATTTATATTTATATGTGGGAAATTAAGTGGGGCCAGGCTCTGTTTTTGCAGCAGTTCCGTGTTTTCTTTTAACTGGTGACTTTCACTCCCGTGCATTGTCACTAAAAGTGAAACTTAGTTATGTTGCCATCACAAAAATGTGGGCAACATTCAGTGGCAGCATTGCCTCACGTTGAGATGTTATATTATGTTGTGCTATTCTGCCATAAAGTGTTAGATCTTGATTGTTTGCTATTGCACTGATGCAACACTTTTTCTCCTAAACCAACAGCATATGATCGCAGACACCGTAAGAATGATTCGCCACTGCCAAAGCGACCAGCCAGGTGAGTCTTTCAGTTGGCGCAAGGAACAACAAGTCAACATCAAGTTTTAAGCTAGCTGAGTTACAGGGGCTCTGCAGGCTCATTCTCTCCCCTTGAGAGACAAATTGTTGTTGTTGGATGAAGTATTGATATTTTGATCTATTCACTGTGAGCAATTTACTGCCATCTGCAGTTGAGTTAGTTTACTACACCTATACCTGAGTCTGTTGTCTCTCCCACTCAATTTTCTCTTACAGTTTCTAAGCAACCATTTCCAGACAGTCTTTTACTCTCTTTATATGGCCATAATACAGCCTGTGTTCTGCTGTGTGACTAATGTGCATGTTTTGTGTCTGTCTCTAAGGCAACGAGGTAATCGGGGTCGACAGTGCGGAGGTGAGGGCGAGCGTTCACTACCTGCACATTATCGACAATCAGCAGACGCTTTTCGAACTGTCACACAAACTGGAGCCACGCGCTTAAACACACAGACACACACACACACACAGACACACACACACACACACACACACACACACACACACACACACACACACACACACACACACACACACACACCTACTCTCATAGACACACACAAACACACCGGACACAGTGCAGTGGAAATCCTAGCACCCAAGTACGTGTGGCATAAAGGACACTTTGTATGGCAAAATGTCACACACTCACACATACACTGCAACAAAATCACAGTACCAGCAGAGGTGCCAAGTGGACAATAAGGTGCCATGTGTTCTAACAAAAACCCATCAAGACAAAGAGCTGCCTGTTCTCTACAGGCTTTGTGACAACAAACCTGTTTATAAAGGATTTATAAAGTCTGCACACGATCTGTGAACTGTCTACAGGAAGAGATTCTGTGCAGCAAGACGAAGATTTGCCAAACTGAGACGGAGAGAAGAGGAGGCTGTAATTAGTTTGTACAGTATCTATTGGACTGAATATGCCCTTCTTTTTGTTCTTGTGATGAGCTTTTGGTTATTTATGAGCCTTTTCAACAGGTGGAATATTCCTTTATTTTGTCAAAGTCTCGACGCCCCCCTCGGGGGTCAACAAGGACTCGATAGCCTCTTCATCATTTCAGTTACTAACACAAAAACGTCTGAGGATATTTGTTTATAACCTGACGGCCACAATTGGTCCTTATCGATGGTCTCATGATTTCATCCGCATATCACATACCTGCTTCCTGATGCACGTATATCCAGGACACATGCCATAGTTATTTAGGTGTGTGATGTGGAGCTTTCTTTGGTTATTGTGTGGTAGAATATTATGTAACACAAGCATCAGCAGCCAGTGTTGAAGCAGTGCAACACATTTCTACTCCTTTTTCACCTTTTCTCACCGAGGCTGTCGTTTAACTAAAAATGTACAGTGAGTGACAAAAGGCATGATGTTAACAGTGGAACGTATCTGGCGCATGAAGGAAGCATCGTGAGAGGTTTTCATGACTGACTCTGACGTTTCAAACACTAGAGCGCTCCTGAACGTGCCAGAGTTCAAACACTGTTGATGAATAGTGAACATTTTCCAGTCCTGGTTGACATTTAGCCAAACACTTCTCATGCACTCTTCTCTGTGATGTTTTTGTGTGAATAGATAATGATAGTTTTACATTGTATATAATATGGACCTATACATTTTTCAGTGCCAAATGTTACATTGAGTCCTGCAGCATAGATGTACTGTAGAGCTCTTGGTTTGGTTAGGAATCAGTGTCTTTTTCTTTTTTTCTTTTTTCTTTCCTTGAATGAGCCCTGGAATGACGTCTGGTCCTTGATGTAAAGCCAATCTGACTCCATGCAGAGATGCTTTCTGACATTATGATGACTGATTTCAGGGTGCGTTATGGTATCCCACTCACCACGGGTTGCTATGGAAACACAACCCCATCATAGAGCTATTTCTTTTCTATTTTTTAATCCTTGAGTTATGTTACACTAACAGATAAGTCAAAGCACTGCACTGCAGACCTTTGTTAAGAAATAGCTTTATTCAACAAAATCATGTTCATGGGATGAGATTTTGACATTGATGATTCATTCTTATTGACTGAAAAGATCACTTCATTCAGAAGTAGACAGAGTAATGGAAGCACAAGGGCACATACTTCCTCCATTATAGAGAGACTATTGGCTGGAAAAAAACATCCTCAAATTCAGACATTTTCCTGTTGATGTGGCCATGATGTGAAAAACATCTATTTGTTATTCAAATCACTGAGGGACCAGCCTGTTAATGTTACTCTGGCTCAGTCTGTGGTCACCAGGAAAGAAATGCAGCATGTGAAGAGGGGAATCATTCAGAAATTATACATGAGAATGATGATACATAAAAATTAAGACAAGAAACGCACCATTTAAAACCATGAGCAGTCTTCACATCCTGCAGACCTTTGTAGTGTTTGTGTTATTTTGTCTTTGCCCTGTATTTGTTCATGCATAGCCAGTCACCTCAGTGGTACATTTCTGCTGATTCCAGAGGCGAGATGCCTAAATGTTATGTAGCGATGCATGTCTTGCATTGTTTGGATAGTTATAAAACATGGGGGGTTAAGTGCAATACAGTAGAAATGTGGTTGCCACAAGTCTTCATCATTTCAACACTAAGCCTTTCAGAGCACAGAACTGCTTTCTCATTTTAAAACATCTTTGGTTCATGACAAGAAAAAGATGATGTCAAGGTGAAGACCTGCTTTTAAACATATTTTTGGTGTTATGAGCAGCTTAGTCATTGTATGTTTATTAAAAACTATTTTAAAGACAAACTCTAAGCTGTTGTTCCTGCAGATGCTCTGACACTGAATATGGAGCCAGTTCTGTGGACAGTTCAATTGGAAGCTTACCTGAGACATTTATGTTGTACTATTTAAGATTAAAAAATAACATTCATAACCTCAGAAAATGGATTTCCCCTTTAAAGTGAGACTATATGGCTGTTGCTGAATGGCAGCCACTGCAGCTTTCAGAGACATTTATGGGATAATGCTAAATGGAAAAATCACTAATTAAGCACTTAGCTAAAAAGCTAAACCACTGTAATAGTAGCACAAGTGGAGAAGAGCTGTAAAGTTAGCAAACTGACTGTTATACAGATATATACACCTAAACTAACATTAGCTGCCATTAACTACTGGTGATTCCAAACTCCTGAGTGTCTTCAATTAAGCAACAGTGTGTTTCATTGCTTGTGAGCCCAGATTTTCAGTTATAAGAGGAACACTTATTCTTCTCTTCAAAATGACAGTCTTTGACAGCTGGAGCCAAAAAATCAGAGCCATGGTCTGTTCATATTCAGTGTCATAGAAAGGCCTTGTGGTAGTCATTTTTACTATTAACCTGTACATGATGCACACACGCACAAACAAACCTCTGCTTATTGTTTTCAAAGAGCAGGATAATTGTGCTATACTAGTTATTTATTGTAATATATTGTTTATTTATGTATTTCTAAGGTAACAGAAGCTCGTGTGCCATGTGCGGAGGTTCAACAATGTGGAAGGGCATTCTTGATAAGGAAAGATGTGTGTGGTTTGAAGCTGCGTTGCTGGAATGTTAAAGTACTTGCTGTAATGTTTGTGGGCACTTGATGGCAGCAGAAGAGCAAGTCAATGTGATAACGCTCATCTCTTTCCACTGGTATGAAATGCTGTAATGGACAGGAAACCAACAGGAGGGTGTATTTAGTGTTTTATCTGCCGTTGTCATTACTGTGTAAAGTTCTGTTTTTTAAAGCAATGTTGTTTAAAACCTGTTTGCATGTTGAAACAAAAAACACAAAGTTCACAATGCAAGAGAGGACACATTGAAGGCTTTGTACTATTGTAATATTGTTGATGTGTAAATATATTCCAACGTTTGGTATGTTATTATTTATCAGTTGTAAATGAAAAAAAAATAGTCAACCACAAAGCAATACGTCTCCCCTTGTGTCCCCTCAACCTTCTGACAGCTGAAGCCACATGTCTTTTCTAAAGCTGCGTTTTATTATGTCAAAATATGACTGAAATGAATAAATTATAGGTTTTATGTGACCTCTGCATGTGAGCTTGTGGTCTTTTTTTGACTTATGTGCAGATACTGTTGACTTGTAGTGTATTTGATCACACCAACAGTGACCTTTCAACCATCTCTGCAAGATGCTTGGTAAAATCAGACAGTGCAGGTCACATACTCCATTTGAATATCATTTATCAATTATTGACTTAAAATTATATAGATGTATATTAAATCGTCCGCTTTAACGGCTGTTGCTAAAAGTATGTTACCAGATGTGTGATCTGGGCTCCACTGTGAGCCAACCTGGTGTCTATCCACAATCTGGTAAAACAAAATTTCATCAAATCTCTCAGTATCTCAGGCTTATGGCCATTTGTCCGTTCTGGGCTACTGTAGAAACCAAGTGTGTCAACATGGCAACCAGTCTGTAGATATAAAAGTCTCATTCTAAGGTAACAAAAATAATAATGATTCTTATTATCAGGTATTTATACACTAATGAAAACAGAAATGGAATATAATACAAATAACTATCAGTAGATCCTCCTAAATGTTACACAATGGACCTTAAACCCTGAATGATGAAAATACAAAAGTGTATGTACAGAAGTAATTTCATTAACTTTAATTTTCAAGTTTGAAAGTAACACAGATGTCATGTCAGGTCTGGTTTAAAGAGAATATTTCCACAAAAGCATTAACACTGAAAAAAGCTCATTGCAATTCATTTCACATTGAACAAAGGTTTTACTTCCCATTCATAGAATAGTTAACCGATCTTTAATAGACATTATATTGAAAGACGTGTGAATCAGAGGGAACCTTCATAACGTTTGTGATGAAGATGTTTGGGACGAAATCATTTGGGTCTCATATCCTCTTTAATTAGTAATCATTTCAAAGAGATACAGTAAATGATATTGCACATAGACAACACAGAACCAAAGTGATCGCAGTTGATGCTTTTTTATGTATTAAGTGTAAATTGACAGCTGGATCATACAAACATACATTGTATACTCCCCGTTGTTCATTTGTCTATATCAGTAAGGGTAATCCATAAACTTTCTTTTGGTTTTCTTTCTTTTTTATTGCTATAGCTTGTAGATAAGTGTTGTTATTATCCCATAAAAATATAATTAATAAGAAAAACATTAACTGGGGTTCAACAACTGTTGGTAAGTGGTTAACGGTTATTTTTTGTCTTTTATTTCCTTGTTTTCACTTTAGAGTCCTGGTTCATTTTTAGTCAAGCACTCCTCAATCACATTTCTTAGTGGATTACAATGTTTTGGTTCCAATAGATAATCGTTTTACATTTTACTGTATATGGACCTTCAGTGACACATTTCAGACCTGCTCAGATGGTCGTCACACCTCATAGTGTAAATGATATGGACCTCAACATTTGTCAGTGACACATGTCCCATTGGGTCCTGTAGCGTAAATGTACTGAAGAGGTCTTGGTTTGTTTAAAAATCAGTCTCTTTTTTTATACCACAGTAAATCTGACTCCACGCAGAGATAGGCCTACTTTCTGATATTATGATTACTGGTTTCATAGTGTGTGATTGTGTCCCCCTGGGTTGCATTCAACATACAAACATTCATCAAGCTCAAAGTCTTTATCTCACTTGAAGCTTAGAAGACCTTTGATCAAATAGAGTAGCAGTACTTATTTAATAATATGAAAAAGTTTGGTCTTGGGGAGGAATTTATTAACTTGATTAAGCTGATATACTATTAACTCAGGGCCAGTGCACTGGTTAATGGCAGACAATCATTATTCATTAGTTATTGTGGGAGGTCCATCTGTCTTATTTTTGTGCTAGGCATCAAATGTCTAGCTGAAGCCATTTGGAGACACAGCAGGAAATCTAAATAAGATCTATTACATATACGACTGAACTGTACTGAACTGTTCACAAATATTAGATAAAGTATCTGAGATTATAATAACATTTATAAATTCTGAGAGTGGATTTTCCCTACAACACTAAACTGTGGCTTATACAGTTATACTATAATGCTAAATGAAATGGGATATTGGACTAAAAGGTTCCTGGAATTTCTGTGGAACTGATACTTGTATCATATAGTCATTTCGGGATCATTTATAAACAGAGTTCAACACCTGTTGATGAATAATGAACATGTATTGCGTATCTTTTATTTCCCTGTTTTCCTTTAGGATCCTGGCTATTTTTTATACAAACCCTTCTTAATGTTCATTGGACTATGATGTTTTTGTTTCAATACATCTGTTAAGCTGTTTCGCATTAAGCCAAACTGTAATTTTGCATTTGGCTAAAAAGCTAACTACTGTAGCAGAAGCACAAGTGTAGAAAGTCATTAAGTCAGCAATCTGACAAGTCTGTTATCTATATTTACCTACATTAGTATATATATAGTGTATATAGTCTAAATGGCATGCTTTTTTAGGAAATTAATCTTTGAATATATGGAATAAATCTTGGATATACTGATAGAAATGTGAGAATACTGAATGAAATTCAAAACCTAGTTGTATCCTTTTCATCAAAGTGATAGCCTTCTGGATTAGCTGGTTTTACAAAATGGTAACAGTTGAAATATTCCAATACTTTCTGGAACTGGAAAACTTTTTTGCTTTTTCTGTCAGGATTTTGCCTGAGGCCTGTTGTAGTCGGCCTGCCATGATTAAAAAGGGAGTGAACTTCTTCGTCAGGAGAACAGTATGGGGCACGGGTACTATGGGAAGGATTTTGGCCCGTACAAGCACTTGCCAATGAGTTAATAATGTCCTCATTGCTCAGTATTGCTGCCACAAGGTTCCTGACTGACTCATTCTCACTTCTACAAGATGGCAGCAGTGCCTTCATGACCAGTCAAGTTTCATTCAATATATTAAAAGATTCATTCAATATATTCAAAGATTCATTCAATATATTAAAAGATTCATTCAATATATTCAAAGATTCATTCAATATATTAAAAGATTCATTCCATATATTCAAAGATTCATTCAATATATTAAAAGTTTCATTATATATATTCAAAGATTAATTTCCTAAACGACATGCCATAATATATATACTATATTGCCCTTGTCACAGATTTCATTGAAAACACCTTTGCAACTTCATCAGCTGTGTTTTGTAATCTCAATTACTGCAATAAACAAATATTTATGCATTTTGACAAGCAGTCTTCATTAGCATAGCAATATAACACTTGGCCTGAGTAATAATACTACCACTTGAATCAATATAAAAAGACTGTTGCAATTACAAACAGCCAACAGATTTAAATGAAATAAGAAATTGCAATATATATGTAATATTTTAATGCAGAATAATTAAAATGATGCAACATACTTAGAAAGACCATGGACATGCTGTAAAACACATTAATTCCTCACAGGATTGACGGTGGAAATACAGGTGAATCACTATCACTATGATTAATCTTAGCCTGGCTGTTAGCCTGGTCTGGAGCAGGCTAGCTGCAGAGAATAAATCACCATAGCAACTTGGCCGGGATAAGTTTAACCTACTTTCATGCAACCGACTTGAGGTTAAATTAAGCCAGGATAACCAACATATCCTGGCTTAATCCCTTATCTTGGTTTTGTGCAATACCCCTCATGAGTCACACCAGACTGTAACAACAACAACAACAACAACAACAACAACATGTTTTTCTGATCAGCTTTTCATTTGTAAGAGGAATACTGTTTTATTTCTTCTTTTCTAAGTTAAACACTCTTAAACAAGATAGTTTTTGTGAAACCAAGTCAATAAGCCTGGCTTATGTTCAGACACTGCGTAGCTGTGTGAAGGTGAAAGTGATTGGCAGGTGCATTTGATCAATATCACAGTGCAAACACCCACCCTAAAACATGGTCTTTCAACTGTTTCTTTAAGATTCCCGATAATATCCAGCGGTGCAGATCTGAAACTCTGAAGACTCAGTAACTCTGACACCAACATGATCTTGCTCCTCTTATTTTTTCTCGCTCTGGGTTCTGTGTCTCCATCAGATGTCCATCAAGTGAAGCTACAGCGCGGCAACTGTCCCATGTTCTGGTACAGCTTCAATGGCCTTTATGGATCTATGGCACTTTCTGAAGAGTCACTTGCCAATTTATCTTGGGACTTGGAAAAGGTGAAGGACACATTGGATTGAAATGTTCCTGGCATTACTGTGGAATAGATATCAGATGTTCATTTGTCTATATCAGTAAGGGCAATCCATAAACTTTCTTTCGGTTTTCTTTCTTTTTTATCACTATAGCTTGTAGATAAGTGTTGTTATTATCCCATAAAAATATAATTAATAAGAAAAACATTAACTGGAGTTCAACAACTGTTGGTAAGTGGTTAACGGTTATTTTTTGTCTTTTATTTCCTTGTTTTCACTTTAGAGTCCTGGTTCATTTTTAGTCAAACACTCCTCAATCACATTTCTTAGTGGATTACAATGTTTTGGTTCCAATAGATAATTGTTTTACATTTTACTGTATATGGACCTTCAGTGACACATTTCACTTTAAGTGCTGCAGCATGGTGTACTGAAGAGCTCTGGTGAAGACCCACTTTTCCAAAATACTGTCTTATGAACCGCTTAGTCCTCAACTATGCATTAAAACACTCATATTTAAAGTCTCTAGGTCTAATACCTTGTTCTCATCAACATTTCCTTGAATAAAAATCTGGCCAGTGCTATATGGCACATTAAGGGGTACATTTAAAAGAGTCAAGTCTCCCATTGAGGGTGATTGAGACTATTCAAAGCCTGAGGACGCCCTCAAAGTTCTGTTCCAGGTGTGTTATGCTTCCTGCAGGATTTACTGGACAATGGTAAAGTTTTTCAACCATTAAAGTTTATAACTGTATTCCTTTCACCCACTGCCTTTTGCTGAGGAGAAATAAACATTTAGCACAATACAAACAGTTTATTCAGATAACTCAGGCAAAAGCTGCACCAACGCAACAAACACAGAGAGAAACTCCCTCCAGACTGCGACAAGGCTAAACAGATTAAAGAGACGTTTATTTTTATTTTTTTTAATTATCTGTAAAGAACATAATAAAAAAAAAAAACACACATAAAGGTACAGCCTGTTCTAGGCTACTGTAGAAACTGTGGTTCAAAATGGCGTCCTCAATGCAAGGTGACCCGCAGCGTCTCTAGATATAAAAGTCTCATTCTAAGGTAACAAAAATAATAATGATTCTTATTTTCAGGTATTCAAACACTAATGAAAACATAGTTATTCGTATTATATTCCATTTCTATCAGTAGATTTTCCTAAATGTTACACAATGGACCTTCAAGCCTGAATGATGAAGATACAAAAGTGTATGTACAGAAGTAATTTCAGTAACCTTTGTTTTCATGTTTGATACTTACACAGATCATGTCAGTTTTGGGTCAAAGAAAATGTTTCCAAACTTTTGAACAATGTCAGATTTTAAATTTTTCCTTATTGACTTATTGCTCTTGTTTTTATTAATTTTAATGTAGCTGAAGTGTGCACTGTGTGCCTGTATTATCTAAAGAACTCAAAAACAAGTCTTGGACTGGGATTCTGTATCGGTAGATACTAAATATTAAAAAGATTGATCAGGACATCCCTAAACTTTTAGCTACCTCCAGCGA